ACGGTTTCTCGCACCTACCAGGGCCACAGAGAACATACTCAGGACAAGTTCCAACACGCAGGACCGACGCAGGGCAGACATCAGACTCTACTTCCGTAGGGAGCACGCGGGAGCATGGACGGGGCGAGGACGGTGCCACGGGCCAGCGCACAGAGGCTGTCGGGACACCAGTCCTCAAGCACTCCGCAGAGCTCAGCCGGCTGACCGGCCCGCCCGCCCGCCCGAACCCGGCCGCTGAGCGGAGGGGCGGGCTGACACCTCACCAGGCCTTTGTCCGGCTGGGAAAGGAAGCCTGCTCGCGCTGGCGGGAAGGCTGGCGGGCGGGAAGGCTGGCGAGGAAAGCAGCAGAGGGAGAATTTCGGTTTCCGCTGGCAGATGGAGGCATTCATGCAAACACAAAAGAGTCAGTCTATTTTATCAAGTAAAATGCAAACTATTTCAAAGGTCTAGCTTCAGGGTACTTGCCTCATTCAACTCATACCCTCCCCACCTCCTGCCTTTCCCACCTGTCTAGACCCCACCATACAAAGGACAGAAACACTCTAAACTGAATGCAAACCGCTTGGTTGACAAAATGTCAGGCCACCCCAACCAGACGGGGGGAGGGCACCAGCTGGGAGGCCCTGCGGCCTCCAGGGGCACCCACAGGAGTCTGCAAGCCACGCTCCACTCTGCTCTCAGGCCTGCCCACTTTCAGTACCACAGGCTGAAAACCTATCTGTCAAAGACGTAAGCTTCTGTGTAACAGCAAACTGAAATTTATTTCAAGTTTACTCTTCAAGTAACTCTATTCTTAACTTACAGGATTGAACCTCGTACCACTACTTGCCAAGTTCTAATAAAACGTCTTTGTGACTCTGATTTGCAGGCAAGCATCAATCTGTCCTAGAAAACGATCACAGTATGGAGTCGTTCCCCCCTGGGGTTGGAGAGGGAGCAAGAGGAGGGTTGTCTGGAAGGCACTGGGGCGGGGTGGGGGGGGGGCCCTCCCTCCAGGTGAAGCCAGGGTGGTGGGGTTTGCACGTTCTAGCCACCGGAGGACACTCTTTCCCCCTGTGCAGGCCCTTTCCTGCTTCAACAAGGTCTTCTTGGACAGGCTCCAAGTTCAAGAGCAAGTTTAAGCTACACAGGCCTGGGTAGGGGCGCCTGGCTGGCTTAGTTGAGTGTCCGACTTGGGATCTCGGCTCGGGTCACGATCTCAGGGTTCAAACCCTGTGCTGGGCTCCACGCTGGGCAAGGAGCTTACATTAAAAAAAAAAAAAGAAAGAAACATATGTAAGTCTGGGTAGAAATCAAGCCCACGTAGTGAGCAGGCAAGTCCAGCCTGAGCCATCCAGAAGTTACTAGAGGTGGATGGAATCCGGGCACACTCTGCTAAGCGTCCTCTGGCAGCAGAGGGAGGGTCTCCGCGGCGCTCCCACCCCAGCACAGGGGTGAAATGAGCTCCACACACAGTCCTGGGCGGCTGTTCCAGAGCCCGATGGGACACTGCCGTCCTGGCCGCGAGCCTCTCTCCTGGCAAATGGCTGAAGCCTCACAATGCTGGCCAGAGAGAGGAAAAGCCCCCATTACCCCCACCCTGATGACCCGGTTCTCACACCTGACATCACTGAGCTTGGCATGCCAAGTGGTGCTCCTCTGGCCACAGGCATCACACAAGTCTGGGTCTCACGGGCGTGTCTCACTCGGGGCTAACCACAGCTACCTGGGCCAGGGGTGGGGGGCACAACAAGCTTTCCTGGGGCCATAACAGGTGGATGTCACCCCCTGCCTGCCTCCCACCTTCTGTCCACCCTCTCCAGGGTCCAGGCAGACTCCCGGAAGCCTCCTGCGGCTCCCCACCTTGCACACCCCTGCAGGTGCACTGACCAGTCGCTCTTGCTGGTGTCGTCACCCCTCCCCCATCAGCCACCACCCCTACTCTCCACCCTCTCTGCTTGAATGTGGGCCCATGGGGGACACCAAGCAGTCCTAGCTCATCTCCAACAGGCCAGCATGGGTGGGAAGACCAGACTGCGTGGTGAGGAGCTCAAGGGGGGCAAGCCAGAGTGGACTCTGGGCAGGAATGAGCACCTGCCTCATGGCCACCACGCAGAGGGAGCCATAGGTCTCGGAGCCACAGAGCCTGTCACTCAGCTGTGTGACCCTAAGAGAACGACCTCCAGGCATCACCATCCAGGACATGGGTGACACCAACAAACAACCCCTCACAGAGCAGGGAGAGGAGGCGTGCGCTGTGACTGCCCGCCAAGTCTCCGGCTCCCCTTTGAGCCTTACCTAGGACTCCAGGGCTGATACAGAAAATCTGCCTGCTTCCGCAAGGCAGGAGTACATGCGAGACCCACAAGAACAGAGGCTGAGGCCTCGGTGACCCTGACCCTGACAGGGACACTCTTCGGGATGACCAAGTGTCCCTAGAGCTAGTTCAGAGACAGCTCCCGGGCGGAAAGCGGTGGGTGGCAGCACCACAAGCGGAGCTCAGGGCTAAGTGATTTCCAGGAACACAGCAGGGTTCTGTTTTGCAAAGGATTTAGAACTGACAGGCCTAAGCCAGATCCACAGAAACACTGGCAACACCCAACAGTAGACCTTTTGTTTGTTAAGCCTTCTTACAAGGAAAAACACTTATTTCAAAACCTTGAAAATGTCAGTGAAGTGTTAAACTTCAACCTCTCTTTTAGAAAAACAAAGGCCCCCCTCAGCTGTTCCTGGAACTGGGAGGAGCCCCACCCCCTGCAGACCACCCCTCCTGCGTCCTGTCCCTTAGTCGCTTCGGAGCAAATGGCAGAGGCCCCTGAGGCAGCAATGGTGGAGGGACGCAGGGGAGACAGAGCTCCCCTGACCCCAGGCAATCTCACCGGGGAGCCAAGCCTATCCCACTTTCCAGAAGCCTTGAGATGGGGCTGGAGGAGTGGTGGATGGAAAAACCTGGCTGGGTGCTCTCCATTTTAAGAGCGGTGGTGAGAGGCCCCTGTGGTGGCCCAGGGCAAGGTCTGTGTGCCCCAGGGACCGGACAGCCGAATTCACAAGTGACTGATGGGGCCAAGCGGTGACAGGGGGAGGAAAGCCTGCATTCACATGGGGAACAATGGGCATCTGCTCCCCTGTGGGCGGCCAGGGGTGGGGAAAGGGTGCTTCTTCCCTGTGATTCCATGGGGAGTTGGCTGAAATTAGGCACAAAAAGGACCCTGTGGTAGATCAAGCGGGAAGCAAAGGCTTAGACTTAGCGCGCTCCTTTCCTGAGGAATTCTTGTGTGTGGCAGACATCCACGAGGAAGAGGTCATGTGCTGTGATTCCTGGCGCTCTTGGCCATGAGCCTTACCATGCAGGTGTCTCCCGAGGCCCGGTGTCCCTGAGAACAGTGATCCTGCAGGGATCCTGCTGGGCCTGGATTGGGGCCCTCGTCTTTCTAACAAGTCCCCAGGTGACCTCTCTTTGGGGATCCCAAGTGGGCCACTCCCCAGTGCCAAGGGCTCTGCCCAGGTGTTCCTGCAGCTGTCCTCACCCTCCCTCAGACCACAGCTGCTTTTCACTTCCAGCCACATCTCCCTTCCACCACAGGCCTGACTTGGACAGCGTCCAATCCTGTTAAGATAACCGTATTCGGCTAACAGCTGAGTTAATTACCCCATTAGGTATGGATTTTTACCGCCCTCATTTCTAGAAGGAACCTTCCGTCCAAGCCCCATGGCCCCTTACACGCTGGTTCAACACAGAACAGTCTGCAATGTTCGAATCCGGCTCCAGCGTTTGTTTCAACCGCCCAGTGAGCGAATCAAAATACGCACAAAATAGGTGACAAACGTTTCGCCATAGACAGATACCCGCATTTGCATCTGAATTTACATGTCGCTTCTGCCACTAAAAACCAAGTGACAACTGAAAAGTTCTGTTATTAAAATGCTTGTTTGTTCTCAGAGAAAAGGCTTTAAGAGAACCTTTAAGGGGCAGTCTGTCCACCTCCTTAGCCTCTGACCTCGGGTCCAAACACTGGCGGCTTAAGAAAACGAGATCAGAGAACAAAGCCTTCAGAATCAAGAATCCCAACACGCAGGGACTCCCCGAGCCAGGCGGTTGGGCGCCTGCCTTTGGTTTGGGTCATGATCTCAGGGTCCTGGGATCAAGCCCCGCGTGGTCAGGCTCTCTGCTCATTGGGGAGCCTGCTTCTCCTTATCTGTCTGCCGGCCTCTCTGCCTGCTTGTGATCTCTCTAAAATGAGTGAATAAAATCTGTACAAAAAAAAAAAAAAAAAGGCTCCCAACACTCCAAAGTAAGAGGAGAACACATTTTAAAGATAATCATTTGCTGGGGCGCCTGGGTGGCTCAGTGGGTTAAGCCTCTGCCTTCGATTTGGGTCATGATCTCAGGTCCTGGGATCGAGCCCCACTTCGGGCTCTCTGCTCAGCAGGGAGCCTTCCTTCCTTCCTCCCTCCCTCTCTCTCTCTCTGCCTACGTGTGATCTGTCTCTGTCAAATAAACAAATAAAATCTTAAAATAAAATAAACAGATAATCATTTACGATTTTGCACAAAAATCTTATTTAGGCTTTTAAGTAGTGTATGAGTCTGTCCCGTGATGGAGAAAAAAAATCACAGCAGAGGAAGACGTCAGACCCAGAAACAAAAGCGCAGAAGAAAGTGCAGCAATTTGCTCCGCTCCTGCCCACGGAAACGCGTAATTAGAGGTTAGCGAGCGCCAGCTGGACCGCGGCCGGCCCTCCCCGTGCGGAGAGCAGCTCCGACTCCCGGGCCAGGGAGCTCCACCTCAAAGCTCTGCCAGCTGGCGGGCGGGTGCAGCGGACGCCCCCCACCGCGCCCCAGCTGAGCCGTGCGGGGCCGGCGAGGAGCCCCGGGCCCGGCCCCCGGCGGGGGGCGAGACCGTGCGGTCCGGGGCCGGTGCGGGCGGCCCCCGCAGGCGTCCGGCGCATCCGGAGGGCTACTCGCTCCGAGCACCCGCCGTACGCGCCGCCGGCGGGAGAGGGTTCAAGGGCGCGCCTCACCTCGCACGTCCCCGGCCAGGGCCCGCCAGGTGGGCGCGTAGCCGATGCAGTGGCCGCACCACGAGGAGTAGAACTGCACGAGCCACGCGGCCGAGCTGTTGGCCGTGGCCCCGCGCACGCTGCCGCTGTCCAGCACCCACACGGCGTCCTCGCCCGCGCGGTACAGCCGCGCCGCGCCGCCCGCCCCGGGGCCCGCCGCCGCCGCCGCCAGCAGCACGAGCAGCGGGGGCAACCGCCGGGTTCGGGTCGCCGCCGCCGCCGACCCCGCCGGGGCCGGGGCTCCCAAGCTGCGGGCCATCCCCGCAGCCGCCTCGGGCGCCTCGGCCGCCGCCATGTTGGGAGTGCCGCGGCGCGCCTGACCTTTCACCCTGGCTACCGGCGTCACGTGCGCCGCGCGCGCCCGGCCCCGCCCCCGAGCATGCGCCCGGTCCCGCCCCCAGCCCCGCCCCCAGCCCCCGGCCCCGCCCCCTGCAGGGTCGCCGGGTTTAGCGACTGAAAAGGTTCCGTGTCCGAGGTGCGGGCCTCACCGCACCGTCTTCTGGCCGGAAACTCAGTCCCGAAGGGCCCCGCCTGGAGCTGCCCTGAGCTCGGTTTCCGGGGCATCTCAGTCTGGGCCGCGCTGCGGGGCCGCGTCCCCGCCGCCGGTCCGCGCGCGCTGCGGGAGGGGAGCCGCCGGCTCCCCCGGGCAGGGCCGCTGACCGCCGACCGCTCCCCCCGGCCGGCCTGGGGACCTCCCTGTGTAGGGCCAAGGCGCCCGGTCCTCGCTTCCCGGGACCCGCGGCTCAGCGCTCTGTGTCCCCGCGGCCAGAGAAACGCGGGCCCGCGTGTCTGCCCCGATGTGCCCCGATGTGTCGTGCTTCCGTGGTGACCAGAGGGCTCCGCCTTGGTCCCGGGGAGCCGTGTGCTTGGAGGCAGCCGGGGGCCTTGCTGTCAAGAGCCACACGTTGACCCAAGGAGGGGGTTCCCTGCATGAGGGGATCCCCACCGCAGACCTGGAGAGCCTGGAGTAGTCGCTCAAGTCTGCAGCGGCGGGCATGGACCCTCCAGTGGAATGACAGGTTGGCCTGCGCCCTGGCCCACTCCGTTGAGTTGGCCGGTCAGCCTGCAGGTGCCTGGTGGGGACGGCGCACACACGCCAGCAGTGCGGAGCGCAGACGGGTGTGGGCTGCGCACCACCACACACTTAACGGGCTTAAGGCTGCCCTTCTGCTCCCAAATACAGGTGCTGGTGGGTGCCCAACCGATGAGTTCAGTGGGCCCAAGGCCAAGGTAGCCCACAGGGCTGAAGCTATGAGAAGAAAGGAGCGGGGGCGCCGGAGGGGCTCAGTCAGTCGGGCATCTGACTCTTAGTTTGGCTCAGGTCATGATCTCAGGGTGGTGGGCTCCGCAGTTCGGGAGACTGCTTGAGATACTCTCTCCCTCCGCCCTTCCCCCAGCTGGTGCCCGTGCTCTCCAAATAAATAAATAAGTCTGTATAGGAAATGCAGGAGCAGCATAACCAGGGCCTCTGACAGGTTCCCACTCTAGGGAGGCGCTGCGTGTAATCCCGCGGCAAAGAGAAGCAAGACAGCACCTAAAGCTGTGAATGACCGAGAAAGACTAATAGTCATTACTTTTCTGGCATCGAGGAAAGGGCTTCGTTTTTCCTGAAAAGAAGCTTCAGATCTGTTCGAGGTTCATCTCCTATGGAGGGGGAATATTCCTGACCCTTAACAGGACGTGGGCAGCAGAGCGGGCCATGCAAGTTGGGTCTCCTGGGGGAGCTCCCCGAGGTGCCTCACCTAGTGTGGAAGATGGTGGTAGCCGTCCTCAGGAGGTTGTCCTCGGGTCCGCGAGGAGATCTTTGTAACTTTTCCTAATGTCAGAGGTAGCCTGAGCAAGGGGAGCCTGGAGGGCTCAGTGGTTAAGTGTCTGCCTTCAGCTCAGGTCACCATCCTGGGGTCCTGAGATTGAGCCCCGTGTCGGGCTCCCCGCTCAGCGGAGAGCCTGCTTCCACCTCTCTGTGCTCTCTCTCTCGATCTCTCTCAAGTAAATAAAAATATATATATATGTAGATGGGTGACAAATGTGTCCTTAAGAGTAAGCTGTCCCTAGTAATTATCAGGATCCAGATTGTTAAGTTTAATAGTTTACTCAGGGCCTCTCAGAACTTTTCTAAAAAGAGGCCTATCGCATGTGTGTTCGAAATGCTCAGTGACGCATCGAGGGGGCATGTCTGGTCCTCCATCTCCCTTCCTCAGAAGCATAGGACCCCTCCCCCCCAATCGGGACAGCCTGGTTCCCAGTGGGACGTGGAAGGGTGTCAGCCTCCTCTAGAGGCTCTCCTCCTCCTCTTCCTTGTGTGGAGCCTGCCGCTCCTGCTCTCGGGCCTCCCCCCCTCCATCTGAGGGGGGCTCAGACGGAGGCCGGAGGTTTCGAGGAGGGCCGGGGTTTCCCGTTGTCCATGGCTTATCTCCGTAAGTCCTGGCTGCCCACACGGGCGATCCTTTTCAGAGGCAGAGAGGGTCCAATTCGGGAGGAACATACTGTCTCTCCCGGGAAGATGGAAGACCCGGCTGGCTTCTACAGGGACCTCGAGAGTCGTCAAGATCAGCCGAACCTTTTCTTGTGGCCTTTTTTGTTTGCTTCAAGCCCTGGAGTGAGAACGGGTGGGAGACCGGCCCAGGGGTCCCTCCCTCAACCGGCGCTTGTTCCTGCAGTGGGAGGAGAGAGGAATGACAGGGTGCTCAGTCTCCGGTCTGTATGGGGGGGAGGGTGCTTTGGTGGAGCAGCTCCCCAACTGCTTTGGTCAAGATCTGACTTCTTTTTCTGTCCCCACCTTGTTCTGATCTGTTGCACCACGGCCTGAAAGGCGGGGTCCTTCATACATGCCCTGTACAAGCCCGGGCTACCCCGAAGGGCGAAGAGAGCCGCCACATAAATAGGAACCTCCAGACCATTTGCCTTGTTTGTTTGTTTGTTTGTTTTTACAGACCAGGTCTGAGTGCCGAATGGTGTCGGTTTCTCGTCCCCCGGAAGGCAGTTTCCTCCACTTTCTGGTTGGTCCTCGGGCCAGCACAGGGGCAGAAGGCTGTCAGACGCTTCTTTCTGAGGGTCGGTTGTGATGATGCCTACCAGGGGAGAGTGAACTGTGGACGGCGTGTTTCCCACAGAATAAGGACTTCCTGAGGGCCCCCGTGATTCTCTGCGTCTTGAGTGGGGCCTGAACGGGATGTCTCCTCCTACCTCTGCGGCCAGGGGCAGGGGTGAGGCCTGTCGGGGTTGTAGCCGCTCGGTGCCCATGAGCCCTTGGTTCCCCGTGCCCTCCTTCTCCTGTTTCAGCGCTAGAGCTGGCCTGTGTGCGGTCGGCCTATCCCCACCAGGTCCTCAGGGGCATGGCCTGCTGGGCTCCCCGGAGGGAGAGGCCGACCACTGCCTCGGCAGGCAGGTGGGGTTCTGTCCTGACTTAGAGCTCCAGATGAGAGCCTGGGCTGTGTGCTCCGATCTGGGACCTCCCTCTGCAGCAGCCAGGCTTTCCCAGAGAAGGCAAATTGGGGATCCCCCATTCGCCCCATTCACATCTCCTCTCAGCTACCCAGAGACTTACCGATGCTAATTACAGGAGCAAAAGGCCTCCTGCAGCAGGGGTGTGACAAGCCTTTGCCCCGCTGGTGGCTGGAGGTGGGACCGTGGGCCAGAACGAGCCACAGGTGTCATCTGTGGCCCCAGAGAAGCCCCCGCCTGTCGCCTGGTGCAGATCTCAGGGAAAAACTCAGGGTCAAAGGGATGCAGGGGAAAGCAGGGAGGAGAGAAAGCGAGGTCGGGGAGAGGAGATGGCTCCGCTCCGCACACTGCTCACTCGGGACTGCCGCCAGCCGTCCGCTGGGTCGGGTCGCCCGTCGGGTCCCCGTGTCCCTTCTACTTTGGAAGCCCGCAATGAGCAGCCTTGGCCAGGAACCCTCAGGTGCCGGGAGGGGGCGCCCCTTCCCATCGAACAGACTCCGAGCCCCTGACCCTGGACAGAGCCAGCAGTTCCTGCTCGGGGAACAGGACGATTTGCACAGTCTGGGTCCACCAAGCCCGTCCTCCGAGCCTTCAGAACGGCGGGCATGCGGGCTGACGGATTCCTGTGGTGCTCCTGCGCGCCACAGCAACGTTTGTAGGGCAGAGATGGCCCGAGAAAGGAAAGGAGAAGAAAGGAGAAAGTGCCTTTGTCACGGTACTGCTCGGCCTCCCTGACACCCCTAATGAGCCCCCAGAGAAGTCCCCAGCGCCCAGTGGGCATCCCCCACATCCGTGTCTGAGCGCACTGGGGGAAGGAGAGACCCAGACCAGGTGGCAGCTTCACTGAGCAGGAAGGACTCACGCACAGGAGGGAAGGGGCTGGGGGCAGCACAGCCCTGCAGGGTCTGGTCCAGGTGCCTTAGGAGTCTTCTCTGGGCGGGGGCCACTGCTGACCGTTTTCCCCCTGGTCGGTTTAGAGACTTTTCTGTCTACGGCTGTGGCGTGCAGGACCTGGCGGGCATGGTGCTCGGTCCTCGCTTCCCGGGATCCGGGCCCGTGGTTCAGCCTTCCACACTGTATTTTCAACGTTCTGTGTCTGCTTTAGGTCCCTTCATGGGTTCTTTGCCCAGTGGCTGTTTGTCCAGTTTTCGGCATATAGAGCCTGACCTGCAGATGCTTGGTACGACCTTGCTCACTCCAGTTCCCTGACGACCTATCGACTCCTCAACTCCTATCACTATGCCTTTTTGCTTACTTCAACAGGAGACCTGGTTTTTAATTGTTATTTGTAACTGTTATGCATATCCACATTTTCTCTGGACTGTGGGACTGAAACAGAGAAGAGAGGAAGTGGGTCACAGAGCAGACGTGAGTCAGTGGCAGTCACTGGCCTGGTCAGAGCCTTATGCTTCAGGCCTCTTGGCTCTTCTGCAGCCCAGGCAGAGGGAGGGCATGTGCAAAGGCCCTGAGGTAGAAGGACCAAGCATGTTGGAAGAACAGCTGGAGCAGAGTGAGCCAGGGAAGGGAGGGAACCAGAGAACCAGCGGAGAGGAGCTCTGGGTGGGCCCTTACTAGCTGGACTATAGATGAGGGCCCCAGCTCTGAAAGTCATGTGGCCATCAGAGGATTTTGAGTAGGGATGTGGGTCTGCTCTTCTGGCTGCCATATAGGAGGGGCAAGGGGAAGCAGGAAGCCCGTGGCGGGCCATCACAGCCCTCCAAGGGATGGTGGGACTCATGGTGGCGCATGGCAGTGCCAGTGATGGGGTCGGACTTTGGGAACATCTTGAAGGTAAAACACATGGTGAATCAAACCCAGATGTAGACAGACAGGTCATGTCCTCCTACAGGGTTTTGGCCTGAGCAGCTGGAAGGAGGAAGTAGCTGCGGACTGAGCTGCGGACCGGTGAAGAACGTGGGGGGCGGAGTCGGGGTGAGGTGGAAGCCTGAGCTTGTTTCCGCATCTGAGGGAGGTGCCAGGCCACCGGTGGGCTCTGGGGGTGTGGGGCTCCGAGGGTAGGTAGGGCTGGTGCAGGTCACCACAGGAGGCCAGGAGGACAGAGGGGACGGTTTATGGAAAGGCCGAAGGAGAGAAGGAGCAATCCATGAGGACCTGATCGATGGCTCTTCCCAGGAGACCTTCTGGGAAGGGGAGTGAAGATCTGGGAGCGGGTAGGAGGGCTGCCGGCAGGAGGGAGAGCCCCGCCCAGTAGGGAACAGGTTGGGGAGAGCCAGGGTGTGCTTAGTGGAACCCAGGGAGGGAAAGGGAAGGCGAAAGCCAGCCACTGAGGCACCCAGTCCCTACACCCCTGAATCTCCTCAGCTCAGCCCCTCTCCACAGAGGGGGCTGCGCCGACGTCCTAAGGGAGCCCCTGTCTGCCTCTTGTGCTTCCATGGGTCCCTCCTCCTCTGCTGGGGCCCATGGGAGCCCCTGCTGCCCTCGGGGTGGAGCTCAGCCTCTTCTGGGCCTCCCATGCCCCCTGCCTCTGCCCTGTTCACCTATGACCAGTTAGACCTTCACCTGGGAGGCACGGCCACGAAGCCACAAGACGACAGTGGCGCAAACAGACCAGGAGGCTGGTCATCAGGCTGGCAAAGACAGGCTGGCCGGGCTCCTGCAGGCCGCCATGCACGCCTGCACCCCACTCCCAGGAGGAATTTGACCTAGGATGCTGTTTTGGCCCGCTCAGACCAGGCATTTCCTGAACGAGACATTCGTTTCCCACAGTTCAGGAGGCTGGACATTCCAGATAGGGGTCCACGGGTCAGCTTCCCGTGAGGCCCACTCCTGGGTTTGTGAACTCCTGGCCGCCTTCCTGCTGCGTCCTCCTGGGGCCTTTCCTCTGGGTGCCCCTGTGAACGGAGGGAGAGAGAGCTCTCTGGGGCCTCTTCTCACATGACCCCATCAAACCCCCACCACCTCCCGAAGCTGCTTCCCAGCACCAGCACACTGAGGGGTTAATGTTCAACATAGGAATTCTGGGGAGACACCGAGAGCCGCCTGGAGGGACGGTGCCCCTCTCTTCCGCAGGTGCAAATCCCACTGTCACTGCTCTACCCCGGGGCCTGCGTGTCCCTGTCCAGGTGGCGAGGGAGCCAGAGCAGGGTGCTCTAGGGCAGCACTCTGGGGCAGTGAGGTACGTGCTGGCCCCACCAAACAGCCTTGGGGTTTTCCTGTTCCCTCCTTGGCCAGCAGGCGGCCAGCACCTGCTCCGTCAGCCCCAGTCCCAGAGAGCACTGGCCAAACCCCCCTTCCTGCTGTGGGGATTCCTTTCCCTCAGATTCATCAGGCAGGGGGCAGGGGGTCACACGCCACGCGGGGACAAGGCAGGCTCGTGCCGCTGACCCTGTGAGCCCCGCTGGCGGCCAGTCCGCATGGGCGGGTGACACTTCACCCCATACAGGCTGGGTGACATCGAGCCAGCTGTGGCACCCGCTTCACCCAGCCCGGAGACGCTGCACCTGGAAATGCACACGTTGAGTGTGGAGTGCAGCCAAGCTCAGAAGCATCGAAACGAGGTGTGGGGGGTGCATCTTAGAATCCGAGAAACCGGCAGCATTGCTGCTCCTGTTGGCCTTCCAGGCCCTGCTCCAAGCCCCACGCCCCCACCCTGGCACCGCCCTGCCCTGAGAGAGGCGCTGCCCTCCACAGGAGCGTGGGCCCCGGTGACTGTGCTGCTAAGGAAGGAACATGCGCAGCCCAGGGTGATTGTCTGACCCTCCGACAGGACGACGCGCTGCGACCACAGGCATCCAACGGTGGGGAGGCCCGCACTGTGGAGCAGATAAGGTGAGGGATGGTGTTTCTGTTTACAGAGGGGGAAACTGAGGCTCAGGGGCCCAGGTACTGTAGTTCAGGGCACATGGCACAAATTCGACGGAGCGGTCTCCAACCTGGGCACCCTGAGGCTCAGGAGGGGCTGGCAAAGGCGCAGCTCCTTCCCTGCTCCCAGGGCTGAGCCACGCTAGCCTGTGCGGCTGGATGGGCACGAGCCCCGGAGGGCAGAGCCGCTGAGCCTTTTCTGTGCCCCACAGACAGGGCAGGCTCTGCATGGGGCCGAGGGAGGGATCCAACTGTAGCCCGGGCTCTGGAGCGGGCCCTGCCGTCCAGCTGGTGTTTGGTGTCCCCACGGAGCTGCTCGGGAACACCGTCCATTCCTCAGAAACCTTCTAGAAGGACGACTATTCCAGACCAATGCCACATGCCAGGAAAGGAGCCTGGCTGGGGTGGGGGGGGGCGGGTTCAGTCCCGTGTGTCCTCACAAGGATACCTTGAGGAGGGAGGGCCTGGACTGTGGACGTGTGGGGACAGGGTCCCTGCCACACCCCCAGGAAGAGGTGGAGAGCAGCATTTAGGATGGGCTCTGAGCGTCACAGCAGCCCCGCTGGGTTATCTTACGGCCTGGGTGGATGCGGCCGCCGGAGGGAGGGCCACGGGTGCAGGGGAGCTGCACGTGTGCCTGTGATCCTGTCCTTGTGTGCCAAACCTGTCGGCACATTTTGCAAAGTCTACCACCTGCTCCCAGCTGCGCTCACGGGGACATGGGACAGCCTGTGCTAGGGGACAAATGGTGGGGAGCAGCTTGGCATCGATGCCTGGCAGAGGGTAGGCCATGGGGACTTGCAGACCTTCTTCTGGGGCCCGGATGCTGCCTGGGGACTGGGCACGGACAGGTCTGATCTCAGCTGGATTTGCTCCGGCGCTCAGCTGACAGTTGGAGAACATGGCCCAGGCAGACTCTGGGGGGCTACGTGCCCTGGGCACAGGATGGCACCATCCAGATGGGCAATGCTGTGTTCCCCTGGGGGTGCATAGCTGCCGCTGCCCCATACCTGCCCTCCTGGCCTTCGGTGGTGGGTTTTTTTTTTTTTTTTTAAGATATTATTTATTTATTTGACAGACAGAGATCACAAGTAGGCAGAGAGAGAGGGGGAAGCAGGCTCCCCGCTGAGCAGAGAGCCCGATGCGGGACTCGATCCCAGGACCCTGGAATCATGACCTGAGCTGAAGGCAGAGGCCTAACCCACTGAGCCACCCAGGCGCCCCTCCCGGCTGTGTTTTAAAGGAACGGCTGTGTCGGCCACTCAGGGTAAGGGATCAAAAGGCCCTATAAAGCTGGTCTGGTGATTTGGGGTTTGAAGTGCTGAAGGTGCCTCCCGGGGGCATTTTACGCAGAAGGGGACGGCAAAGCAGGACAGCTGAAAGAGACAGATCACTGGAAAATTAAATGTGGGCTTTAACTGAGAAATAATCATTTTCTATGAAAGAAAATGACTTCTCTGGAGGCTGGTATCAGGATTTATCGGCCCAAGAGATTGTCAGGGATTGGAGCCAAGGCGTGAGGCCCTGGCGGCCACAGTCTCGGTGTGGAATTTTGCCGGCTCCATGGACCCGAACGCCAGAGCCGCGCTCTGCATTCGCGGGGCCGGGGGAGACTGAGGGCGTCAGACACCTTCCCCGGGGCTGAGCTGGACAAAGTTCCCGCAGAGCGCAGGGCCGTCGTGGGTGCGGGGCCACCGGCACCGGGGAAGGTTGCTCAGGAGGGTCCAGTTGGGAGCGCAGCCACCCCACCCACGGCCGCCAGAAAGGGGGCAAATCTGCAGGGTTTTGACACAAGAGATTTATTACCATGGTAGCCAAACGTGTGTGTGAGATACATAATTCCTCTCACACAGCCTCGTAAATCCAAAAGGGTCAGCAATAAATAGAGAAAAATAAAAAATTACAGACTAATTTGTTCAGAAAACTACAAGGAAATCAATAAAAAAGCTGTAGCTCAGAAGCCGTTTGGAAACGTGTCTACAGAGCGCGAACACCCCCACCCCAGTCCAAGCCTCTCCCGGGCGAAAGCAGAAGCGCGTGAGGTGTCTTTTTTTTTTTTTTTTTTTTTAAAGATTTTTCATGTATTTGACAGAGAGAGATCACAAGTAGGCAGAGAGACAGGCAGAGAGAGAGGGGAGGAAGCAGGCTCCCTCTGAGCAGAGAGCCCGATGCGGGGCTCGATCCCAGGACCCTGGGATCATGACCTGAGCTGAAGGCAGAGGCTTTAACCCACTGAGCCACCCAGGTGCCCCCGCGTGAGGTGTCTTAGCTGTGCCTCCCCGAGCCCCAAGCCAGGACGAGCCAGCCTGTGACAAAGGTGGGTCTGGCCAGCAGCCGGCCCAGACACGCGGCTGCCCCTAAGCTGGGGCCTGGTGGAGGGCTGCCTGGAGGAAGCAGCTTGCCGGAGCCAGAAGGTGGAGGGCACAGGCCGACCTCGGGGCTCTGCCAGGCGTGGAGACGTGTCCTACCTAAACTACAAGTCACGAAGGTCTGGGTCTTCCCAGGGGTCCATAAATGCTGTCGAGGGGCTGAGTTCCTCTCCGAAAGCTGGGAAGTGTGAGGCCCTGGATGGAAGGAGCCAAGGCCTGAGGGGTCAGCACCCCGCCCTTACCCCGAAGACTGCCGGTGTCCCCGAGGGCTCATTCCATGCTGGATGGCCACCAGGGAACGGGCTCTTGTGTCTTCCAGAAGGTGTCCTGAGCACTCACGTAGGCCTGGGCCCATCTATCCCCAGAGAACAGGCCAAACTTTGGCCCGTGACCTTTGGCCCTTGAGTGGGCTACTTCTCTAATCCGCACAGCTGGGCTGGCCTACATGCAGGTCTGGGCCTCCCAGGGCCACAGAGCTGAGGGAGTGAGCCCGCACAGACGTGCCCCCTGCCCACCTCCACCCGGGCTTCCCACATCCCCAGAACGGTGCTCTCTCCCGTGGCCTTTGCGGAAGGCTCTCCGTGCTGGCGGGCGGTCAGCTTGGGCTGGCGCCTGGTTCCACCTCAGAGCTGCTCCCCTTCCCGGCTCCTCCAGAATGTTCTCTCTCGAATCCGTGACTTCCGCATCTGTCCTGGGTCAGCCAGCCTTCGGACACGCCCCGCACAACCTTTCAGCTTCCCGCCTCTTGAACTGTGCAGCAGTGACCCTTTTGGGGCCGGATGGAAGCCGTGGACCCAAAGCCCGGAAGAACAAAGCCCACTGCACGGGATGTCACGCCAGTGCCCAGTCCCCCGCCCAGCGTCAGAGGATCACCTGCACGGCCGACGGCAGGTGGCTATTCTGAACGGCGGCTCTGCCCTCAGTGGTCCAGGCTTCCGGAGCCTCCCACACACACGGGCACGCATGGGCACAGTGACAAAGCAATGTCACAGGTGTGTGTCACCGCGGGCCCTGCCCTGTCTCCTCAGGAGTCTCATCAGTCTTGGGGACATGCCGGGTCAGCTGTGGGGACACAGCTGCTTCTCCGTCAGCGGGCGGCCGGCTGGGCCAGCTCCGAGAGCACAGCAAGCGTGTCGCACAGGATCCTTCTGGTGAGCTGGCTGGACACCAAGTCCACCACCTCGGCTCTCTCCCCACCAGGTACATCTGCGTGGGAGCCCGCGCCCAAAGCAGGATCCGGGTCACTGTGCCCGGTGCCAGACGGCCCCGTACCTCCGGCTGACAACAACATGGGCAGACCCTCCCTGGCCATGAAGGCCACTCTGGATGGGGTTGGGGGCTGCGCTGGCAGCCTTGGGAGCTCCCCCACGGCACCACCATCCCCCCCCCACAAGGGGGACCCTAGGCAGCAAACTGGCTCAGACCACTGGCTGCCCACAGCCTCAGCTCCCCCATCAGAACACGATTCGCCCAATTTTTCCCCAAGGCTTCCACCCTGTCTACCCGCCCCCAGGCAGAGCCCTGACTCTTGGGGCCCCGGAAACAGTGGCTCAGGCAGGACCTCCTCAGACAAGGAGGGCAACTCCCCAGTTCTAATGGAGGCATCCTCCCTGGGGGGGCCCGGTGAGCCCCCAGGAGACATGGTGTCTTCAGGTGGGGGAGGGAAGTCTCCCGAGTGCAGGCTGGCCCCCTCACGCTCTGCTGGGAGGGTGGGAGGCCAAGGAGGGAGGCTGGTGTCCCTGTGGGTGGAGGACGGAAGGTCAGCACTGCCATAGGACAGCACATCGTCCACAGGGGACAGGATCTCGGGCAAGACCCCGCTGGCCAGGGTAGGGCAGGCTTCCTCTGGGGCAGGGGAGTGTCCCCTCCCCCTATGCCCAGGTGCCCAGCCCTTGGGTGTCTGGGCTACCAGACCACCAGGGTCTCCAGGAGGAGCCTGCGGACTCACGGGGACCTCAGGCTCAGACCAGGCCTGTTGAGGTTTCCTGTGGTTGGACAGACTCAGGTCAGTGCCCCCAGGCCCCTCTGGGCAGCCAGCCGAGGCTTGTAGAGCCCCAGTGTCTCCCGCTTCACCAAACTCCACCCCTTCGGATGCCAGGGACCCGGAGGGAGAGGAAAGGGGCAGGTCTAAGTCACGGGAGGGAGAGGCTGTGGATGGGAGTGGTGGGAAGGCAGCCTCCGGTGACACCTGTTTGCCTCTTTCTGTATTTAATCCACTGACCAGGCTCCCGCTGGTTCTGGAAGCTTCCTGCCCCTTCCCAAGGCCCAGGGAAGGAGGTACAGAGCAGGGCGCCCTGTCACCTTCCAGGTAAGCTGAGCCTCCTGCAGGGGAGTGGCGCCCTGAGCCTGGGTCAGCACCAGGGCCTGGCCCCAGCAGGTTCTCCTCATCCCAGACCTCGCTGGGTGCCTCTGACAGCTCTGACCTTGACCTCCCAGAAGGGGCATCCGGGAGAGGCAGCAGCCGGCCCACCTGCACGAGGCCTCCCCTGGGCTCTGGACCCCCTGTGTCCATGGGGGAGCCGCCCTGGGGACCGGTCCTGTTGCCCTCCAGCCTCTCCCAGGCCACCGGCTCCCCGCCCCGGTGGACCCCCCAGGAGTCTTGAGGTGAGAGCTCCCTAGACCAGCCAGGGTCTGCATCAGTGGGGTCCCCAGCTTCCCAGTCCGAGAGGGAGACGGAGCTCTCGGAAAGCTGCACCAGCATGGCGGACGCCTTCTGAAACTCCTGGAGAGAACAGCAAGACAGCCCGCTCAGGGAGGAGGAGGCACGGGACCCGGCACAGGTCCAGGGAGCTGACTCAGACTCGGACTTGGGGCCCAGCCCCAGGGGGCTGCCCGCACGCGGGCTGGAGGGCGCAGGAGCTGCAGAGAGAGGGGCGTTTGGGGGTGAGGCCCACAGTCCTTATGCTTATGCGGGCCGCAGCCCACAAGCCACGGGCCCCAAGCCAGTGGCCCAAAACCAGAAACACCCTGACAGGCAGAAGAAATGTCCACAGCGCCCGCGTGGCTGAGCCCCCCACTCTCTGCCCACCCGCACGGGAGGGAGTCACGTCTGGGCGGGTCTGGCCTGGGAGACCCTGGGAGCTGGCCTGGGAGCTGCTGTGTGCAAGGCGGGGAGGCTGCACCCGCGCTGGCGGGCTTCCTTGAGGCCCAGACGCTCTGGACAGGGGTCTCCCTCGCCTGCCCTACAAGGGTCCGTGTCCGGAGGGTGGGGGCAGGCAGGGCTCCCTTGTGGGGCTCTGGGAGAAACCTGGCTCTGACTGAGAAGCTGGTCTTGGACGACCCTGAAGTGGGGATTCCTTGTCCCTTGTGCAAGGTGGGGCCTTTGTGGGGGGGTCACCTGGAGCAGCAGTCCACGGGGTGGCTTCCGGCCGAGAGAAGGGGTCGTGGGGGTCCTCCTGCCAACAGGTCTCCATCCTGCAGGCACAGTTTTGGGGGTGTCCCGGGGGCTCCCCGGAGAAGGTCCCATCCCCCCAGCCTCCTCCTCATGGCTCAGGGCCTCTGCGGGACCTTCAACTACCCCGTGAACTTGACAGCCGGCCTGCCAGGCATCTGCCCCAATAGGAAGGGACCGCCAGGGCACAGGACTCCCCGGGTGGGGGCAAGGGGCCCTGTGTTTACGGGTTCTGGCCTGTCCCTGCAGCGTCAGGTCTCTGGGGGTGTTGCCGTCTGAGAAGCTCAGAGGCACGTGTTCCCCAGAAGGGCCCCTCCTACTGCCCCTACCACTGGACCTGGGGCTGATTCGCCAGTGGACGTCTTTGTTTCCACAGAGGGGGTCAGGCTCCGGACAGGATGGGGAGGGCTGGGGGTGGCCAGGGGGCCCAGGCCAGGACGAGGGGTGCCCGGAGGGAATGAGGTTCTCTGGAGGAGAGGACAGGCATCTCCATGCCCCGGGTCCCGACTCCTGCCTGAGAGTCCCGCCGGCCCAAGGCAGCCCTGCAAACCGCACACCTCTGTCCCCCTGACGCCCGGCTTTCCATCTGGTGGGGCTCCTCCTTGGGGCTGTCGGCAAAATCCAGCTCTGGTTCCGACCCTGCCGGGCTTATGCTGCCTTCAGCCACCTGCTGGGAGCATGTTGGAGAGAGACCGCCCCCACGGCATGGCATCGGTGCTGGCCGCTCAGCGGTGGATCCCCCCAGCACGCTCCTGTGACTATGGGAATGAACAAAGACTGCCCCCTTAAAGACGACCCTGGAGATCCCCACTTACCAGATACCCCCCCCCCCCAGGCTCCAAACACCCCCTCAATGGACGAATCCACCTGGGAAGGGCCAAATAGGCCCCAAACATCCACGCCCTCATCTGGTGGACGGGGTGACCCGTCCCATCCAAAGCCACACAGTAGAGCCCGACCAAGCAAGGCCAGGCCCCCACCCTACCCACAGAGGGTGCAGGGCCAAGCCTCGACTCACGCTGGCTTCCGGGGGGCTGCAGGGACTCCTTCCGCCCAGGGAGTGCTGGCCCTGGAGTTTCTGCCCACGGCATTCCGTCAGAGGCTGCGTCCTCTCCATCGATGACAAAGGGCGGGGGTTGGGCAGGGGGTCTCCTGTGAGCAAAGGGACCCTGAGCACCGATGGGTGCGGAACGCAGGGTGTGGACGGCACGGTGTCCAGGAATTCTGAAGCCACATGGAACAATCAGCCTCAAAAAATGGGCCCACCCTTGACCTGGCCTCCCCTCTTATAGAGGGGGAGACTGAGGACAGGGAGAATCACCCCTCGCCCTCCCCCCTGCCCGGAAATGGTGGTGGAGGTGTGTGCAGGGGACCCTCCTGCCAGCAGGCCCCCTGCACCCAGAGGGAGGTGGAGGACAGCCCTGTCGCACAGCTCGGGCAAGGCTCGCCAGGATGCAGGTCTGTCTGGTGCTGCCCCAAGTGGCCAGGGCCCCCTGGACAGAGTGACCGTTAGTCCTCGGCCGCTGCTGCCTTATCTGGTTACCTTGGTCCACAGGGATCTGGCTCTCTACCAGTGGGCCCCCAGCGTCGGGCCAGCCACTGGCCACAGGCATGTCCTCTCCCCACACAGGTCTTGGAAGCGGTCGGTGACTGTCCACAGCTGAAGTGGCCTCAGGGTGTGTCCCGTCCTCCTGCCCAGTGGGAAGGCTACAAGGCAGTGAGTGTAGAGGGTCTGTGACTGCCTGTCAGGGCTGTGCCCTCCCCAGGTGACGAGTCCTGACCGGGACACTCCACAAGCAGGACGGCATGTGTCCAGGGCACAGTTGTGGACAGTGGCTGAGTGGTCAGCACACGGGTGAGGGAAGACAGGGCCTGGGCCCTGCCCACCAGGCCGTTGCCCCCAGATGGGGCCATGGCTGGGGGCTAACAGGGCATAGCCATGGTTCTGCGGCGTGATGGGAGGGAGGCATCTGTCCCCAGCACAGGGGAGACCGGCCACTGGGCTCCCCTGTGCTCTGGGAGGCCCAGATGCCACACATTCAGACCCGCTGCCGTGCTCGGGGCACATGGACGGACATCAAGAGCCCCCCTCCCCCATCCTCGCAGCCTCAAGGAGGCGGCTGGGGGCAAGGGCCTGGCGCAAAGGTGGGGAGCCCGGCTGGGCCACAGCTGCCTCTCTCTCAGGCTCAGCCTGCCTTGTTTCTCCTCCCTCTCTCCCGAGGCGCACACTACAACCAGGTACAGCTTGCTGCCTCCCCTGGCCAGCGTCTCCCCGCAGTGGGGTCACACCCACATCGGGGGCGTGAACAGGGAGTGGGGTCCCAGGGCCATCCTAAAGCCTGTAATCTTGGGCCTTGAAGGAGGGGACCGCTCAGGGACTGGAGCTCTGACTTCTCTGGGACAAGGCCTGGGAGGCAGCTGTCCACTCTGGGGTGTCCTGGACGCAAGCCCCTGCCCGGCCCCAGGAGCAAGGACGCTGAGCACAGAGCAAGGGGGCTGCGCCTGAGCCCATCACCCACCCCTCAGCACTGCCTTGGGGACGGGACCGGCTAAATAACCTGGAATGGGAGCCCCCTTGCCCTTTAAAGGCTTATCATCCTGCCCACCCCCTCGTCACACCCAGGGTCTCAGGCCAGGAGCGGGGGGTGGGGTGGGGGGGGTGGGGCTGGCGCTGAGCAGCGCAGGGAGTGGCCCCGGGGGCCCTAGCTCAAGGGTGCACCTGGGCCCTCACCCAGCCCCAGCCCCGCTGAGCTCCTCTTGCTGGAGCCAAGAAAAGAAGTTCCTGTTCTCCACGTGGCCTGACCTCCCGCAAAAAATCAAAGGTCTCTCTCAGTGAGGGAGGGAGTGGTTATGAGAAATTTGAGATTTTTCCTTCCGGGTACACAGCTTCTCTGTTCCCTAACTTTCCGATGGTGACTAGTGCCTCGCTGGTGTCATGAGAAATCAAGGGAGGCCTCGCCCCCTCGGAGGAGGGCTGGTCCCCGCAGTACTCAGGCCTACCCACAGCCTGTGCACACAGCCCCACCCACCCAGCCTTCCCAGCCCGGCTCCCTGGGACCCAGAGGGTACAGTGGGCCTGGAAGCGTCTTTTGAGATCCCCGGGCCTGGCCATCGAAGGCAACGTGAAGGGTAGATCAGTCCACGCTGAGATTTATTTGCAAAGCCCTCTCAGGGGGAGGGCAAGCGGGGCTTGTGGCCGGGCAGCTGAGCGGGCCAGGACCCCCTTGCGCGGAGGAGGCAGGCAAAGGGTCCTGCCACGTGGGCAGAGGGCCGCTGGAGGCAGGCAGGCGGGGGTCCCTGTGAAGGCCGCTCCTGGTGGGGGCGGCGAGCCCTTCCCGGGGTAGGGGCTGCCTCCTGTGTCCTCTCCCCCAGCTTGCTGGGGTTAGAGTCTGGCTGGTGGGCCGACAGCCCTGGGGCCATTTTATTAAGGCAGAAGGGAAGGGATGTAGGACAGTCGTGATGGGAAAAGCAGCTCGCTCTCTCCCACAGGGCTCTGGGTCGGGGTCCTGGTCATTGGACTCCCCCCTCTACCCTCTCAGGGCAGCGCCCCTCTCATCGGCCAGGAGAGGCCCTTTTGCCGCAAAACGAGGCCAGCAGCCACGTGGCCAGGCCTGTGAGAGAAGGCCCAGCCGTCACAGCTGGTAGGAAAGCCCTGAGCCAGCCTTGGAGGAGGCTCCTGGCTGCTAGGGGGGCACACAGGGGCCACCTGCTGCCCCCCAGCAAAGCCTGTCTAGTTATTTTGTCTCCCTGCACCCCACATAGCCAAGGGATAGTGGCAGCCCTGTCCCCTTTCGCAGATGAGGAGCCAGGCTCAGAGAAGGGAGGGCACCCCAGGGCCACACTCTAGCCAGCATCCCAGCTAGGAGTGAGCCAGCGCTGTGCTCCTCTGCTGTGTTCCTCCCACCGGACCCCAGGGCCGCGCTGGCCTCTGCCCACATCCCCATGGGCCAGCCAGCTGAAGCAGGGTCCCCTCGGGGTCCCCAGGGCCGCCCCCTCCCCACCAGCAGGGCTGAGACGTGCAGGGCCCAGCAGCCATGAGCACCGGGGCCACTCGGCACAGGAAAGGCTTTAATGGTGAGCGCGGAGACCAGGAGTGCCGCTGACAACTCACAGTTGGGCGCGTGGGCTCTCGGAGCTTCTCCGGGGGCTGGGGCTGGTGGGGTCGCCAGGCCTACGTGGTGTTGACGGGCACAGGGAGCCCTGTGCCGGCCCCTCCATCTGAGCGGTCTTGACTTTGTGGCCAGACCTCTGAGAAACAGCCCCGGAGAGCGGTGTGAAACACACCTGTGTCACCTGCTCTCAGGCAATGCAGGGGGCAGGCTGCGTGTGCGGGGCCGCTGGCTGCCCGCGCTGCGGTGCTGAAGCTGATGCTCTCGCCGGCGGAGACAGGCGGCTCTAACCTCCCAGCTGCCCACATCGGAGCCAACTGCCCCCAGGCAGGTGCACACGTAAAGCCCAGGGCTGGGATTCCTTGGAATCCTGGGATTCCGAGGCTGCCCCGGGTCACCGTGCCCACACTCAAGGCCACGCTCTGGCAACGGGCAGTCCCAGATCACCTGTCCTGCAGGCCGGCCTAGGGCAGGGCACACACCACCCGCTGCTCACCCCGCAGAACCCAGTCCTTCCCATCCTCACCCTGCCAGGTGAGGCCGTCAGCATCCCCATCTCAACGGAGGATACACTGAGGCTGGGGACGGCTGCCCCGCTTAGTGTCCACACGACCCCCTCCATGCGACAGCTGGTGGGGACGGGGAGTTGGAGCAAGGACACCTTTGCTGCTTGGCATTCCCCAAGGGGCTGTCCCCCTAGGAGCCCAGGCCACCCTTCCTTCTTGCCTCAGCCGCCACCAGCCCCAGTCCCATCCCCAGCTCTAGTCTAACCCCCTCCTTCCCACTGGGCTTCTCACCCCCACCCCTGAGCCTGGAGCACCTTCCCCTACTATGGTGTGGGGGGGAGTCTGGCTCCCCCTGGAGAGCCTGACCAGGGCAGTGGTATCCAGGAAACCTCCTTGGTCCCCGCAGGAGGCAACTGCCTCCTGCTGTCCCATTAGACCTCTCCCAGGCCCTCCCCGCTCTGGGTCGAGGTGTATGACGGGGCTCCTGCACTGTCCCCCAGAGCAACCGGGTGGCAGGTGACAAGCGTCCAGCCTGGGGAGTGCGCCCACCTGAGGCAGCCCGGTCCGGGCCTCGAGCTCCTGCTGCAGCTGTGCCACGGCCGTCCGCAGGGACAGGATGTCCCTCTGGTGCTGCAGAAGCAGCTTCCTCTCCTCGTGCGAGAACCGGTGAGCATTCTGCAGGCACCGGATTTCTCTCTGAACCAGCCAGAGGAGAAGTCAGCAAAACCCCAGCCGCGCACAGAGAGAGACCCACAGGATTAGATTGATGAGCGGGGAAGGGGGAGTCTGGGGGGCAACCTGGCTCCAGAGGGGCCTTCCCTGAGCCCCTCCAGGTGCATTCCTCATCCTGCTCAGCATGTTGGCCACCCTTGGGTTTGGCAAACAGGAGGCTTGGCAGGAGGCAGGAGGAAAGGTAGGGTGTTGTTCCCTGGGCCCCCCAACATGGGTCGGGACAGGCTGGCTGCACTTCTGCCCTCCCCCACATAGCCCTCCCTCTCTCCAGGTTCTGGGCACTGCCCCTGCCCCCTGGACTTGTCCCTTCATTACACTGTCCGCAGGTGGAGGGACGCCGTTCGGCAGAGCCACCTTGCCCAGAGCACGTGCTTGGTCTCTGCACACCCTCCCCAGGTGGTGGCAGCTTTTATAGGTTAGAAGAGCTATGTTCCTTCTCAAGGTTCCCAAGAGCTGGGCCCCTTGCTCAAGCCCCAGTAGTCAGGGGCTCAGACTGCCTGGTTCACCACTGCATCGCCATGTCATAACTCGAGCCCCTTCTAAGCTGCCTTCACAGCTCACGGTCATGGTGTCTGTGCCCTGCATTTATCTGTCTAGGTCTCCTCCCGTTGGCCCCTCTGCCTGGAATTCTGGCCCTTACAGGCTATCTGGGGGGAGGGTTTCTGTCAACCTAGCATCACCCCTCACCGCCCCTCTGCGGGTCCCTGAGCAAGACAAGCCCCCTACACTGAGCCTCAGTTTCTCCATCTGCATAAGGGGGGCTAACACTGGTCCCACCACAGAGTGGCCCCGGGACACTGGGCTCGGAGCAGCTAGTGAGCCCCTCTGCGGTCATGCACAATCCCCCCTGGGTGGTGCCGGCCGTGCTAAGGCCCCTGTAGCCCCCGCAGCAGACACAGCTGTCATTCTCCCGTTGGCGAGGCTGCAGGAGGCCACAGGGGGCAGGACGGAGGCCACGCTGCCCTCTCTGGGCCCTGGACGCTCCCCTCACACCACAGGGTCCAGAGCTCCCCAGGAGGGTGCTGATGGCGGGGACCTATCACGGGTGGTGCAGAGTGCTCGCGAGCCAGCCCGGAGGGTGGCAGGACCGAGTTGGTGCCGGCTGCCCACCCACCCCTGGGGGCTGAGCTGGCCCTTACCTGCTCCTGCTCAAGGCTGCTGAGGGCCTGCTTCTGCCTCTCTGCCAAGACTGCCAGCACCGCGGCGCTCCCCTCGCGGCCCAGACACCTGAGGGAGGAGGCAGGACCCGCTGCCCACCTCGCATCCAGCAAGCGGATGTGGAAAACTGCAGACACGGCCAGCCCTGGCCAGCCAGGTGGACCCGGGATGGCCCCTGCCACGGCTCTGACGGGCTGGGGGAACCCAGGAGACCTGGGGGCCCAGCCCAAGCTGTCACTCTTCCCACCTATGCTTCATGACCACTTTCAGGCTTGACGGATGCAGGGAGGGCAACGCCTTGCACCCTGGAGCTCCAGCCGCCCAGAGGGTCCTTTGGGGAGGGGCACGTCATGGACCCACAGCCTGGGAAGCCCTTCACTGGGGTGTACTTTTCGGAAGCCAGAGAGGGAACATGCGTCGGTATCGGTGCGTCCGTCGTCACGGACATGGCCTGGCCAGCGGACAGCGGATTCAGAGCATCCGTCCTCACGGACGCGGTACCGGGGCGTCGGTCCTCATGGACACGGCCCACCCGCAGGCATCTACTCTGCAGGCGTCTCCCTGCCAGCGCGGGGTGAGGGCGCACGGCGGGAGGCGGCTCGAGGCCCGGCCGCCGGCTGCAGGGGTGTGCGGAGCCGGGCGCGCCCCTGCGGGCGGCGGCGTAGGAGGGCGCAGGAAGGTTCTCCGGACGGGCCGCGTGTCCGAACGCCGTCCGCAGCCGCGAGCGCCGCTCGACTAGACGGCAGGACCGGCCGCGGCTCCCGGGGAAGGCGGCACCGCGCGCGGGGTCGGGCGTTTGTTCCCGGTGCCTCACGGGCTTCGCTAACCTCCCGCGAACACCCTCACGACTGGGACTGGCGCAGTCTTGCACCCCAGCCACGGGGTCCGCCCCCGGCTCGGGGGCGGGGCCCGGCGTCGGGGGGCGGGCCCGAGCGGGTGGGGGAGGGACTGCGCATGCGCTCACCCTCGCTGCTGCTCCAACCAGGCCAGCTCAGCGCGCATCCTTTCCTCCAGCGCTTTCTCGCGCAGGCGCAGCAGCGCGGTCTGGTGCTGCGCTCGCAGCTCCTCCTCCCGCAGGCTCAGCTCAAGCATCTGGAGCGTGAAGTGGCCGGGGCTTCCCGCGACGTTGGCTTTCCAGGGCCCCGCCAGGCTCCGCTGTGGTGGGGCAGACCGAGCAGGCCACTCCGGGACCAGCCTCGCTGGGTGGGAGCGTTGCCCCGCCCAGGGGAGGGCACCGCCTCCAAGAAGCCCTCCCGGACTGCCGCCTCACTCCTCCCAACCCCCAACCCCCCGCGCCCTATCGTGCCTCCTTTCCTGAAGCGGAGTAACCCCTTCCCGACTGTGAGCGCCCAAGGGCAGGGCGGGATCCTCATCATCTTGGGCTCATCCCCAGCCCTGATCCAGGCTGCGCACTCTTTGTGCCCAAGAGGGTCAGGGAAAGACTGGGCCACCTGCCCTGAAATGTGCTGCCTGAAAGTGGGGACCAGCCCTGCCTGAAGCACTATGTCGAAATGCCTGCTCTCACCTACCGCCGCAGGCACGAGGACGGGGCCTGGGTGGATGTCAGTTGGGAGGGTGGGTGATGCTGGTTGCTGGGGGCTGCCTCCCCCAGCCCAGAATCTGCAGAGGAGACACCCTGGGTGCAGGCTCTAGGTGAGGTGGGCCTCAGCGCCTGATGGCTCCAGGAAGTCAGCGGGAGGATCTGAGTCTACAAGCTGCTGCCAGGGGCCCCTGGGGGGCTTACTGAAGCGTCTGCTCTCGCTGGGATCGTGATCCCAGGTCGTGATCCCAGCATCCTGGGGTCCAGCCCCACATGGGGCTCCTTGCTCAGCAGGGAGCCTGTTTCTCCCAACCCCCTCTGCCCCTCTCCCCCCCCCACCCCCCCCCCCCCCCCCGCTCGCGCATGCTCTCTCCCACTTTCTCTTTCAGAAAAAAAAAAAAAAAAAGCTGCTGCCAGTGCCTCCCCTGAACCCCTCCCCAGCACACAGCTTCCTGTACCTGGTGGGTGCGGCTGACCCGAGGGTCGGGCCTGGCCAGGGGCCGCTGGGAGGGAGCTTGGTCTGCTCTCACTTCCTGTCTGGGCTCTGAGGACAGAAAACACAGGGTGTTTGGGTCGTGCAGGGGTTCCAGGGCCCTGTTCTCCAGGAGGGCCTCTCAAGTAGGATGTCTGGGGTAGTTTAGTACCCCCCCACACACACACAGCTTCACACCAGGAGAATTTAACCATCTCTTTGTCCCAATGTGAGGTAGTGTGTGAACCCACTGATGTACAAAAGACCGGCCCCAAGGTAGAGGAGCCTCAGGGAGGACTTAGTCCTGCAGCTTCACTTCCACAGGGAGACACTGAGGCCCCAAGACAGAGTGACCCATCTGAGGTCCAGCACCAAGCAGGTGGGTGACAGAGCTCAAATCTGAGCCTGAGCGGCTCTTGGCCCCGAGCACTGCTCGCTGTCCCTCGGTGCTGGCTGGGATGCAGAAAGGACTCTATAGTTTTAAAATGTTCGTTTGAGGACTTGTGTTTCCCACCAAGAGAGCAAAAGGGATAGGATTGTGATCTATCGTCCCACTAAATATACTTTAAAATGCAATAAAACAAAAAAGTGACATAAGTATATGCACGTACACATACATAAATGTTCACACACACATACGAAAGAACAATTTTCCAGACACCGGACATCAGGCAATAAAGCACGAGTGATCTCTGAGAGACAGAAAACGGGTGAGACCCCTGACTGTCACAGCTTACTGCCTTGAGAATGTTTCTAGGCTGCAGTGTATGGAGGGGAAACTGAGGCAGAGCCTTGCAGACCTCACGAGGAGAGGAGATGGAGCTGGAAATCTGGAGAGACCCAGGCAGCTAAAACTCATGAAAGAAGGACCAGAGAGGAGAGAGCCACGCAGAGAGAACCTGGAGATTTGGAGTGTTTCCCATGAGCTTTCGGTGGAAACCATATGAGGAAGTTACCCATGCTGGGGAGAGAAGCACGGGAAGGAGCAGAAGGCCTAGACTGCACATGTCTTCACTAGCCAGACTGGAGAACCTCATGATCTAGGGGTCTTGGGGCAGAGTTCACGGAAGGTTCTGCCTTGGTCGCAAACTGAGCCCTGCCTCACAGCCTCCTGGCAATTATCATGGCAACACCTGGAAGGATGCGACAACGTCCAAGGGACTGCATTCCTGAACAAAGCTCACCACCTTGTGTGGCAGCACACAACTGTAGCTCCCAACAGGGCAAAATGCAAAGTGTCCAGCAGGCATGTGAAGAAGCAAGAAAGCACGGCCCATAACGAGAGTGCTCCATCAGCTGAGACCGAACTAGATGGTGGAATGAGCCAGAGAAGGACTTTAGAAGCATTTATAACTGCATTCCCTATGTTTAAAGAGTCAAGTAGAATCAGGGATGATATAAAAGTGCCCAGATGGAACCTTTAGAGACGAAGCCCAAATGCATGAGAAGAAAAAGACGCTGAGTGGGATTAGTGACAGATCGGACGCCGCAGAGGAAAGGAGGGATGAACTTGAAGGCACAGCAGTCGGAACTCTCCGGAAGGCAACACAGAAGAAAAAAAAGAAGAAAGCAAGCACATAGAAAGAACCGAAGGTGGCGAAACACCTAGGTGAGTGGAGGCGAGGTGAGGACACGGGAGTGAGTGTGGCCGGACATTCCGAAACAAAATGAGTACAGCACACCTGCAGGTACAAGTTCACAACACGCCCCAAGCACAAGAGACAGAGAAGCTTCACCCGAACCCGTCATAGCCCATAACGAAGAGAAAGCGGGAGAGGCAGCCGGAGATGAAAGGCGCCTCCTGCGTGGGAGAAGAGCCTGACCCCAGAAAGCCTGACCCCAGCTTTCTCGTTGCCAACAGGGCAACTAGAGGACCAGGCAGCGTGTCAGCCGGGAGGAAGAACATCCACCTGGACGTCTACGTTCGGCAAAGATGAAAGGAGTCTGTCCTTAGGCTTTACGAAAGCAAAGGGACTGTGTCACCGGCACGGTCCAAGCGAATGGACGTCCAGGCAGAGTGAAGCCAGAGACAGAAACCCGTCTACACCAGCCAGAGCCAGCATGGGAAATGGGCGTGTGCAGACACCTTCGGAGGGGACAGAGTGTTTCCAACAATAAAGGAGACTCGTGGAGGTCCTGAACTGTCTAAGGCAGGTGTCGCCCGGGAAAGGGAAGGGGAAGCCCCGGGAGAGCCCTCCGGTGGACGGAGGGGATGCATGTCTGAAACTGGCCCCTCTGCCTGCCCCGGGCGCGGGGTCAGGCACCTGCTGCGTGCATGTTTCGAGGACTCTCACCTGCAGAAGTGGACTTGTCCTCCTGACTCTGCTGTCCTTCCTGGGGACCCTGGGAGGGTGTGGCAGCGTCTCTGCCCCTGGCTGGTTGTGATCTGTGGGGGGAAAGCGCTGGAGACGGCACCAGCCGCCTGCACCCGTCCCACCCAGCCGGCCCGACCTCTGCTACGTCAGGAGGCTGTGGCCAGCTCCACCCGGGGCCCCACCTTGGGCTGGCAGTCTCGGTGCTCGGAGAGGTTGTGGGCTCCAGGACTCCACACACCCGTGGCCGCTCCTGCTCCAAAGCAGAAGCCAAAGCCGGGTCTGGTCTGGCGTGGGGGGAGTGTTTCTCCATCAGATGCTGCAAGAATAGGAAGGCAGAGTGTGTCGTGGAGGCCCGACCTCAGAGGCTCCTTCGTCTGTCCTCCGCGTGGGGCTGACAAGCACCCCCCTTCCCTCCAGACAGGGCTGGATGTGGCAGGCTGGGGGAAGGCGGCAGGTGCCGAGCAGACACAGAGTAAGGCCAGAGCTGGGGCTCAGACAGCCGGGGAACCACAGCCCTGTGCCCCAGCCGCAGCCAGGGAAGGAGAGAGCCGGCACCGGGGTGCGTGTGTATGGTACCCGCACGCACAGGCACATGTGTGCACGTGTTTGCACACATGCCCCCGGGCTCGGGCACCCTCTTGGGAACGCCTCCCCAACTGTACTGTGAGTACATCCAAATAGTCCCCAACCAAAGCCACAGAGAAGGTTGGTCACATCCAAGGAGATCCCAGATGTCACTCCCAGGGCGGGGGGGGGCATCTGTACCACCTGGACCAGCGAGCGCAGGGGGCTGGGCAGAGCTGGTTTGGAGATGTGGGGCCCCTGGCCCCCCTGCAGACCTGCAGGGCTGCGTGTCCTGCACACATCATCAGCTCACAAGTCCCTCAGCAGAGGCCCAGACTCGGGTGAGTGCCAACACGCCTGGGACAGTGGCTCAGGCGGTCATCAGTGCCCTCAGCCAGGAGCCCCTGGCTTAGTAGTGGGCCGAATCATCCTGCTTCTGCTTTAAACTGAGCGTCTGTGTGTGGCCCACGGAGCTGGCCTCTGGCAGGCAGCCATGCTGTCCTCTTCCGGGCATTGCGGGCCCGCGGTTCAGGTGACACTGTGGCTACAGTGTCCTTGCCCTTCCACAAAGGCAGGTGGCCCGCATGCAGCCACAGAGCCGAATCCATCTGGGGGGGCCCCGGGCTCGGGGCGGGGGCAGGCGGGGTGGCACTGCCCCCTGGCAGGGAGTGGGGCATGCCCATGGAGACCCCTCGAGTCCTCGGGCCAACTGACCTCCAGCTGGTGCTTGAAGAGCAGCTGGTCCAGGGCCTTCTGCGTCTCCCAGACCTCCAGCTCCGCCTGCTGCCGCAGAAGCACCAGCCCCTGCTCCGGCTTCTCCTGGTCCAGCTGCAGGGAAGGCCTGAGGCTCGATTCCTGGGGGGGGGGCCCACAGTGCTGCCCCCATGGCTGCCCCAAAGCCCTGAGCCCCAGAGGGCAGGTTGTGCCACACTTCCCTGAGGGACGCCCCCAGAAGCCCCCCACTCAGCCTCTCTGCTCAGCCTCAGGGGGGCGAGGGTAACTCCCAGCCCCACCCAGGCAGGCCTACCGGGGACACAGCTGTCATCAGCCTGACAGGGTGGGGGCAGGACACACCTGCAGGGACTTGAGAGAGCTTGGGGACTTCCAGGGGATGTTGGCAAGGTGCCCAGAGCGCTGACCTGCGGGAGCCACAGAGAAGGGGCAGCTGAGTGGCCTCAGCCCTCGGCCCACAGGAGGGCAGGTGCCCGACTCCCAGCACGGCCCCCAGGGACTGCCCCTGCAGCCTGGGGCAGGGGGAGGCAGCTGGCTGCTGAGACGACTCCGCCTCTGCTTGGGGCTCCGCTGCCTGAACTTCAGCCACACTCTCCCGGGATGCATGCCCGAGTCTGCAGACAGCGGGAGCCATGCACACAGACCTTGGCTCATCCCGCCTGCCCTGGGGAACCTGGGACACATTGCCAGCCCTTCAGCGTCTCGGCGGGAACACGCTGGCCTCCCCAGCAGCGAGATGACCGAGCATGTGTGGGGCGGAGGGCAGCCGCTGCTGCTGTAATCGGGGTCTCAGCTGGTCGGTCCCCAGGCATCCCTGAGATGTCTGGGCTTGCTCTGGAGAATGAGCACGGGAACCTCCACCTCCCCGCCCAGGGCAGGCGGTCCCTGAGGGCAGTGGGGGGCTCCGGCTCAGGCTCTGCACACCGTTGGTGCTCCTGGCTCCCGGGTGGCTGACTCTAGGGCGACTCCATGGTCAGAGGGGTGGCCGCTGCTCCCTCCTCGGCCCGCCTTCTGTCTTCTGGGTCTGTGCCTGGTGGGAGCAGGCAGAGGAGGGCGTGCAGGCTCACTCCCAGGGCTTAGGCTCTCCTGGTGCCTCTTGGATGACCATTGCCATCACTGGCCAGGGTACAGAGAGAAAGTCGTCCCCCAGACTGTTCTCCTGCTCCAGAGAGAGCAGAGTGGCCCAGCTTTCCATGGATGGAGTGGCTGTGGACTACAGCGAAACCAGCCCCAGGGCATTTGCACAGCATTGAGAAAACTCTGAAGCACGAAGCAGGGGAGAAGCAGGGGCTCAGGCCATCTAATGTGTGCTGAGCATGGGGTCCCCCTTCCCTCCCTGCTGGCCTCCACAGGGAATGGAGACCCGCTGGGGAGAACGGCTTGAAGTCTCTTCTGAGCTCAAGTTCCTTCAAGAAGGAAATATCCTCTCTTGCTTTTGTTTTGTGGCCACTGGGAGAAGCTGGAGGCAGAGAAGGTGCTCGGGACCCCCAGGCCCGACCATCCTGCAGGCACCCAGCAGGCTCGCAGTTCCAGGGAGGGCCACATCGCATCAGCATCCCCTGGTCACCAGGCAGACACGGGCTCCGTGGCCCTGAGCTCTGAGCCGTGACCCGGGAGAAAGCGGGTTGTCCCCACAGCAGGTGTGTCACGACAAGCGTGTCCCCAGTTGTGAGGCTCGGCTCGGGGAATCAGGCCCGAAGCCGGAAGGGAGCTGACAGGACACCATGCCCTGGGAGGGAGCACCACTGGCCTGGGAGCTGACGTCTCCCAGTCTCCGGCCCGGGCCACCGGCCACCACATGTGCCATTTACACTTAAGTGAAAAGGAACTAAAACCCAACATGCCATGCTTCGGCCACACTGGCCCCGTATCCCAGCTAGACAGCCAATGTGGCCGATGGCTACCATACGGGATCTCTCAGAATCTAGAACACTCTCCTCCTTCCAGAGGGTTCCACCAGATAACGTGGTCTCAGACCGTCAAGTGTTCACGGCCCACAAGCTATGACTGGGGGAGCAGTAGGACTTGGCGCAGCCCAAGTGTCGTCTGGGAGGCTTCCTGGAGGAGGTGTCACACGCAAGCCCGGCACATGCGCTCTGGTGTGCTTGTGTGCTCGCTGCTTGGTCTCCGGCTACCTGAGATCCTGCTCTCAGCTACTCCAGACGCAGGCAGCTCAGATTTCAAATGAGTCTTGGGGGCAGCCTGTAGCCTCAGGGTAAAGAGATCCTGCGGGAGAATTTCAGTCTGTGCACAGAGAAACAGGCCTGCAACACGGTCAGTGTAAGGAGCGACGTGGGAGGGAGCGGGAAGTTGGGGTGAGCCTCCACCTGTCTTCCCCCGTGCTCCCTGCCCCCTGGAGAGGCAGCCTGGAGGCGGGGCCAGGGCGAGGGGCAGGCTTTCCTGGACAGCCTGGGTTCCGCTGGTGGAAGCGGCCAGGGCCCCTGGCCGACAGCTCCTCCCAGACCAGACTCAGAGGCTCCAGGAGGGCTGTTCACGGATGTGTCCCGGAGCAGGGACAGCTCTGCCTGACTCCTCTCTCTGGAAGGCACGGCAGGTGTGGGTGGGAGCCCTGGGGACCCCGAGGCCCCATGGCAGGTGGCCCGGGGCCCTCTAACTCAACCTGGCCCCTCGCCTAGTAGAGGGGCGCCTGCAGAGAGGGGCTGCTCTGAAGGAAGGCCTGGCCTTGCCCTGGAGCCCAGGCGAGCCCCTGACCGCTGCCCCCGAATGAGTCCGTGGGGAAGCTCACACCTTGGTGGTGGGAGTCCTTGCAGCCGGTGCCGGATGGTTTTCCCACTGGGATGCGGAGAGGGTCCCCTTCTCTGCTCCCACGCCCCTCCCCATGGCTCCAGGCAGGGCTGCCTGCCCCCCCCGCCGATGCTGACCCCCCATGCAGGCAGACACTGCGCAGGGAGCGCGAGTCGGGGGGGTACCCTCAGAAGGGCCGGGGGGACGGGGTGCTGCCAACCAGTGGCAGTGGAAGTTCAGAGCCCCGCAGCGGCCGTCCTCAGGGTCACGGGCTTTCTGCCTCGACTCTGAGCTTCTCGTCACCCCATTTGACAGTCGAGAGAAAGGGCCACCTGTGCCCCCCCAGCTTTCAGGAACACACAGCTGCGCCAGGTTCCTGGCAGCCAGGGTGGAGGTGTGGAGGTGCGGTCAGGCCCGGGGGCCATCCCCACTGTCCCCTGAAGCCACCAAAGCCAGAGCCTCCTGGGTCCTCACCCCAACCTCGGTGCAGGGACTGTAGAGCTTGTTCCTGCCGGGGCCTCTCAGGAGGTCTCTGGGGACCACGGCCCCCACCGTGGATGCCCCTCCCAAGAGGAGGAAGCCACTCCTGCTGCTTGGCCCTGCGGGCATGGTGGACGGGGCTGGGGGTGAAGGAGCGGGCTGCCCCCCTGGAGGGAACGCCAGAGCCTGACCCCCTTGCAGGATCTTGGCCAGGAGGCAGTCAGCCCCAGGTCACTAGGAATCACCCTTGACCCTCACAACAGCCAGCCACCCCCCCGCTCAGCCAACCTTCCAGACGGGCAGCAAGGGTGGGCGGTGTGCTGACACCTGCGTCCAAACCCTAATGCCGGCTCCTCCCTGGGTGTCCCTGGACCCCTCACTGCCCCTCTCTGGGCCACACTTTCTAGGACTGGAAACAGGATGGAAATCTCTGCGGGGAAGCCGGTCACTCATCCTTGTCACTTATTGCTCAGAACCTGCCATGCTGTGTGCCCTCACTCGAGCGTCTCCCAACGCACGCCCCCGCTAGAAGCAGGTGCCTCCAGGGCAGGGCCAGATCTCAGGCTGGTGTCGGGCACAGCAGGTGCTCAGTGGCACAAGTTGGAAGAGCAGAGAGAGGAACAAACAAGTGAATTAGTGGGCTGCGAAGGCTACTGGGGCCTCAGGAGATGGGGAGACGAAGGGCCGGGCGTGAGGCTCCCCAGCGCCAACTCCATAGGCTGGGAGTCTCCCGGGCAGGGGAGGTGGGGGAGACTGACCACGAGATGGGAATGGCACGGACCCCTCCTCCCCCAACAGGCTGCTTTCTACATGCGTCCCCAACCGCTGTGCCAGGAGCACCCCCCAGCCCACCCAGGCCACTCAGCGCTCCAGGCAGGGCACCGCCCCACGCACCCCTGCACCCCGGCTCTGCACCAGCCCCGTGGTCCCCAGCCAGTCTCCTCATCTGAAACCCAGGACAACACCCTTCAGAGGCAAAAGGAAAGGCAGAGAAACCTGGGCCCGCGGATGCTCAGAGGCGGCGGCCCGGGAGCGGGGCCCTTAGTGGACCCTCGACGAAGCAGGTGTTGGTCACGACAGAAGCGTGGCAAGAGCACACGGCACGCAGCTGGGTCCCGAAAGCCTCCAGAAAACTTTAATACTGATGCGTGGACGCTCTCCACGTAGAAAAGGATCTCTCTAACCCATAGGAACGCACCAGAGCATCAGGCAGTGGAGGGGGTCCCCAGCGGACCTCCCCGGCCACCCGACCAGCCAGCCCAGGGCCTGTCCGCGGGCTCGCCCTTACCGCAGCCTCGCACGGTCCAGGGCGTGAGCAAGCCTGCCCCTCTGGCCGCCGGCACGTCCTCCAGCCGCAGGGAGCCGCTGGTGGGGTCCAGCACTGCTGGCACCCCAAGGGAGCTGGGAGCACACAGACATGCACGTGAGCAGAGTCGGGAGGGAACACCCACACGGTACGAGGCAGCTGGGGGACTGGGGGAGTGACCCGGGTTCCCTCGGCCTAAACAAAGCAGCTCTGCGGTGTCCAGAGCTGAAGCCTAAGGGGAATGGGCCTGTGACCAGAGGACTAGGAGGGCATCAGTGAGCAGGTGACCCTTAAATGCTGACGCCAGCAGTGTCCCCCAGCTGGGGGGGGGGCGTCATCTGTGAGCAGCAGCAGGGGGCACAGCAGGGGGCACAGCAGGGGGCACTGGGACCCTGGGAAGCCTGGCTTCCACTGTCACTGCTAGGCACTGTGCTGGACCGGAGTGCCCTCTGCCTGGAAGCCCGGGCCTGCTCTGGGTCTGCTTCCAGGCCACGCCCTTCGTGGGGAGACAGCCACTCGGGGGATGAGGGGCACAGGGCACGTTCTTTGTCTCTGTCGTCCCTTCTACCATCTGCAGGGGCATTGTCCTCCAGGCCCAGAGAAGAGCAGGGCAGACACACCAGCCCTAACCCTCACCACTCCCTGCTCATGGCCCGAAATGCTGCCGCATCCCACGGAGGGAGCCTGAGCCAGCCAGGTGTCCGAGGACACAGGGGTCACACCGGGCCGGCTGGACTCGGAGACCGGCCCCTGTGCAGGCCACCCTAACCCCCTGCCCTGAGGCTGGCCAGCACATGTCACTAACAGGATTAGGAGGGAGGCGTGAGGGGGCCTTTCCTGAGACAGCGGTAGGCCAGGAGAGCCGCCGTGCCCCGAAATGACCGTGGGAACAGGGTGCCGGCATCTGCAGTGCACACAGCCCTGCCTCACGTCATGTTTCTCCCCCAGGCACACAGCGACTCGAGACCGCTGGAGACCGGTGGGGGTGGTGGGCATGGCCCTCCTCCCGTGGACCCTGCCCCTGCAGCCCATGGCCTTGCAGGGGAGACGGCTAGGAAGAGGGTCCTGGCAAGAGGGAGCAGCCCAGGGGAGGCGATGGGAAGAGCAGGGGGCTGAATCCAGGAAGACCCCAGGATGGGGCTGCTGCAGGAGCGTGTGACCATGAGGGGACAGGAGGGCACAGGTGGGGACAGGAGGGGACACGTCCCTGCAGGGCTACCCAGCGGCTCTCCTTGAAGGGGATGCCCATGAGGCCATCGGCTGATCAGCTAGGGTCAGCAAACACTCCCCATAAAGGGACACACAGCAAACACGTGGGCTTTGCTGGCCACATAGTCCCTGCCTCTGGGGACATGACCCAGCCCCGCTGCGTGTTGGGGAGCCTGGCGCCGACCACGGCCGGCTGCCCATACGGCTTTACTCACAGACAGCCAGGGGCCCGCGGGCCTTGTTGACCTCGGGCCTAGACTTTCCAGGACAGGGCGTCTCAGACGGTCCCTTGCAGGGCTCGTGCACCAGGTTCAGGAGGGCCAGGGGGTGGGGGCAGGGTGGGCCAGGGACTCTGCACATCTGACGAGCTCTCAGGGCCCAGTCTGAGTCCAGACTCGGGAATGGGCACAGTGGGAGAACCGTGGGCGCTGGGGTCCAGCCTCCCATGAGCTGTAGGATCCCAGCCATGTCACTGGGTCTCTCTGGGCCTCATTGTTGCTGTCTATAAAATGGGAATGAGAACACATCTCACAGGGGTCTGACAGCACAGTCCCAAGGTGCAGGAAGGCCTGTGGGGGGCCGCACACAGCTGGGGTGTGCCCTCCCCCACACTTCCTTCCAGAGACGCTGGGGTGGATGGGCCCTTGGAGAGCAGGGGCCGGCATCCTCACCGTGCCATGCTGCGGACAGGCTGGGTGCCCAGCCAGACAGAGCCCCATGGTCCCAGCAGGGAAGGGACAGTGTGGGGCATGGCCCCACCCCAACTCAGAAGCTGGCCTGAGAGGCAGCAGGATGGACCAGGCCCTGGGTCTGGAGAAGCTGGGGGCACCAGCCTGGGGCAGCAGAGGGAGGGCCACAAGCTGAACAAGGAGGCTTTGACCTTCATCCTTGGACCCAGGCAGTGAGGGAGGCGACCAGAGGCCACAGAGCTGTGAGCAGCAAAGGGCAAGGGACAGGACAGGCAGCTTTTCTGGACACGCTGAGGGCCCCACAAGTCCCTGTGCCCTGACCCCTGCCCAGGAAGGCTGCTGGACCATCCGGGGCACGACCCTGCACAGCCTGGTCGGGGCCGGGCGGACGGGGTGGGGGACGGGGAGGAGGCAGTGCCCGGGTGTGTGGGCCCCTGGGTGGGAACCCGTGGCGGTGTGAGCTGCTGGGCCCTCTGCCCGCCGTGCAGCAGGGGGACATGTAGATGTGGGGTGTCGGCCTGGAGCTCAGGGCCCAGGGCAGCCTCTGGGGATTCTCCCCTCCCTGACCTCTCCACTGGGGCTGGGGTGCTGGTGGCGGAGAGCCTGACGCCCAGCCCAATGCTGCCCCCTGCTGGCGGAAAGTGTTCTGTTCCACCAAGGGATCCCCAAAGGCCTCAGGCTGTGCTGGGGAGGAAAGCCACAGGAAGGTGCAGGGTTCGTGGGTGGGTGGTCCTGAGCACTTAGACATGGGACACAGGGCCCAGGAAGGTGCGGCCAGCAGTGTCTGGCTGGGGTCGGGAGCCCACTGCCCACAACCCAGCCAGAGTGGAGTCTCTGAGCCACAGTGTGGCAGCGCCAGACAGAGCCAGCGGGGCCTGACCTTTGGTGTGGGGGCTTCTCACGGTCGGGTCAGGAGCTGGGTCCCTCCCCCAGCAGCCTGGCTGCACCCAGACCCCTGTGCACCCCTGTGCACCCCTGTGCACCCGCTGTGCCCTGCCAGCGGCTCGTAGTGTGGGGGCGTGTGGGGGACGCCCAGGCTCACCTCCCGATGAAGGGACCGAGTGTCTGGAAGGAAGCCGTGTTTCTTGCCAGCCTTTTATCCAGCTCCAAACGCCCGTCCTCAATGAAACCTTTGGGGAGATGGACACCATCAACTGGCAGACAGGAAGGAACCGCTGGGAGGGCGGTGGGGATGGAGGGAGGGGCACCCCCGCCCCCAGCACAGGAGGAGCCTGGAGGGCTGTGTCCACTTTCTCGCCCCTCTTCGGAGGCAGGGCAGGGAGGTGGCAGGCACATAAGCCTTGGGGCCAGGTCTCACCCCTCCTCCCGCCAGGGCCGAGGTGTTGACAGGGTCTGTAGCTGATGGAAAGCTCAGCGCATGTCCAGGCTCCGCCAGGACTGTCCCCAGCGGCCCCCCAGGTGGCCCGGACATCTGCTATGGTATCGTTATCATTATCCCCCTCTTAGGGAGAGGAAGCTGAGGGGCAGGGAGAAAGTGGGGTCCCCTTGGCCTTTGGTGGGGCTGGGGGCCGCTCGTGGCCCGGGCAGCAGCTCTACCTTGGGACTCCCTGTAGTGGTGGCCTCTCGGGCTCACGCTCTGCCGCCTCTCCCAGTCGGGGCTCCACGGCAGTGGCCTGTGGTCCAGGAAGCAGGTGGGAGAGACCAGCGTCCTGGCCGGCTCGTCAGCCCAGTCCCAGGGGCCCCCTCTGCTCTCGTCGGGCATCAGGGCCCCCGAGCAGACAGGGGCGGCAGGCACAGTGCGGGGGTCTGACACTGGGTCCCTGAGAGCATCTGGTGTCTCCGGCCTGTGTAGCTTGGCTGTGAGGATGTCGATCCGCTGCTTCAGGACATTGGCCATGGTCTCCAGTGCCTGCAGCCGGGCCTGTTTATAGCGGAAATGCAGGGGCCCTGGGGTGCCCAGGCACTCGCTCTCCTCAGGGTCCAGGTAGATGCACATGCCTGGGCGCGGGGGGCGGGTGGTCAGGTCCTGGAGCTTCAGGGGGCCCGGGGAGGAGCGGGAGGATATCAGCATGGGGGCACCATCCCAGCTGTCCCGGGGGCCGCCCATCTCTAGAGTCTCAGAGCGGTTCAAGGCTCTGTTCAAACACAGGCAGAAGCTGCAGAGAGAGAGGGTGCAGAGGGTCAGGCTGCGGCACGTTGGAAGCACAGGCGTGCAGGGGTGAGCCTGGCACAGCTTCTGGGAAGGAGCGCGCCTGATGACTGCGGCCAGGTGTGGCTACGGGGTCTCTAGACAAGAGCCGGCCGCACAGGGCCTGAGAAAGAGCAATTTCTGGGGTTTCACACTGAAAGCCTGGGCGACAAGGAAAGAAATAGATCAGGCAAAGTGTCTCGGATGCACAGTGTGTGCGCGTGGACCATCGGCAGCCAAGACCGCAGCGCCTGGGAGGGGGGCGTTATCATAAGCCCCATATCTCATAAGGTCAATGCCCAGATGTATGAGGAACGCCTACAACTCAACAATAACAAAAACATCACTTTTCCATAAAAAGGAAGGAATCCTGACACCAGCCACACCGCGGATGAACGAGGAAGACATGGTCCCCAGTGAGGTCTACGGTGCAGAGGGACCGACCCCGAAGGATCCGCTCCCAGGAGAGCCCAGAGGAGTCGGACCACAGATGCAGGGAGGGGGCGTGGGGCGCCGGGGGCTGGGAACAGGGTTTCACGGGACAGAGTCCTGTGTTGGCAGACGACCACGTCCTGGGGACGGACGGTGGGACAGTGCCCAGCAGTGTGAGTGCGCCGACGCCCCCAGACTGTGCACGTAAAAGCGGTGAAGACGGTTAATCCACGTTACGTGTATTTCCCTACAATTTCTCTAAAATGTGGAGGGAGAAAAGAACACAAGGAGGAAGACGAAGGATCCACAGCCTTGCCTGTCGGGGAGGACCCCAGGGGGCATCAGGTCAGAGCGGCCAGGAGCCCCCCTGCTGGCCTGTCTGCAGAGGAAGGGGCTGCCTGTGGGTGCGGGTCGCTCTGGTCCGGGGACAGGAGCCTGGAAGCGCTCACTGAGCTGCGCTGAGCAGACATCCAGTTTAAACAGGTAAAAACCACGCAGCCTCCTGGGCTGCTCTGTGGCCCTGGGCCCTGCAGGGGTGCCCTGAGCAACATGGCGGACGGACTCCTGACCCCTCCAGAGGCTGCCCAGGGAGGGGCCTTCGGAACAGCTGCCCGGGCTCCGTTAGCAAACACAATAGTCGGGGCGCCTGGGGCTCCTTCGCTCGGGCGTCTGCCTTCGGCTCAGATCATGATCCCAGGGTCCTGGGATCGAGTCTTGTGTGGGTCTCCCTGCTCAGCGGGGAGCCTGCTCCCCCACCCCCGCCCCTCTCCCCTGCTCTTGCTCTCTCTCTCTCAAATAAATACAGTCTTAAAAAAAAAAAAAAGTACGCATAGTGAAAACAAAGCAAAAACGGAAGGGAAAAAACGGAAAAGGAGGCTGGCGGAACACAGAAGAAGCGGGACCCCCCCATGCTGGGGAGGCGGGTGCAGAAAGGCCCAGCCAGTGAGGAAAGCCCCCGGCTGGCTCCCCAGGAGTGGAACGCAGACTTCCCCCGGAGAGGCGCCGCGATGTCATTCCCAGGTCCTCAGCATGACACAAAACGGGCAGCCCAACAACTCATCCGCTGCCACCAAAAGGGGAGGCAGCCCAACCGCCCCCCAGCCGGCTGACGGCCACGCCGTGTGCGGCAGGTCGCGCTGGGGAATCTTATTTGGCCGTAGAGAAGGAACAAAGGCCCAGGCGCGCTACAGCAGGTGAACCCAGAAGACATGCTCCAAGGAAGAAGCCAGACCCCAACGACCAGGTACTGCAGGACCCCGTTCATGGGAGCCGTCCCCACAGATGCGTCCGCGGAGGCAGAGCGCAGCCAGGCTGTGGGGGCAGCCACTGGGCATGTGGTGTGCTGTTGGGTGGGTGCTGAAACGTTCTGTGAGCGGGGAGAGGGCGTGGTCCCCCGACACAGGGCGGGGTGGGGGGGCCGTGGGTGGCTCGAAGCCCCTGCCTCGTGCACCGTGAATGGGCCGTGAGGTCCGGGGTCCCCCATGATCACCCGCTCTGCGCAGAGGGAGCCCCACCCAGCAACGGCAGCCCATCTACCCACCTGCCCGGGGCCTCCTGGTCCCCCAGCACCATGCCAGAGGTCACCTTGCTCCATTCCAGCACAGGTGACCCTAGGCTCCCGGGAGCTTCCAGGCCCTAGAGCAGAAGGGAGCACAGTCAGAGCCCCGGCCAGGCCGGAAGACCCCAAGGCCCTGTGTCTCAGCCCCACAACGAGCCCTGACCTCTGGAGGGGCTCAGGCTGGACTCCAGGGCAGAGGCAGAGGCAGAGGCAGAGGCAGTGGGTCCCTCCCCTACATGGCCTGGGGAGGCAGCCTCTGGGTCTGCTGGGAGCTCGGAGGCCGAGCTGGCCAGCCCCGCACCCTCACCGCCCCCAGCACCTACCCTGGACTGTGCACAGTGCGGGAAGAAGGTCACGATGCCGGGGGTCGTCTGGGAGACCATAGGGACGGCCTTGCCGAGGATGGCCTCCCGCTGCTTCCTGTACACGTCCTGCAGCCGCTGGTTCCTCAGCTCCAGGGCGCGCACGGCCGAGGCCTTCTCCTCCAAGGCCTGCCGCCGCCGGGCCTGAGTCTTCTGGCGCATGAACTCCCGCAGTGCCTCAGCACTATAGGGGTGGCCCAGGGCCCCCCGGGGCTTCGGGCAGGGCGGCGGCACCCGCCCCTCCTTCTCCCTCCCAGGTGCACCCCCGGCAGGCCTCAGCCAGCTGTGCTCCGTCTCCGAGATCGGCGGGTGCGAGCCTCTGGCCTTGCACAGGGTGCTGGCGCCTTGCGGGAAGGAGGCGCTCCAGGACCGTGGGCCACAAGGGCTCCACGGTGTTCGCACAGGGGTCTCCCAGTCTGCATAAGTGGCCCAGGTCTGCTGGAACCTGGAGGCCTGCCTGGCTGAGGCGCTCCCGGGCTGTTGGGGCAAGGAGGTCAGGCTCTCAGCGGGGCCCCCGGGCCTCTGGAAGGAAGGGTTCCGCCCTTGGTGTGTTCCAGTCCGCTGGGTCCTGGAGGCCTGCCCGGCCAAGGCACTCCAGGGCCGGTGAGGCAAGGAGGTCAGCCTCTCGGGGGGGCTCCCAGGCCCCTGGAAGGAGGGGTTCCGCCCTTGGGCCGCTCCAGTCGGCTGGGGATAGGACTCCCGTCCAGCCAGGGTGCTCCAGTGATGTCCAGTGGGGAAGCTGCCGGCACTGTCTGGGGAGGAGCGCCTCCCTTTCGTCCCTGCTTGAGGACTCTTCGAGAAGGAGCCCCGCACATCTGGGGTGCTCCAGGGGCCCCACTGCCTCCTCCCTGCTGGGTCCTGCAGCCACAGGTTTGACCGTCCTAGCTCTAGCCCTCTGCTGGGGTGGCGATGCCGGGCCAGCTCCAGCCCAGCCTGGATCTGCTGGCGGAGGTCTCTAAGGATAGTCAAAGCATTTTGGATGGTCACAGGCTGATCGCAGGAAGCCAGGTGGGGTGTGTTGGCGGACAGTGGCGGGTCATGGTGGACAGAGGCTGGGCTGGGCATCTGGGGGCAGATAGGTGAGCTCTCGGCCGCTCTGACTTTCCTGCTATCTCCTGCAAAGACAGGTGGTCACAGGTGTCCGGAGCTGTGGGGCCCCAGAAGGAGCAGAGCGAGCTCCCCACCCAGGCACTGTCCGCCCTGCTCCCAGGGAGCTCGCCCCTAGGCCCTCACACGCATCGTGGGCTCAGGTGCTACATGTGCATGACTTGAGGCTCTGCCCAGCACCAGGTACAGAGACACCCACTCTAGACTTGGCGAAAACAGCATGAGTGGGGGTTGATGTGTTTGCTAGAGGAACCACTGACGCTCTTATCCTGCACTCCCTACGGTGGGAAACGCTAGACGGCTGGGGCCTGCCTCCTGGGAGCCTTTCCTTGGCTTTTAAATATAAGGATTTCTCCAAGTCCTGATGGTGGGTTGGCAGGCGCTCGACAGGCCGCTGGGGAAAGGCTGCTGCGGCACCCAAGGCCACCCCCTCCCTGCTCCGAGCCCTGCTCCGAGCCCACCCTCCAGACATCCCAGCAGAGCAGGGAGGGGCCCAGGCGGAGAGGTACCAGCTACCTAAGTCCACGGTGGGGGGCTGGTCTCTGGAGGGAGCCTTGTTCTGGAGCCTGGGGAGGGCAGGAGCGGGCCCGAGGAGGGCCCTCGCCAGGGCTGGTCCTTTCCTCCAGGCGTGCACACCAACCAACTCAGAATCTTAAACAGAGAAAACGTACACACAGCGGAGTGGCTGGGGCCTTCCGAAGGTGGCCCACACGAGGAGGTCTTCGGCCCCAGGCAGCCCCTGGAGACAGGTCACACACTTTCAGAGGAGCTGGGGTGAGCCTCAGCCACTGGCCAGCAAGAGGCCCGGCCGAGTCCCAGGGTGACTCTGGATGGTGACCTGACTTCTTTGACACTCGGTCAGTGGGATAATAAAACCCGCTCCCCACGGCTTTGCCTGTAAAGCCAAGTAAAACCAAGGCCATGGGCCCAGGTGCCCTGCACATCCTGGGTCAACACCGGCCCATCCCAGCAAGGGCCAGAGTCGGGAGGCGTCTCGAGTGCAAGTCTGTGCTACGGCTGACCTCGGCCCTGATCGGACCACACACGGTCTTTGCTGTGAGGCTCCACCTACAAGCGTGTCCCGGCCATGGGACGAGGGGTCCCAGGGAGCAGGGACACAGACGCCCACCACCTCTGAAGCATGAATGAACTTTCCGCAGCAAATGCTGTCACATAAGAAACATCATTTATGAAAGCCCTACCTCATAATCCCACGTTACACAGCACTGCCAGCATCAGCCCCCCCACCATTACAGACCAGGCTGCTGGCAGAGGCCAGAGCAGCGGCCAAGCCTTAGCTATCCCCCCCGGTGTGCACACACGTGTTCACACTCACACACAGACATGCACGCATGTGTTCACACTCACAGAGACACACACGCAGAGACATGCACATGTGCGCGTGCACAGACAAGCACACGTGTGTTCACACTCCCACAGAGACATGCACACGCACACAGACACGCACATGTGTGCGCACAGAAAGCACACACTCACACACACATAGGCACACATACACACAGACACAGACACACACGCACACACCCACAGACATACACACACGTGCACACAGTCACACAGACACGCACACAAACACAGACATGCACATGCAGACACGTGCGTCCATGCACACATATACATACAGACTCACAGGCACACAGATGGAGACGCGTGTGTTCACACGCATAGACACATGCTCACATACATGCACACGCACACTGCATCTCCCCCTGAGCCAGCCCTGGGCAGGAAGCTGGACTTCCCAGGCCAAGAACTGTCCTGCCTCCCACGAAGCAGGGCATTTTTGCCAAGGAAGGGTGCCTTACAGCCCAGGCCATGCAGAGACTGACCCCCCGGGACAGGCAACCAACAGGATCCCTCCCCCACCACCTAGACCCAGAGATAATCACAGGCCTGGAGCAGCAGGCCCCAAAAAGGGGCAGGGGCCACTTCAAGCCATGCCCTTCATAGGCCACACCTGGAGAAAGGACCTCGGCCACGCCCCGAAGTCCAGGCCTCCACGGCAAGACCCTAGGCTACACCACCTTGCAGTCTTGCCCTTTGTAAAGCCACGTCCCTCCAGGACCTGTCCCCAAGGCCACACCCCTCCAGGGAGGGCCCCTGAGGCCACACGCTCCCACACAGACCCCTGGGACACCCGCAGGTGAGAGCAAGGTCCGACTCCAGCTCTGCCCGGGACAGGCTATGGGCCTTCGGGCGAGTGACTTCACTTGGTTTCCCCGTCTGCAGGACCACAAGCAGGAAAGTGGTCACTCTCACCGCAGGGGCTGGCTGGGGAGGGCGAGCCGGGATTTTGGAAGGGACCAGTGGGGTGGGGCTCCCCAGCAAGGCTCCTGCGCCCTGGCCCCCGGCACTACTGAGCCATGCAAAATCACCACCACGGCTCCATCCCTGGGGACACCACGCAGGGACCCACTCGCTGGCCAGGCCCCTCCCAGGCCCCTCCATCCCTGGCTGCTCACTCCCCATTAGCCCGCCAGAAGGGTCTAGGTCGACAAATGGGTCCTGATGGGCACATTTTTTCTTCTGCCAAGCAGTTTAATGGCAATTAATTTTTTTACAAGAGGATTTTTAATCTGTGGAAATGGATGAAGTCCCCAGGTGCCCTGTCAGAGTTCCAGGGCCGACCTAATCTATGATAAAAAATGCAAAGTGAGGGGCTATAATCTGAAATTAAATATTGGGCTTCATTTTCCTTCGGCCCGGATGGATGAATATTTTATAAGTATTGCGATTTAATTTTTTGTTAACTACAGCAAATTCCTAATTCATCCAATTCCCAAGTCCTCTGGCTCCGACCTCTGACCCCAAGCTCATCTCTCCTTAGCCCAGCTGTGACTTGGTCACTGACAGCAACTAATGGTCCCGTCTGTCAGGGTGACCCGTGGTTACGATGATGGATGCAGCTACGGCACGTCCTCTGACCCCGTGTCAGACAGAAGGCAGGTCATTTGTCAAGCCGACCGTTAAAGCAAACCACAAAGCTGAGGGGCAGGAGGAGACAACGATGCAGAAAACTGTGATATCTTGTGCCTTTTCAGTGGGCCTTCTAGAACCTTCTAGAACCTTCTGCATGGCTCCCAGCGTCCCTCCCTGTCAGGTTCGAGGGGGGGGTTTGCCCTCCTCTCCTGTCGCCTCCTGCCCTGCTGAATAAATGTGTTTGTCCCAGTGGAAGGCGGCCGCCTGCCTCCCTCGAGGGCCCCAGAAGCCAGCATGGAGGAGGAAGGAGGTCACGTGTCCCGCCGGAGCCAGCACTGCCCCCAGCAGAGGTGCGGGTCTGAGGGCATGCAGCAGAGAGACGGGCGCAGGGCACGGGCAGAGCGCTCACTGCCCGGCTCTCTCGGGTGAGGGGCACAGGCCTGGAGCTGGCTCGCCCGCGTGGGCCTCTGGGAGCCTCAGTGTCCCCATCGACAGAATGGGAGCCCACCTGTCTTGGAGGAGGGCTGTGAGGGTCACCAAGCTGCTGTCCGGGGAGGGTGGCCACTCTGCACTGACCACCCAGAGGGACACTGCCTTTCTCGTTCCCCACACACCACACAGGGCCCTCCTGGGGACTGCCTGGTCCAGTCCGAGGGCACGGCCCCAAACCTACCCAGGCTGGACTGCTGGGTCCCAGCCAGACGCTGCCACCCCACCACCCCAGCCCAGCCCCAGGGGAGAGACACCTGAAGGAGAAATTCCTTTGGGACCTCAAGCCCGTCACCGTCCCCGTGTCTTCCTGTGACTCTCCTGGGACGTGGTCGGCCAACGCGCACCCCTGCTTCAAGTCCCCCGGAGGGCCCGGAGACCATGGCATGACGCCAGGCCTTTCCTGCCACCAAGGGCTCAGGTGGAAGCAGGTGTTCTGGGCTTTGCTGCCCGGAGTCAAACCCAGTCCCGGCAGAGAGGGAAAGCACTCCCTCCACCAGGGCGTCCGCTGCTGAAGGCCGCGGCACGGCGGCTCCGGGGACGCTGCAGATGCAGAGCAGACACCTTGTCCCCCGGACACCTCGCAGCCGCCCGCTCACACAGGCGCGTGCGGGCTATCCGTGTGTGTGAAGCACGGCGGGTGAGCCGCTCTGTGTGCCGGAGGCCTCCTCAGTCTGGGTCCGTTGCAAGGACAGCCCACTGCTCCCTTTCACTCCATCGCCAGGGGTGGCCCTTGCGTGGGGGGACCCCTGCACTGCGGTGACAGCCAGGGTCTGCGGTTCCCCGAGATGCAGACACCAGGACTGCCCCTCCCCCATGCCCTGAAGAACACCCCCGCTCCCGCCAAGCCCAGCCCCTGCCGATCCCACAGCAGCCTGGGCCTCTGCTGGCGGCCAGCTGTCTTGGCACCAGAAAGCATGTACCAGAAAACCATGTGCCCACCCGGTGAGTGGGGTCACGGACTTTCACCCCCAGGCCCTGTTGCGGCGCCGACGGGCAAACCTTACCTTGGTTTCTGGCGGCTCCCCGGGGGACAGGCGCTCTGGGGGTCTTCTCTCTCTTGCAAGAACTACTTTGCCTTTTGGCTTTCTCCCGGGGAACTTCGGGGGAGGAGAGAGGGAGAGAAGGTGAGCAGGGACATTCCCAGAGGCCGCCCTGCTTCTGCGCCTGTCCGGCCGGCTCCCTGGACCTGTGCCAGAGCCGGCAGCCGAGAGCAGGACCAGAGGGATACGCTTGACTGCCCGCCCCTGTCCATGGTCTGCATGGGGTCACCCTGGGAGAGACCCCCAATCAGATTGGTCACAGATTCCAGCATGCCTGGGCCAAGAGGAGGACAGAGTGGCCTCCCAGCTGGGTCTCCCCTGCCCACCTCAGGCTGACCTACAGCCTTTATGCTGACTCAGTGAGCTGTCCCGGAGCGGTGACCAGCTAGGCTGGACAGGGGCTCAGCAGGGGCAGGGGGGTGAGAACGAGGGCTACAGGGGCTTTGCATGGTGGGGTCCACCTGGCTGGATAGGAGGGGACATGGAGATCCCAAGGGGGTAGAGGTAGTCCAAGTCCTGTGACAAATACAGAGGCTGGCAGGAGGGGACCAGCTTCCCGAGGGCCAGTGTGGTCACCTTTCCCCGTGCCATTCGGCCTCAGTGTCTTTGTCCGTGGCTGGGGTACGGCTGCCTCTGCGGGGGCACAAGGAAGCCAATCGGCCAGTGCTGTGTGAGCGGGGCCAGCGGCGCTTGGGAAGAGACTGCCCGAAGGACTCCCCAGGCCTGGGCCGGCTCCTCCGTCCTCACTGCCCAGAACCTGCTGGCAGGAGGCACCTCCAGCAGGCCAGCCCACACGAAAAGCCCTGATTCTGTAGGTCCAGCGACACAGGGCCCTAGAGGAGTCAGACCCACAGACAGGGGGCTGTGGCGGGGGCAGGGGCAGGTCTGTGTGTGATGGGACAGAGCTCGGTCTGGGCAGAGGACCACGTCCTGGGGACGGATAGGGAGACGGTGCACAACAGTGTGAACGCGCTGTCATCCCCGGACTGCGCACTGAAAAGTGGTGAAGAGGGTAAATCTTATGTGTATCTTAGCATAATTTAAAAAGAAAAGACCTAGGCCCTGCCCTATGCCTGCTTCCAGAGGGTTCTAACACGCAGAGGAAGAGACGTGACGGCCAAGAGTGGTGACCAATGACACTAGATGCTGAGGCCCCAAGTGACCCGTGGCCATTCCTGACCTGAGCTGAGCGGTCCCAGTGGCCTCTGGGGGGTGGGGGGTGCTTGGGGAGCTGAGGCTATTGGGGTCCCCGTGGGCAGGGGAGGAGAAGGTGGGGTGAGTGCTGTGAGCCCCAGCCAGCCTGGGCGCCTGGCATGGGGAGCGGCTGCGGCCCCCGGCTGGGCCAGAGCTGGACGCTGTCCCCTTGGTTCAGACTGGCCGACCCTCGGACCCAGCCAGCATCTGACAGCTTAGACGTCCAGCTGGGACATCTAAGTGCATTCCAGACTCTTCAAGTGTACCTCCCTCTGGCCTCCAAGCGGGGCTCCTGTCTGCCTCTCCAACCTCACCCCTCCTATCTGTTGAGTGAAGGAGTGAGCCCAAATCTTCCCTTGGCCCCTGGTCCCTTCCCACCTTCAAGAAGCCTGCCTACCCACGACCGAGCACTCAGCACCTCCCAGGCCCAGGGGAGGGCTCAGCCCAGCCCTGTGGCTGGTATGTGACTGCGCGGGAAAGACGTCACCCATTCTGACAGGGAACCCCCAGCCCTTGGCACCTGGGCCTCCTCGAAGGACCCGCCCGCCTTCCTGCCCTGAGCGGGAGGCAGAGGTCGGGAAGCCACGTTCCAGAAAACAGGAGGCTCGGTCCAAATCTGGGCCTGGCCCTTCTCAGGCGGGGGTCTCTCTAGTGCGGTCTGAGCCGGGTCACACTAGAGCCGGTGGCATAGACAGAGGGAAGCCGCAGGGTCCGGATCCGTCCGCCCTGACCGCCGCCAGAGGGCCCGGGAGGGGGGCTGCCAGGATGGCCGGCCATGCAGCCCCTCACCTGAGGCCTGACGCTGAGGGACCCCGGAGGGCTTGCACCCCGGGCCGGGGATCATCTTGTCTTTCACTCGGCACGGAGCTGCCCTCGGGGCACCTAAGCCTGGAGAGGAGCGAGAGGGGCACCGTGAGGGCGGGTTCCGTGCGGACCCTGCGGGGCAAGGCCCCTCGTAGCAGCCACTCATCCGCCTCCAAGCAGCACCTGCGGCGGAAGCCAGGGGCCCGAGGGCCTCCCACGGGGCCGGAGGGGCCTTCTTCGGCCTCCCCGCCTTCCTCTGGGCGTCTGGCTTGGAGGCTCTGTAGAGGCGTGAGGCGCTGGACGGGGCAGAGGTGCCCAGGGAGGCGCAGCTGGCCTGCCACTGGGCCTGGGCCCGGATCCTGTCCCTCAGCAGCTCCAGCCGTGGGCTGCTCTCTCTGGGCTGCCGCCGGGGCCCCAGCACCTGGGGGGGCCTCTCCTTCCAGGGCCCGGGGGGAGACGTGCAGGGCTCATGGCCCCCAGAGGAGCCGGAGAGGCGGCCTGATGACACTGAGCTGTCCCCATCCTTGGCCTCCTCGCCTTCTGACCACACCGGGTGGTTGCGGGCCTTCCCCCGGGGGCCTGGCTGCTCGATGTTGTCAGACCAGGCCATGTGGGGAGCTCTCCGAAGGTCACCTGGCTGCTGGGAGGGCCCGGGCCACCTCAGGGCAGCCATGGTCTCATCCTCAGCCTCAGGGGGACAGAGCCCGGATTCCCTGGGGACAGAGAAGCAGACCATGAGTCAGGCGTGGAGACCTGGCTGTGTGAACAGAGGGCTTCTCAGCCCGTGCGGCCCTCCAGCCCCCGCCCTGCTCCCTCGCTCTCCTGTCTCAGGGTACCCACAACCGAGAAAGGTAGGGGCCGATAAAACGCCCCCAGGCAGGGCAGGGCCATGACCTTCTTTCCGATTGCCACCTCAAGCCTTGGAGGCGGGCATGAACATCAACCCAATTCACAGAAGGGGAGACTGAGGTCCATAAAGGCGTGCAGCAGGGGCACACTGGCCCCCCAAGTCCTCCAGCCTCATGCTGACCCGGCCACCCTCCTGGGCAAGGAGGCCGTCCCTCACCGGGCCCCCGCCTCATCAGCACAAACACTACCTGGCTTGGCTCTGGCCCTTCAGGTGGCGGGGCGGCCCAGGGTCCCGAGGAGCCAGAGTGACAGGGGGCAGCATCTCTGGTTATCTTTGGGGTGGGGCTGGATCACTTCTCCTAGGCCGGCAGGAAGCACCCCCATGACCAAGGTCGCCATGGCCACCGGGCCAGGTCAAGGGCAGAGCCCAGTGAGCTTCCAGTTGCCACCTGCCTGGGGTCAGCTGGTGCTTTCCCAGGGCCGCCGGCTGGCCTGCAACCCGGTGTCCATCCCTGCTCAGGACGGGGTGGCCACTGCGGGCTAGAGGGCTGGCCTACCCCGGTGTCCTGGCCCACGATGGAAACCCTCAGGATAGTCGTGGAAACTGGGTGGGCATGGCGGGCTGCCAGGCCCCAGGCTGGTGATGGCCTGGGGGAGCCTTCCTAACCAGCTGTCCCTCAGCAGGGTGGGAGAGAATTCTGGGTGGCCTGTGACAGCATAATTACCCCATGTCACTCAGCGACAGCAAGGCCTTCAACTCCTGCTGGGACCGTGAGCAGGCCCGCCCCTATCCTCCCAGGGCACAGGAGTCTATAGCTGTGTGTGTGGCAAGTGGACTGGCCAGGACTGGGGGGCAGGCTCAGCTAGAGGGAGGCGGGGGGCAGCCACAGTGCAGGGCTGGGGGCAGAGGTGGGGCTTGACCCCAGGCTCAAGCCCAGTTCCGGGCAATGTCAGCCTGGGGGCCCCGGGGAGCCAGCCCAGGACACGGCCCCAGCGGCTGGACAAGAGTCTCAGTCCTCCAGCCCGAAGCCCGCTGGGAACCACCGCCCAGGCCGCTGCCTTCGGCTCCATGGGGCTGGTCAGGGCGAGCGGGCCCTGGCTTCTCAGTTCTCCCTGGCACACGCTCAGGGCATCCTTTGGCCCACAGACATGCTAGCTGAAGAAGTCTGAGCCCCAGGAGCCCCAGGCCTGCATCCTTGGCCCTGCCCTCCTAGGGGAGCACCCCAGGCGGGTCCACCTGAAGTGGGCGTCCTGTTGCCTTCTTGCCGACCCTGGCAGGGCAGTGTGGTGGGGAAGACGTGGACGCTGTTGTCAGCTGGCTCTGAGCTTGGCATGGCCCCCGAGGAGGAGAGCTGCTTCAAATCCCCGCTCTGCCCCCAGCCGGCTGAGTAACCTTGGGTGACCAGACACCCCACCCTGCCCTGCCTCTGGGTATTGTGAGCTTCTGGTGAGTTCATGCCAGCAGGAGGGCACGAAGCAGAGCGGACCGCATCCATGAGCAGCAGGATGGCTGAGCTGGCCACGAACGCTTCACTTTCAGGATGCCCACAGAAAGGGGGTCTGCCGCAGAAGACCTAATTCCAGGCAGAATGGAGAACCTCCTTGACGCTTATTCTAAGAGCCTGTCCTGGGGAGGCAGGGATACCTGGAGACGGTTGCCCCCAGGACAGGACAAAGGGCAGGGCTCTGAGCCCAGTGGGCCCCTGGTCGCAGAGGATATGGCCCCATGTTCAGCCACCAGCAGAAGAAAGGGGCCGCCCCAGGGACAGGCCCTGCCCGGAATGTGAGGTTCTGCCCCTTCTACTCCAAAACCAGCTTCTCCTGCAGTTGGGACAAGGGGAGAAAAGCGTGCGCCTCAGACCGCAGAGCCAGCCTTTGGCCCCAGGGCCCTTGACCACACCTGGTGGCCTAGACTAACGACATGGTCCCCCTGCCGATGGCCCTGAGACCACCATCCCCTCTGCCCCGTCCGCCCGGCCAAGAGTCTGCCCTGCCCTGGCTGGCCTGTTCCACTGGGGACATCGTCTGGTGAGGCCAAAATGCCATGGGCCCCACCCCCATGTTTCTTCACGATGTTTGCGAGGGATTGGTGTCACAGAGGGCCGCCCCGGGGCTTTGGGAAAGCAGGTCCTTCCAGGAGAGCCGCGTGGCCCATGCAGGTTCCTGAGAACTGTGGGGGATACACGGGGCCTACAGACACCTTCTGCTACACGGGGGCTGGCAAGCTCGGGACATCACCAGGGGGTGGCCATGTTGTCCTCTATACTACCCTTAGAGGCCGGACAACCGAGGAGACTCCCAGAGACAGCTCAGCCTCTGCTGATTCACAAAGAGTCTCCCCATGCTCGACAGAAACCCCCCTCGGCTTCTACTGACGGACCCCGCGGTCACTGCGGCCCCTGGGGTCTGTACTGGAGGGCCACGCCCCTGCCTGGCCCTGGGGCGCCTACATCAGCTGATGTCCTGGTAGGCATCCTCCCCAGCATCCACCTGATTTCCTAGCCCTGCTCCCTCAAGGGCGGTGGGAAAGGGTTATCCTGAGCTGTGGCGACTGGAGCCAATGTCCACGTGTCTCTGGAGATCAGCTGGTGGTCCCGGTTTCCCACGAGCAGGAGAACCGTGGGTCCGGAGCAGTGGCCTCTGTGGGAAGCGGTGGGGTTGTGAACTCGGCCGCCGGTGGCCACGCTCCAGAGTCAGTAAAAGGAGAATCCGGGAACGAGAGTGTGACGGTGCACATGACCCCAGCATCGCAGCGACCCCGTGAGCTGGGACCAGCCCAGAGTGCCTGCCCCGCCCCCTGCTCCACCAGGCGCCCCCCTTCTGGGCCGGTTCCCCGTTGGGCGACATGAGGCCCCCGAGTCCTCTGCCTGCCCAGGACCCTCCGTGCACCGCTGGCCTGCAGTGGCACGTCCGGCCCCAGTGCTCTGGTTCCTGCAGGGGTGACAGGAGCTCTGTGAGCCGGGCCACGGCCAGGGCCACCAGCCGTGGTGTGGGGACCAGCAGCCGCAGCCTGGGATGGGGGCACCCGTACACAGGTGGGGCCCCCATGTCTCCACCAGCCCTGAGCAGAGAGGCCCAGCTGGAGGGTCCCCGGCTGTGGCAGGCACCCCCATCCTGACCCTCCCACCTCCTTCCTGGATCAGGACCCACCAATGCCAGCCCCACTGCATCCTGGTGCCCACTCGTCTGCTCCCCACGGAGACTGGGGACACTTGACAGGGACAGCTCCCGGCAAGAGCCCCAACATGGCAAGGTCCTGTGTGACTTTATCTCCCTGAGCGGTCCCACAGCCCAGGGTCGCGGCAGGGTCAGAAGTGGGGGGGTGGGGAAGGCCACAAGGGTGGGCTTCTTGGCCTGAGGCTTACTGTGGAGAACAAGGTAAGCATCCGCACGCCCTGCCCAGTGCCTCAATGTCCTGGGGACCCTGACCTCAGACCGGTGGTTCGTTCGTCAGTAAAGGAAGCGTCAGAGACACAGTGCTCACCTGGGGGGGCAGCCTGGGGGGGCAGCCTGAGGAAAGAATGCCCGAACACCTCTGCCCTCCCCAGCCCACCCCAGCGCCTGGATGGCCAGCCCAGGTCCCCACCACTGGCCCGTCCCGTGGGGTATCTGCCAAGTGCCGCCAGAAAGGGGCAACTCACCAGGGCTCCTGCCCTTTGTCCCGGGGTCAGGGGGGCCACCCACAGCACCCACAGCCTCTCACAGTTCAGACCATGCTACTCTTCTGGCCCAGGCCCCTGCTGGGCTGCTCCCAGGCCGGCTGGAGGGGTGGGGTGGGGTGGGGGCTGTCCTCGAGGAGCTGGATGTGGCTTCTCACCGGCTCGTCCCCAGGGCAGCAAGCCCCAGGCTGACCAAGCAGGCTTGGGGACAGGGTCAGTGGAGCGTGAAGGAGAAGGGCCCACCACGCCCAGGGTTTGAGACCACAGAGATCTTGCCAGCCACCATAGCTGGTACGGGCGTGGACGTGGCTGTGACCCCCTACAGCTACCTGCTCAGACCCAGCCCCGGGTACTCAGCGGTCCCTGCAACGAACATGCTCAGGCTGGCCATGTACCCAGACTGGAGTCTCCAGCAGCCACATGTCCCCCGGCAAGCTCCCCGCCAGCAGCAGCAGCTAGGCGGGGAGGGGGTGGTGCGGGGGTGCTTCGAGGGCCAAAAGGAAGCAGTGGGAGGCTGACCCAAGCTCCAGTGGCGTCTGGGGAGACCTGCCGCAACAAGTCGTCTGTCCTGCTAGGCCCTCTTGCACAAGAGCACACACTCCCCTCGGGCCCAGCGGACACAGACGCGCACACATGCACACTGCCCGGGTCTGCAGAGCGGGGCCGGCAGGGCGGGCCGGCCTGGCTGCCACAGCCTTCGTGCGGGAGTCTGGCCAGGGCGGGTCCCCCCACCTCTGCCACTCACTTTGCCACAACAGCCACAGCGTCTCCGCCAGCCGCTCACAGAGGCTGAGGGACTCCTCGCAGCTGGTTGGGCCCCCAGGGCGGCAGATGCGAGGGCGGGGAGGCAGTGACACAGCCACAGCAATCTGGGGAAGATGGTTGGCCGTTGGGAGGAGGCACCATCAGGGACGACAGATGGAAGCCCTGGTGGGCGAGGTGGGGCAGAGATAAACACCCTGGCCAGCCTCAAGTGGCCGGGTTGGCGGGCAGAGGGGGCCATGCGCATGAGTGCGGTGGAGCGGAGGCTGCCCGCACCCCCACGGCCTCTCGGCTCCAGCAAACATCCGCGGCCACACAACCAAGACCCGTAACGCCACCGCCCATGGAACCTGCGGCCCAGGGGACCCCGGAGCCACCGTCCACTCCTGCCAAGAGGGACTCACGGCCATGCCCACAGAGTCAGCAGGGAACTCCGCCCGCCCCCAGGCCCTGCCCCTGTCCTCATCCCCCTGCCCCACATGCCCCCCTCAGGCTGCTGGGTCACTTGTGGAGACTGCTTGGGGCACCGCCCCGCGCCTGGGGCGTTCCCCAGGCGACCCGGGGCTCCTCCCTGAGCCTGCGAGGAAGAAGGCATTGTCACCTTGCCCACAGTCACACAACACAGAGCAGAGACCTGCCCTGGGTCCTGCGTCCTCCAGACTGGAGCAGGCCAGGCACCTGGGGACTCTGAGAAGGAGCCTGTGGACACAGACATACCCTGGGGCCCAAACCATCTTCAGACGGCTCAGAACAGTCAGCTGGAGTCCATGGGTCTCCTTCTACCGCTGCCTCAACCAGCAACTCACACTGCTGGATGGGAACCTTCCAGCAGGACAGGATGGCCCGATGGGCCCTGTGCCCAGGGAAGTAGCTAGACAGGACCCAGGCTGGGCTGGCCTCCTCATCGGATGATGGCCTTGCTGGGGGACCCAATGCAGAACCACCCATCAGCCCCAACCAGGGGCCGGGAGTGTATTCACCCTCTTGTACACATGGGGAAACTGAGGCACAGGTCATCAGGGGAATCTAGTGCTGGCCTTACAGCAGCACCTGAGCCCAGAGGCAGGCAGCCCCCCTGGGTAGGGCTCGGGGGGCATCGCACTCCCAGGGGCAGCCTGGCTTTGCCTCAGAGGGAGCCCCAGACAGGGAGACCCCTCCTCAGGAGAGCAGGACAGAGAAGGATGTCTACGGTGCTCTCAGCCACCTCCGTGCAAGAAGGAAAGACTAACCCCCTTCCCAACCTGCCCGTGCCCCCCACACCCTCTCCCAAGACACTGGGGCAGGCCAGGTGGGGCTCAGGTAGGGCCCCCCGCCAGGGTACTCACCAGCTGTCTACAGGGAGGGCGCAGGGCAGTGGCCGTGGCTCGAAGGCCCACCGACCGCCTGCTGGTGGAGCACAGACACCGGGCACCTGTACCTCCAGGTGCGCGGGGAGGTGGGGGAGGAGTCTGGGAGACCCGCCCTGATGTTGCCAGAGAAACCTCAGAGTCCATCCATGCAGGCTCCTCCTCCAGGCTGGCTTCCGGGAATCTGGGGGGGGTGGAGCACAGCCTCACCTGCTGATCCAGCCCACCTGGGCAGGGGATACACACCTGGGGACCTGTGGCTGTGGGGGCAGGGCAGGAGGCAGGTGTGGGGGGATCTCTAGTGCGGTCCAGACCGCTCCCTCTCTGCCCTCCGCCCCTGCCCCCGAGGGACCTCCAGCAGCCCCCACCCCCTGCGGCTGGGCATCTAGGAGCCCTGTCCTGGAGGCACCGTGTGGGGCTGGTGGGACTCCTGAGACTGGTCAGGCTTCCAGACAGCACAGAAGTGCCCGGTGCGGGGAGATGGGAAGAGGCAGAGCCGCTGGGAAGCCCAGTGACCAAACTCAAAACCTGAGTGTCTCCTGCCTCCTTGGAGTCTTGTGGCTCAGGGAGGGCTCCCCAGGGCACTCACCTTGGCAATGGAGGGACAGGAGGGTCTTGGGGGACCCCAGCAGTGCATTCTGTGCCTGGACGTGCATGTGGGTCCTGGGGTTTGGTCATCTGGCTAAGATCTGTGCCTGTACGTGCGGCCCTTATGGGAGGTTTTCAGCAGTGGGTGCGGGTTGGCGTGTGGGGGAACCGTGCTGCCCCCAGCCCGGCCAGCTCCGAACTCGCACTCCAGGGGCGCCCAGGAGTCCCGGGACGGGCGGCCTGCCTGATGGAAGTCAGGGCCCTTCCCGGACCCGCTGACGTGGTGCCTTCTCTCTGTCACGCCCAGGGGAGCCAGCTCCCTAGGGAGGTTCCCCCAACCCTGCCGGTCCCTGCCACCCCCTACCCCCAGAAGGGGGGGTCTTTCCCTCCCAAACAGACTCTAGTAAAATCTCTTACCAAAAGATTCCTCTCAGTGTTCAGGAACTTCGGGTTTGGGGGCAGAGAAACTCGGAGCAACCTGGTCTCTTACTCAGGGGGTACACCTGCCCTTCCCAGAAGCGGCATGGGGGAGCAGCCCCTCGGCCCTGGGGAGCTGCTGGGCACTGTCCTGAAAAATCGAGGCACTTGGCCAGGACCTCTTGGCCCAGAGCTTGGCCTTCCAAGCAAGACCACACTGGAGGCAGCCGCATCCTGGGGCCCGAGGGTCAGGAGGGGTGTGACCCCGCTGCCCCGACCGCACTCTGCACACTGGCTGGGCCGCCTCAGCCCTCAGAGACATCTGGCACCTGGAGCGGGGCAGTGGGAGCCAGAATGGGCACACACAGGGGTTGCCCTGCTCCACTGATGTCAGAGAAACAGGGCAAGTCCTCCTGGCCCGAGGTGGCCGAGTTTTATTACCCAACCCGAGCAGACTGAGACACATGCCTTCTGGCATGTAAGTCTAGTGTGCAGCTGGGCCCCAAGCCCAGCCGGGCCTGGCACCGAGGATGGCCATCGCGAGCTGAGTCTGGCCAGACCTCCCACGCACGAGGCCTAGTGGCCCTACCCAGTCCACGTGGGACGGAAGAAGCTCACCCAGAACCGTGGTCTGGGCCCCATGGCACTCTCTGCTGTGGCACCCAGCCCTCCGCCTGGCCCTCCGGCTGCAGAGGGGCGCCGGCCCAGCCAGGAAGCTGAAGGGGCGGGGTGTGCTGAGCTTGGTCACTGGGTGGGCCCCTGGGAGTCAAGCCGGAGCAGGTATGGCAGCAAGGCACTCTCCTTCCAGGAGGGGACAGGGCAGAAGGCTGTGTGGATAGGATGGCCTCCCAGGGGAAGGGCTCTGCACCTGGTCCCCGTGTGTGGAAGAGAGACGCTGGAAGGGCAGTGGCGGGTGTCCTCCTGGCTGGTTCGGACCCTAAAAAGGAAAGGAGTGAATGGTGCAGGAAAGGAGGTCTGGGCAGAGGCTCAGGGTGTGGGTACAACGCACGCAGGTCTCTCTCTCCCTCCATTTTCTGCCCATCAGCGAGCACCTGCCAAGAAGCAGTGCGAAGCCACTTAGACCCGGCCCTGCCCTGCTGGCTGGGGTCACCAGCTGCCTTGGTGCTGGCCTGAGGGGCACTGGCCACACTGATAGAGACGGACGGAGGCCACCCGTGTGCCCAGCACCGTGAGCTCTTAGGGGCCAAAGTCAGTCCAGCTTTCCCTGCCTCCAAATGCCCAGCCTGCCAGCACTCGGGGCGGCACGGGGCCCCAGAGCTTGGCCACCGGGTGACTCTCTTGGGCCTCCTTGTTCCGGAAGGGCAGGAGGGGCTCCTCGAAGGAGGGGGTCTCAGGGCACGGGTTGGCCTGCTCTGACCACGGGGCCTCAGCCGGCACCACCCCCTGGGGTTATAGGCACGTCTGACCCGTGACACGGCTCCCACTTTCATCAGAGTGCATGAGGGGGTGGCCCCAGCTGGGGACACAGCCACAGCAAGGAGAACACAGGCGCGAGTGCCCCCGGGCCAGACTCCGAGAGGGGAGGGTGCCTTGCTCAGGATCCCCCTGCGGGCTGCGTCCTCAGCAGGAAGGACAGCGGGGCCTGGGGACCCAGGGGTGGGAGCAAGTCTCCCTCAGCCAGAGCCCCGCAGGCCTGGCCACCTGGTGTAGGCCCCTGACCCACGTCGTGCACCCCAAACTCTGCCTTGGCCTCCCTGTCCGGAGAAACTGACCTGCAGCATGTGGGGCCAAGGTCAAACCGGTCACTCTGAGGGAGGGCGGGCTGCACACTCCAAACCTTTGGGGCTGGCCAGACCCTGAGAAGACCCCTCCACTCTCTTGCTTGGGGGGGTGGGGTCAGAGGGAGGGGGGTCTGTAAGCACCCCCATTCCCTGGCTCTCTGCCTCTGCAGGGTGGGCCCTTGGTCCCAACCTCCAGCTGTGGGGGGTCACCTCTGGAATCCAGCCCCCCCCACGACACCTGAGGGCCGGCCCCTAGCTACTTGCCTCCCTCTTGGGTCCTCTGTGTCTTTATGAGCTCGTAACTTAACAAAGAAACTCATTACGGTCATTTTAATGGGGCTTCCAAGGGGCCAAAAGCAAACACACATGGATGGTTTGTCCCCAGTTGGTCCCTAATTGCCCAGTCAGCCTGGCTCTGAGCTCTGACCAGTCCTGCAGAGAAAGGAGGGCGCCTGGAAGCCCGGGGTCCTGTGTCTGGGGAGGGAGGTGCCAGACCTGTCTCTCCTTCCTTCCTTCTGCTCCCTTCCCGGGTGTTCCAGGCCAGACCCTTGGGAAATGTCCGTGCCCCCATCTCAGGAGGCTTGCGGTTTGGAGGACCAGAATGGTGGGGTTCCAGGGGCTTTGGGGCCTGGGGACTTGCGTGGAGGCCTGCTGTGCTACACTAAGTGACAGCCGCCCACCCCCGCCGTGTGCTTCAGTCTTTCCCCCCAGATGGGTTAGGGCCACTGGTGCGGGGGCCCCACACCAAGGGGAAGGTGAAAGCCGTGCACGGGAACCCAGGGCCCAGTGCCTCCAGCATCCCTCCCTCTCCCACGGAGCTGACCCAGTGATTTGGAAATTAGGGAAAGGACTCGCTGTCCTTCCTTCAGGGCAGCACGGAAGAATGCGCTCTGAAAAGAACCCCACCCTGAGGCCACAGAGGGCTGGAGAGGAGGAGGCCCGGCTGAGCTTCAGGCAGAACCGTGGGAGGAGGGGCTCTAGGATGCAGGGTTTCCATGGCAACCATAGCTGTGGGGAACTACAGGGCAGAGGCTCATGGAACAGACCCCATGTGGGCGAGGGTGAGGGTTGGTCGGGTGGGGGCGGGCAAGAGGTGTGGCCCCTTCTCCTGATTTCCTAGGCCCCGCTCTGCTGCTGGACCGAGAGCCAGACCTTGTGGGGGGACCCCACGGAGGCAGGCGGCTCCTCTTGGCTGCCTTCCTGGCGACCAGGTCCAGGTGTAGGTCTCGTCAACACGGGGAAGGGGCACTGGGTGCTTCCTGAGATCTCCTATGCCGGTGGCCCCGGGGAGCTGGCTGCGTCCTCGCTCGGCCCTAAGTCCTGTGCCCCCCATAGCTTCCCACCCAGCTTCCTGTGCCGGCCGCTGCCTTCCCTGAGTCCCTGTTCTCACTGTGCCCAGGCCATGGGCCCCTGAGCACCCCGCCATCCTCCCTCCCCACCCCATGCCTTGGAACATGTCCCTCTAGCCTGCCTGGCCACCCGAGGCCTGGGTGGGGGTGACTGCATGTGAGGGCAGAGACAGGGCAGCAACTGGGGTTCTTTTTCTGTGACACCTGGCGGTAGATGGGGCCTTGGAGTCTGGCTCCCACAGACGCAGGTGCACGTGTGGGGGGGGGCCCATGAGAATGAGGGGGTCCCACGGGACCAAGCCTCCTCCTGATGTGACACGCGGCTCCCAGGTGGTGAGCACCCAGCACTCGAGGGCCAAGCCTGGGGGAGTGAGGAAGGGGAGGGGAGGTGGGTACTGAGGGTGGAGGCCCCTCCTGCAGGGCGCAGGGCCCTGGGGATTCCTCTCATTCCAGCCAGGGCTCCAGGCCCCTTGCTAGCAGGCTGACCCAGTCCCTCAGCCTCTGGTGTCCCCAGACACGCCCAGCCCTCCCCCCACGGCCCCCCCACCCCGGTCTTGCTGCCTGAGAAGGGCCCCGCCTCTGCCCAGACCTCCAAGCCAGGCAGGAGGGGTCGGGCCAGGGAGGTGGGACATCAGCTTGGGAGCAAGTCTCCCCGTGACAGCTGTCCCTTGCAAAGCGTGTGATGTGTTCTAGGCCTGTGCCAAGGGCTCCCCAGCAGCCCGTCACTCTCCAGGCTTGTGTTTGGAAGAGGAGAGAGACCCAGGGGAAGGCTGGGGCCCAAGCTTGTGAGTTGCTACGCTGTGCTGGGCCTGCTTCCTGGCTCGTCCCCTGCTCTGGGGGGCGACATCAGCATGGGTCTGTGGTGTCCCAAGGTGCACACTGTCCCTGCATTCTAGACAGGCAGGGTCCCCACGGACAGAGGTTTTTTCTCGCGTGACGACTCTGCTCCAGGAGCCGCTCCCACCCCCAGGACCCCAGGTGCTCTGCTTCCCCTGGACAAGGGGGAAAGGGGTAGCGAGAGCCTGGTCAAGGAGCCGCGGCGTACCCACAGACGAATGTCACACAGCCCTGCCCCCAGTCACGTCTGCGCAGACGTCTTTGTGAGGCCTGGGTAGAGCTTGTGAGCTAATGGTACGCGGCAAGAAGGCCACAAAACCACGTGACCTGAGTCACTCAGCAGCTGTTGTAAGGAAGCACTGGGAAGTGAGGGTAGTGGGGGTCCCCAAAAGACACCCACCTGGTGTCAATGTGACCCAGTTGGAAAAAAGGTCTTTGCAGGCGTACTTAAGTGCAGGACCTCGGGATGAGACCGTCCTGGGGTCGGCGGCGCTGCGTCTGATGGCCTATCCTTTCAGAGAAGGGGACAGGCCCTTTGAGGACGGAGCGGAGGTGGAGGGACGCCTGGAGCCCCAGGGGCTGGGACAGGCAGGGAGGACACTGCCCCGGAGCCTCAGGAGGGAGTGCGGCCCCAGGACACCTGGACTCTGCCGGAGCCGAGAGAGAACAACGTTGTTCTCAGCACCCTGGCCCCGGAGACACCACAGAGGGCTTCGCCCCATGTCAGCGGAGCCTGGCGGGTGCTCACAGCGCCTCACCCACTGTCCTGTCACATCACTACCCCATGGCCACTGGGACAGGTGCCAAAGGGGCAGGGAGCTTGGCCAAGGTCGCGGGGCCGAAGGGCTGGGGGTGGCTTTTAGCCCCGGTGGAACTCCTGGAATGAGGAACTGTGGGCAGGGAAAACCCGCTGCCTTTTCTGTTTGCCTTCGGGGGCTTCCTTGGGTCGGTTGGGGCAGGACGTCTCCTCTCTTTCTCCGTCCAGTGTTTGCTCACGTTTTGATGCCCCTCCCCTCACACACACCAGCATGGGAACCCGGAGCCCCCAGACTCCGCTGCAAGGGTCAGCCCTCCCTCTCTCTCCATGTCTCCGTCTCTGTCTCTGTGTCTCCCTCTCTCTCCACATCCCCACGTCTGCCAGGCCCAGGCTGGGGACACAGATGGGTGGGGCATCACCGAGGCTGAGCCGCACAGACTGACCTGTCGTCGCCGCCAGGTGCATGTGTCCCGCCTCCCGAGGCTCCGGGGGCGTGAGCAGCCAACCAGCCAGGGCCACAGGAATGCCGCGTGGCTGGCTGTCGTGGATGTCGTGGGTGGTGAGTAGCCTCCCTCGGACCTCCAGCTATTTCCTGGGCATGCGGTCCCGGGGGTGGGCAGATAGACCGTTTCCTGCCAGCTCCCCTCTGCCTGTGCCCATGCAGCCGAACACCCGCCCGACAGACCCCACCCGACAGACCGACCCGGCAGACCCCACTCTCTGAGGACTTTTGGAGGGCCTGAGGAGAGAGGAAATGGCTGCGGGGTGACCCATGAGGGTCTCGGGGCCACGGGAGCAGGCACTCGCCCGGCAACTGTGTGGGACAGTAAGTTCCTTCTCCGGGTCATGAGATCGTTGGGAACACAGTACACCTGAGTGATCTGCTCTGGCCGTGCTCCAGCTCCCACTGGGCCCTTCGGGAACAGCCTTGCTGCAGGGGTGGGAGTGGAAGGAGGCGGGGGTGGGGGGGTCTGGGAGACCACGGGCGAAGAGCGGCCACGCCGGCCACAGGGACATCCCCATCACCCCCGGCCTCAGCCAACACCCAGGGGGCCGCACACCCTGCTGAAGCCCGTATGCCCGTCTGCTCGCCCTCGGATCCTCCAGGCAACCTGGACGCCCTCTGCCGGTCTGGCCTTCATCCTGGGCCCGTGGGGAGCCTGGAGAGCCCACCAGGTCTCCCCACTTCCAGGGGCTCAGAAAGAACCCTGCAACTATCCATCGTCATCTCCCGCCAGGCATGTCCTGGGGACAGATGCAAAGGACAGATCCAGGAAGGGGTGAGGCAGGAGACCAGGGTGTGATGCCGTCCGTGCCCCAGCAGCCCAGTCCCCCTGGCCCAGTTGGGAGACCCAGGACGCCACTGCTCTGTGTGCTCGCCTGTACAACAGGAGGGGTGTGCCGGCGAGGCAGGGTGCCAGAAAGGCTGAGTGGTGAAGGGCAGGGCAGGCACGTGGCAGGTGCCCTCGGAGGGAGGTAGCACCGTGGCTGACGCGTGCTGAGAGGAACGCCCGGGCCCTCAGGATGCCGTGTGTCAGCCCTCGAGACCGGGTGCCTCCCAGACCGGGGTCAGCGTTGCTGCCTGTGCCTACCCCTCACGTTCCGCTCAGGGATGTGTCTGGGCAGGAAATCGCTTTCCTTCCCTCTAACGCTCCTTTGGGAATGAGGCCCATTAGGGATGGGTGGGTGGGTGGGTGGATGGAGGGAGGGAGGGCATGTGCTTACGGCCTCCCGTGGGAGCGCTCTGTCGGCTGGTGCTCCTGGCATCATGAAGTGGGGAGGCAGTTACAAGGCAGAATGTAAAGACATGCTCCTCCGTCTCTGGGGAGGCTGGGGAGGGTGAGCAGAGCAAATGGGGGAAGACGGGACCAGCGGGAGGCCGGCGGTGACAGAAGGCTGGTGCCCTCCAGAAGCTCCTCCCAGCCCAGACCTGTCACCCTGGAGCCCCTGCTCTCCGTGGACCAGTGATGTGCTCCCTCTCACAGGTGCGGGGCTGTGTAGGCAATGCACACTGGCCTGTCGCCTGGTGGCAGCCCTCATCACGGGCCATCTCCCTGCACGGGTTCTCTGGGCAGGAGAGAGGAGTCGGGTCCAGCCAGGACCCAGGACCACCATCGGGGCCCAGTGGGGACCAGGCCCAACCACCCAGGCAGAGTGCTCCCAGTGCTGGTGCTCCCTGAGCTCTCAGCTACCACGAACAGTGAGGAGCAGCATCCACTCCCCCGTGGGCCTTCACGGTCCCTGCAGGAGCGAGCCACTGAACCCTATTCCTGGGTGGCAGAACTGGGGCTCAGAGAAGGAGAACAGCTTGTGGCAGGTGACCCGGTGCAGGGGACAGGGGGCAGTCCTGCCGGGCCTGCCAGCCTGAGCTGTGGACCAGCTCACTGCACAGCACCCCCAGAGGGTCCCGGCTCCCCCAGGAAGCTCTGATAAAAAGCAGAGACTCTCCCAGCCCAGGGACCCTGGCTCCCCAGTCTGCCTGTTCCCAGGAAGGAAAACAAGGTGCTTTCCCCGCAGTGACCGCTACAGGGGGCGGCGCATTATTCCCCTATTCTGCCATTCACATCCCGTCACTCTGAGGGCCTTCTTGGCACCAGGCCCCCCGGCTGTAGACCCAGGGGACCCACAGGAGCTAGCAGCTGCGGCCTCCTGGGGACGCTGAGCTCCGGTCTGGCAGAGGTGGGGCCCCGGCCTCAGAGTGACGCCCGCTTGGGAGGCACCCCAAGGATGCAGGCCTTGGGCTGTGGCAGATAAGGGTGGCGGCCCCGCCCACAGCCCCCCCAACCCCCCAGCCAGCAGCCTGGCCCCAGCCGGGGAGCGAGGCCTTGCCCAGCTCCTGTGGTCACGGGGGAGGGCGAGTGGGATGAGCTGCCAGGCCGCCCAGGCTTTGGGCACAGATGGTTCTCATTCCCGCTGCCTCTCTTCCGTAGGAAAAACAAACTAGCCCCGGGCCAACAGGCTCTTTTCTATCTTCTGTTTACTTTGGTTGCCATTGGCCTCTGCCTGTGGGCTGCGTTCTGCTGAGGGTCCCGCTGGAGGCCCTGGCATTTCCCTGACCTTAGGGCAGCTCTCCTGGGAAAGTGGCCCACTTCCTGCTCCCAGAGTTGTTGCTGTCCCGTTGGGCCTCAGCGACTCTTCCAGGGTCCGGAGTCCCCCGGCTGCACCAGGAAGGCTGGGACTGAGAACCAGGAAGGCTGGGACTGAGAACTGCAGGACAGAACCAGGTGAGACCCAGGTGTGCCCAAGGGGCCTTCTGCGTGCCCGCACCCCCTCCCCGCAGACGCTGCCCTGGGGAAAGGCCCCGAAAGCCCTGCAGAGCCCAGAGTGGGAGGCCGCGGGGTAAGGTGTCAGCCGGCAGGGCTCGCAGGCATCCACAGAGGGGCCCAGCGGGGACACAGGAGGGCGATGGCAGTGGGGGGCATGGGCGCAGGGTCCCTCCACTCACATTTCACAAGTGAGACCACGGTCGGGAGGCCGAGGCGGTGACCCCAGGTTTGGGGAGTAAGAAACAGCAGGGTGGGGGGCTCCCCTGGCCAGGCCACACAGGTCGCAGTGAGTGCAGATCCCAGGCCCCCTCCAGAGGACCAGGGGAGTCACACGGGGGCAGGGAGCAGTGTTTCCCATCAGCTCCCCAGCTGTCTCTAAGGCAGGCAGAGGGTCACCGCAGGGCCAGCACCCACTGCCAGTTGAGAAGGGGGTAGGCATGTTGGAGCTGTACATGAGGGGGACAGGGGACTACCAAGGGGGGCTGGCCGCCTGCCAAATAAAGGCAAGGAGGCCTCAAACGCCCCCCGCGTGGGGGTGGGGAGGCCGGCAGGGCTGCAGGGACACCCAGGCGCCCCGCGGGTCCCAGAAGAACCCTGGGGCCCAGGGGCCGAGCCCAGAGCCAGGCCCCTGCCCCCGTGCCCCCGTAGCCTCGAGCTGCGGAGAGAGGGGGTCCTGGGGGGCAGGAACGCTCTTGCTCAAAGGCCCCGCCCCCTCCCCGGGGCCGCGCGCGGGGGAGGGACCCGCGGCTCCGTCCGCGCCCCCTCCCCTCGCGGGCGGCGGTGACATCACGGCCACGGCGGGAGGGGCGGCGCCCCGCGCGCATCACTTCCTCGGCGCCTCCGGCGGGCGGGCGGACAGACCGACGGAGGGACGGACTGACGGTGGACGGTGGGCGGCGGACAGCGGACGGGGACAGGCGCAGGGCGGCGCGAGCAGGGTGGGGGGGGCGTGCGCCCCCGGCCCTCGGCGACCCCAGCCCCATGGCCGGCCCGGCCCCGCCCGCCGCCGACGAGCTGCCCGGCCCGGCCCGGCGCCTCTACTCCAGGTAGGCTGGGCGGACCGGCGGGGGCCTGCGGGGACGAGCGGGGACGCGCGGGGACGGGCGGGACGCGCGGGGACCCGCGGCAGGAGGCGGGAGGCCCGGAACAAAGGCTGCGGTGGGCGCGCAACGTGGCGGAGACGCGCCCTCCCTGCGGGCTGGCGGCGGTGGAGGCGCGGGGGAGGAGGGGTGTAGGGGTGGGGGGCTCCCGCGGGGGCGGGGACTGGGGAGGACGGGGTGCTGGGGTAGGGGGCACCCGGGGTGAAGGAGGGGATGCAGAGGAAGGGGACACCCCTGGTGGGGGAGGTGCCTGCAAGGGTGAGGGGCGTGGGGGGGAGGACATGCAGGGATGGAGGGCACTGAGCGTGGGGGCCGCAGGCCTTCCAGGGCTGGTGCCCTTTGGGGGCCAGAATTAACCAGTGGTCAAGATGGTCGCTGGGCTGGGGTGGGCTGCTGCTTGCTGGACCGCCCCCCACCCCCTGCCCTGGGACAGTGGGAGGGAGACCCTCAGCTTCTCAGCTGCGCTCCTGACAGCTGGGCCACCTGGCCCAGCAGGTGTGTGGAGGGGGCCCGCCAGGAGCTCCCTCCCAAGCCCAGCACCACCTCCCCACAACTGCGGTTTGGGTTCTCTGGAGGCAGCATGGCTGAAGGAACCCGGCTTTATCCCCCCGGACCCACCATAAATCTGGGTTCAGGGGACCACAGGCTGGAATTCAGGCTGCAGAGCCAGCCAGCCGGGTGGGGTGCGTGTCTGCCTGAGAAGACTCCAGCCTCCGGGCCCCTGCATGGAGGCCAGTGGCCCGCGCTTTCTGAGCTGACACCTGCGGGCGTCCCTGCCTGCTGACCCCGGGCCAGGGCGTCCTGCACGGCAATGCCAGGTGCCCAAGCACCTGGGCACCAGGTCCTCCCAGGCGGATGGACTCTGCCAGGGATGCTGGGGGCCCAGTACAGTCGGCACAAGTGCCAGGCAGGGGCTGGACTGGCTGCCTCCAGGGCGAAGCTTGGACTTGGACGGACACCATCATTCCTAGGACCTGGCGGCCTCCCCAGATGCTGGGCCTTCGAGGGGCCCAGCCTTGCCCAAGAGGATTCTCCAGCCCCAGCTGGCCAGTGCGTCAGCAGCAAACCCGTTTTGCGCGCCCCCCCCTCCTCGCCCCCACCCCAAAGTGCAGAATGAGGCACTGGTGGTGAGTGAAAAGGAGGCCTGCCGCTCCTCCCACCTTGGTCCCTGTGCCACTGGTCAGACACAGCTGCCATTGTGTGGTCCCAGGATTGAGTGCTAAGCCCCCCGGCCTGGCTCCTGGGCCCCATGTAGGGGGAGGGGTGTGCGGGTGGGTTTCCTGGCAGCTGACACTGGAGGCCCACCCTAGAGGATCCCCTGCACAGCTGAGCCTTGGGTCCCTTTCGTGCTGGTCCACATCCACAGTCTCGACTTGGCAGTCGGGGGTGTGGGCCGGTGCTGGGGCCCAGCAGTAACACGCCAGGCAGGACCCTGGCCGGGGGGAGCTGTCCTTGGCAGGGACAGAGCTAAGAGGGGGACGCTGGCAGAGGCCCTGAGCCCAGCCAGGCATCCTTGCCAGCCGAGAGCTGAGTTGAGCTCGAAGGGGTAGGCTGAGCACAGACTTGGGGTGCGCTGCAAGCAAGCCCTCCTGTGGGCCTGTGCGGACACCCCTCACAGGCTGTTTGGGTACCCACAGCCAGCTGTGGACAGGGCGGGTCCCGCTCAGTGGTGGCTTTCGGAGGCTGGCGGGCAGGGGTGGGATTTGGGGAGCGTGTGTGGGAGCATCCTGGATGGGTGGGGGCTGTTAGCTGGAGAGGAGGGAGACGCTTCCTCTGGGCTGCGGGAAGGCGTTAGGAGGTCGTCCACCCCCTGGGTACTCGGGCCAGGAAGCCCACCTATGGCAGGGCAGCTGAGGGGACTGTGAGCGGCCATTTGGTTTTACCACTCTGCAGATAGTCGTTCGGGCGAACCTCTGGGCCGGGCCTAGCCCTCCCCCAGCAGCTCCCTTCCCATGCCAAATTCCTGCCTGGTGACATGGGGTCTGGGGGACTTGGGCTCAGAATGCACACAGAGAGGGGCATGAGTGTGCCCATGGGCCCAACAAGTCCCCAGATGGGGCCCTGGGGAGGGGATGGTGTTGGGGAGGCAGAGTCTCCTCCCTGGAGAAGGGGTTGGGGAGGGAGGGGCTGACGGGCCTGGGAGAGGAGGGTTCAGGGGAGGGGCAGGTGGCCAGGAGGTCCCTGAAAGTGGGGAGGCCCTGGTGGAGTGGTGAGCACCCCCACCGTGGGGAGCCCTGTCAGATGTGGGTCCCAAGCATAAGGTGGCCGGACAGGGCCATCCTCAGGAGTGGGATGGCCTCCTGCCACCTACCCGTCCCCACTACGGCTCCTTCCACTGTATCCCAGGCACCGGCAGCGGCAGGACATCTGCAGGCTAATGGCCTGGCCCCAGGGCTCACTAGAAACACAACCCCCAGCGCTTTCCCAAGCTAGGTGACACACGTGTTCTCCACCAGCAATTCCTGTTCCCACCATGCTCCCTGCCCTGTGCTGTCCCAATGGCTTTGCTTTTGGGGGCAGCGGGATGGGGTGAGCGGGGGCCCTGGCCCATCAGCTTGGTGGCCCAGACTGGGGCAGACATCCCTGGAGAGGGAGGTCAGTGACTGCATTTAGCAGAGAATGGAGGGAAGAGGGACACAGCCCCCAGCTAACCCTGTGCAGTGAGAGCTGGGGGCCTGGCTTGGAGACCAGCCATGGTGTCTGCCCCGGAGGACCCCGAAGAGGCTGGTGGGAGAGGTGGGTGAGGGCAGGAGCCTGGTGGAGAGCCCAGCAGTTTGGTCCGAGTGAGGCTGGGCTGATGGCCTCTGCGGGGTGCGGTCTTGGGTGCCAAGGCGGGGCTGGAAGGGTGTGGGCGTGATGTGGCCAAAGAGTAAGGTTGGCCACTGGGGAGTCCATCACCATTTTATTAACCGGTAAGCCTGCGGGCGGGCGGCAGGAGCTTGGCAGACGGTGTCCTTCCTCCCGGCCACTGTGGTCCGGCCTCTGGGCAAGCCGGCCTGGTGGGCCCTTGCAAGGAAGGGCGACACATCCCAGATGGGAAGGCCGTCCCTCCCAGGGAAAGGAGAGGCTGCCGGGGAGCTGAGGCCACAGCCCTGGGGAGCTCTGCGAACTCTGGTCAGCCCAGCCCAGAGCTGCAGGGGCTCTCGTGCCCCGAAAGTGGGACTCCTGGTAGCCTGTGGGTGGACAGGCCCCGGGCAGTCCTGCAGGGAGGACGTGTGGCTAGAAGGCAGGAAGGCCCACTCCACAGACTGGTGCTAGAGTGGGCGGCCCAGTGCGGCTGCAGACCGGTCCGTCACTTGTGTCAGTGGGCACATGCCAGGCGACGGGGCAAACACCCACAGGCCTGCAGAGGTGGTGTCGGGGCAGAGGCTCCGGAATCTTCTTCCCTGAGCAGGGATGTGGGTCTGGCCAGCCTGGGTGGGTCTCAGGGAAGACAGGGGAGGGTAGCCTGTCCTTCAGGCGGGCCCTGGGAAGCAGAGTAGGGGGCCTGGGGTTGATCTGAGGGTTTGGAGCGCTAGTTCGTTAATAGGAGCCGCGTGAAAACGTGGTGACCCAGGCCCGCCCTGTACCTGTCAGCTGAGTGGTCCTGGGGGGGTGGATGGGGGTATTGGCAGAAGCCTTAGCGTGGGGGGCTACTCGGTCTGGACACTCTGGGCAGCAGGACCTGGTGTGGCAGGCAGCCTGGGACCTGATCCCCCCATCCCTGTCCTCACCTGCCCCGGGCCCTCCGGAGACTCAGCCTCACCAGACCCCACCGCCGAGTGAACAGGGCCCCCAGGGCCGGTGCTGGCCTTGAGATCCTGTACCTGGGCTGGTCTTTGCCCTGGGCCTCCCACCCTCCCTCTTGTTCTCGGTTTCTCCGTGTGCTCTGACTCCAGGTAGTTTTGGGGTCAGAGGGCACCCCAGAGCTGCACCCCTTCCTGTTCCCATGGTCCAGAGCTGCACAGCCTTGGAGCCCTCTGCCACCCCATGCCCGTTGCTGAGCTGGGCAAGTGGCCTGGCAGAGAAGGCCTCGCCCCCGCCGGCCCTGCCCTGCTGACAGTGCTGATCCCCAGCTCTGAGCTGTCCTGATCCCTTGATCCCCCTCAGTCCCCGGGAGGCCCTGGACAGCCTGCCTGAGGACCTGGGGTCTCCTGGAACTTGGGACGCCAGAGCCTTCGGCCCACCGCTCTGGGGTGGGTGGAGGCAGGGGGACCACGAGGCCGGGGCATTCCCGGGACTGGCAGCCGAGGTGGGCCGGGAGCTGGTGGGCCAGGAGGGAGGCCTGGAGTCCCGCCATGCCGGCCGCCTCCGCCGAGGGCCAGCCTGTGGCCCTGAGCCTGGCAGAGAAGGCCGTGTGCAAGGTGGTGTACGGTGCCCCGCGGCCCCGCCCCCTGCTGCTGCCCGTGGGCCTGGAGCTGTGGCTCTACGTGCAGAAGATGCGTAACCTGCGGAGGAAGAGGTGTGCTGGGTGGTGACGGGGGCAGAGGGTGGGTGCTGGAGGTCAAGGGGCCGTGGGGGGCTCTCGGGCTCAGTAGAGGGGGTGGGGCTTCCCGCCCGGACTCCCTGCCTGCGGCCTATCCAGGGCCTGTCCAGGATCGTCCTCACGATCCTGGAGCCGGGGTCAGACTGGCCAGTCTGGGACTCAGGGTGGCCACGCCCGACGCCCCTCTGTGGACCCCCCACCTCCTGCTTTTTTGGGCCCCAGGCCCTTCCCGCACCAGAATCCTCCTTCACCGTGGTGTCCAGGCAGGCCCGGGGGTTGGGGGCAGCCGTCCGCCCTCTCCCCACTGTCGACCCGGTCAGAGCCAGCAGGGTGAGCTTGGTCCGGACACGGCAGCGTCACAGCCCCGAGGCTGCTAAGTCCCCTGGGAGGAGAGGTTGGCCCACGGTGTCACATGGCCTGGTGCCCAGCTGGGTGAGGCCTGGATTAAGGAGGCCTAGATTAAGGAGCTCCACGCGTGGCAGTGGTTACGGGGGTAGGCCACTGGGGGGCTCCTGCAGCGTGGCATCTGGATGGGCTTTCCCAGAGCGGGGAGGGTATGAAGCCAAAGCTCTGACCCCCGGCTCTCGGAGGGGCCCCCAGGCTCGGCTCGAACCTGGCACAGGCAGGGCGGTGCCAGGTCCCAGAGCCCAGCCCTCCCGGGAGGAGTGGCCCTGATGCTGGGGGTCGAGGCTGGGCAAACAGTGCTGTGAAGGTGGGGGCTTCCCAGCAGAGAGCTCTGAGCCCATGGGGTGTGGGGTGCTGGGCTCAGCGTCTCAGGGCTCCACAGGTGCACCCCTGCCTCTTGGTAAGCGGTGCTGTTGGAAACGTTGAAAGTGCATGTTTTCCTGACGATGCAGAGGTGAAGTGGGCAGGGCACCGCGGTTTGTATCGAAGGGGGTTTGGTTAAACGGTGGAGAAACACTGCCGTAGACAGATTTGTTGGTTGGTTGAGGGGAGCCATGTGCTCCCCCCCAGTAACTGCTGATCACTGCGCGACCCAACAAAGCTGAGGGGCAGCTGTCCTGGGCCACGTGCACTGTTTGGTGTGGACATTTTCAGTTACCCGTAGGCTTTCCACGGACCCGGACCCAGGTGGTCGGGGTTGGCCCTCAGCTGTGCGGAACGTGCCCCCCACTTTTCCAGGGCTGCATGTACAGTCACCTGCCAGGGTGCCCTCCAGCTTGGGGCCCCACTCTCCCACCCAAGGGCAGGGCCACGGGCCAGGCCTTGAGCCGGGAACCCACAGGACCAGCCAGAAGAGGATAGAGGAGGAAACCAAGGCTCTGAGTGGTGATGTGGCCTGCCCAGGACCCCACAGCTGGGAGGGCCCGAACCAGGACCGGCCTGAGTGGCCCCACATATGAGGCTCCCGTGATAGGTGGTCTAAGGCCCAGGGACCGCAGGGCCCAGGCTAGCAGCTGGGGGGCCCAGACCCCACCTTAGGGGCCGAGCAGGGCCCTGCTTCTCTGAAGCCCCCGCCCGAAGGTCAGGGGAGGAGGGGCTGGCGCAGCCTCTGGCCAGGGCCCAGGTTGTCATGTGGAACTCTGGACCCTTGGGGTCGGCTTGCTTCATGGGCCAGGAACCTGGAACAGTTTCCAGGGGTCGGGTTCATCCTAAGACGTGGTCTTGTCCTGTTTTCCCCTGGTAGTGCCATGAGGTGGGGGAGCCGCTGTCCATCAGGCAGTCGTGGCCCTAGGGCAGCTGAGCGCTCTTCGGCTCCCAGGGCTGGCTGACCCTGGGATGCAGCCCTGCCTCCCCCATGGATGGGAGGTGAGAACAGATGATGCCTGAGCCCACAGCCCCCCATGGAGACCTTGGAGGCTGGGGGCGTACTCTAGGACGAGGAGGGGTCAGGTTCTGCCTGTGTGGCCTTGGCCAGCTCTCCAAACCTCTCTGAGCCTCGGTTGTCCTTGGTGACGCTCAGGGCCCATCCCAGGCTGCGGAGGCCGCCTTGGAGGAGGGATGTGGCTCCAGGGCGGCCCTCACCGGGTGCCTGAGACTTCTTGGGAGGTTGTGTTTGGGGCTTGGCCGCCGTGGCCTGAGGCCTTGCTGTGGTCACAGACTCACGCCTTTGCCCGGAGCCCCTGAGCCCTGGTAGTGAGGGGCGGGCAGTGAGACACCCTTGGTGAGGTGCACAGGTGTGCCAGCTGGGGGATGGGCGTGCCACCGGCCCTGGCACCTGCTCCCGGGCACAGCACGCACATGTGCAGTGTGGGTCCCGCTGTCGGAGGGCCTCGTGGTCCTCGTGACGACAGGGTGGGAGCCCGCGTCCCCTGCAGGGCTGCGTGAGGAGCAGGCTCTGACTTTCCTCCCCTCCGCCCAGGATGGAGGCCTCGTGCCTGGAGCTCGCCCTGGAGGGGGAGCGTCTCTGCAAGGCGGGGGACTTCAAGGCAGGCGCGGCGTTCTTTGAGGCGGCAGTGCAGGTGGGCACCGAGGACCTGAAGACACTGAGTGCCATCTACAGCCAGCTGGGCAATGCCTACTTCTACCTGAAGGAGTACTCCCGGGCCCTGGAGTACCACCGGCACGACCTGCTGCTGGCGCGGTGAGCGCGGGCGCCTGCCTCGGGGAGCTCGGCGGCGAGGAGCCCGCGGGGGGACCGGGACTGGGTCGGTCTGTCTGCCCGTGGGCGTGGCTGTGGCCTGCTCTCCCGAGTATGTCCGCGCTTGTGGGCCTGCCTCCGGGACTGTGTGTGTGTCGGCTGGCGGGGGCGACCACCTGTGCTCCCCACGTCTCCACCCTCCCTCAGCCCCCGGGCCTTGGCTCGAGCTGCTCCCATCCCCGAACACCTCCCTTGCTTGTCTCCCACCCTCTGCCCCTCCTTCGCACGTGCAATCAGCAGCGGGGTCCCCTGAGAGGGAGTGGAGCTCCCCAGGGCTCCCACCAGCCATGCCCACGGGCCCTTCCCCGGCCAGCGAGCCCCAGGTGTCCTCTGCGCCCCACCAGCATGTTGAAAGTTACTCACACTGCCAGGTGCCCCCTTGTCCCCGGCTCTCCCGGTCTCCATCCGGCGCCCCCAGGCCCTGACAGCTGCAGGCTGGGCCCCGTAGAGAAGTGACCCCCAGCTGGACCCCCCGCCCTGGGGGCTGCCCGAGGGGGCCTCGCCCGCCAGCCACAGGACCCCTGCCCAGCATTGCCCCAGTCGGCTCAGGGCCGGTCCTGCCAGGCCAGCCCCACCCCTGCCCGGCCTCCCTGCTGGACCTAGCGTCTGGAGCCCTCAGTGAGCCTGGCTGCTCACTCCCCACTGCCCTCTAGGACCATCGGGGACCGCATGGGGGAGGCCAAGGCCAGTGGGAACCTGGGCAACACACTGAAGGTCCTGGGCCGCTTTGACGAGGCTGTCGTCTGCTGCCAGAGGCACCTGGACATCGCCCAAGAGCAGGGGGACAAGGTCAGTCGGTGGCTCCCTGGGAGGCCGGCACCCCCGACCTGTGGCCCCACGCCGTCCCCCGTGGGACGAAGATGGGAGGATGGCCTGGCCCGCTGCCCAAGCTAGAGGCCCCAGCCCCCCAACATCCATGTCAGCTCTTCCTCTCACCGACCTCCCCGCTCTGGGCTCCAGAGGGAGACATGGCCCCGTGGCAGCAGGGGGATGGGGAAGCTGTGGGCCCAGCCCGGTGCGGGCACTTGACTGTCCTGCTCTGTGACCTCCCTCTGTGACCCTGTGAGATCAGCACAGATAAGGAAATAGGGTGACTCACCCCAAGTCACAGCTCAAGGGGGCCAGGCCTTGCTGGGAGGCCCTTCCTCCCCCTGGGCAGCAGAGACAAGAGGGGTGCCCATTACCAGGCATGGCCACCCCTCCCCTGTGACTCAGTCACTTGGGATGTCCTCAGAGAGCAGTTGTCACATGCGAGGCCCCCCAGCCCTTCTTGGGGCTCCGGCCCTACCTTAGCATCTGGATGTGGTGATTGCGCCCTCCAGGTCCTTGCCTCAGGGGATATAGGGACCGGGGACAGTGGGCTTCTTGGGGGCCCGGTCTACAGAGGTCCCCCAACCTCAGTGCCACCCTCAGGTTGGGGAGGCGAGGGCACTGTACAACATCGGCAACGTGTACCATGCCAAGGGCAAGCAGCTGTCCTGGACCACCGTGCAGGACCCCGGGCACCTGCCACCGGACGTCCGGGAGCCCCTGCGCAGAGCCTCCGAGTTCTATGAGTGAGTGGGGTGGGCAGGGGCGCCCGCAGAGCCGGTGAGCCGCCGGGTGTCCACACTTTCTCTCGAGCTTCCTGACGCCCTGCTGCTGGTCACGGGGCGTGGCAGGCGCCCCTATCTGGCCCCATTGGCTCTCCACAGACCCCTGCATGGCGATAGCCCGGTCAGCTCTCCTTCCCCACCCCCCACTGCACCTGTGCTCAGGGTCTGGTGGGGCTCCACCCCAGCCCCCGGTATCTCCCCACACGTCAGTCATCCACGGCGGTGCGGAGAAGCCACGTGTGGCATTTAGAAAACGTTTGGCTGCAAGAAGGCCAGGGGTGTGGGGCCGAGCGTCTGTGCATGGGAGAAGCCCAGGGCAGACGAGCCCCGACTCGGCCTTGGAGCTCACACGGCGCCCGCTGGGGCGTGCTCCTGGGAGGAGCCAAGCGGAGGCTGCCTGCTCATCGCCCTCTAGCCTGGTCGGGTGGGGATGTCACAGGGCCCCTGCTTCCCATGCACTGAGAGGGACGTGGCTCAGACAGACGCGACCCCCAGGAGGAATCTGTCCCTGGTGAAAGAGCTGGGCGACCGGGCGGCCCAGGGCAGGGCCTATGGCAACCTAGGCAACACCCACTACCTGCTGGGGAGCTTCATGGAGGCCACAGCCTTCCACAAGGAGGTGAGTGCACTGCGGGGCTCCCCCAGCCACCTGGCTTCGTCGGCGCTCGGTGCAGGGACCTGGGCGGACCCCTCTGCATGCGCAGACCTTGGCCTGGCCGCCCTGGGCGTGTAGGCTGTGTCTGTTGCCCGCCTCGGGTCCCAGGGCTGCTGTGTGACCACCCGGGCCTCGGGTCTGTGTCCTCAGCGCCTGGCCATTGCTAAGGAATTTGGAGACAAGGCGGCCGAGAGGAGGGCCTACAGCAACCTGGGGAACGCCCACATCTTCCTGGGGCGCTTTGACGTGGCTGCTGAGTACTACAAGTAGGCAGGCCTGCCCGCCCGCCCCCACCTGCCCAGCCCAGCCAGGGGGAGGGGGGCCACCTGGACACCAGCCCAAGGTCAGAGGTGAGCCTGACCTCCCAGCCTTCCCAGGGGCCAGGTGGGGGGTTCTGGGCCACCCCAGAAGGGTGGCCTAGCAAAGCCCTCGTCTGGGGGCTGCCAGGGACGGGAAGAACGACCTTCACTCGGTAAGTGCCGGCGGAAATCACCGTGTGCCGGGGATGCAGCCGACCTTGGCGGAGGGCCTCCTGGCGCCGGCTGTCGGTGGAACCCCGGAGCTGCCTTTGCCCCCCACGACACCCCTAGGGCGCAGGTGCGATCTGTCTCGTAGGGACTCAGAGGGTAAAGACCACGGGGGCTCCTGGGCGTCCCTGGCTTGTGCTGGGAGGCTCTGCAAGCCGTCCACCTCCTGGCCTGAGTCACAGAGACCGGGTCACCAGCCCCGGGTCCCGTGCCGAGCCCTGACATCCCGAGTCAGGACCCCGAGCTGGGGTGTGCTGCCCCTAGTCCTCTCTGGAGACCCCCGTGGGACCCTGGGGCTGAGGGAACTGAGCAGATGGACTGCATCCCTATCACCCACTGTCCACCCCGCAGAGGGGGGCCCCCCAGCAAAGGGGGGTGCTGGAAACCCTCCTCCCTGGGGCTGACCCCTGCGCCCTCCTCAGGAAGACGCTGCAGCTCTCGAGGCAGCTCAAGGACCAGGCAGTGGAGGCGCAGGCCTGCTACAGCCTGGGCAACACGTACACGCTGCTGCAGGACTACGAGCGCGCGGCCGAGTACCACCTCCGGCACCTGCTCATCGCCCAGGAGCTGGCCGACAGGTGTGCGGGGCGGGCACTTCGGGGCCATGGGACGCTGGGGGCGGGCCCGGTCCCGGGGGGTTCTGGCCGGTCCTCATGGGCTAAGCTGTAAGCTGCTTCCAGCGAGGCCCTGGCCTGCCACTGACCAGCAGGCGACTCTGAGCCCTGCCTGGCCTCAGCCTCCCCCCGTCGCGGGCCCCGCCATGCACCAAGTGGGACTCGGTGAGACCCGGTGGGCGCTGGGCCAGCTGCTGTGGCAACCCTGGGGGCGGGCTGGTTGGGGGTGGGCCCTCGTCACCGCGTCCGTCCGGGGCCCTTGAGCACCCTGTGTCTCCAAGGAGACACAGAAGTCTGAACACACGCGCAGGTGTGGGCGGTGGCCGGGGTAGGGGCCTCCGAGCCGTGGGCTGCGCGCCTCTTTCGGGGAGGAGAGGGCTGCTGGCCGGCTGCCCTGTCTGGGGGCTCCAAGTGTCCAGCTCTTGCTCCTGGGGGGACAACGTTTTGGAACCAGATGGTGATGGCTATGGATCGTTAGGTGCACGGAGCCCCTGGGCTGGCCCTGAGGGGGTTGCCTTTACCTTGTGTGATTTTTCACCTTAATTGAAAGATTAATGACTTGGGGAGTGCCCCTGTCCCTGTCCTCAAGGATGGAGGGAGCCATGGGGGTGAGAGCCTCATTGGCCTGTAGGGGTCCAGCGAGGCCCGGCAGGCCACGGGCTGTACCTGTGACCTGTTTCCCACCCTGGCAGAGTGGGCGAGGGCCGGGCGTGCTGGAGTTTGGGGAATGCCTACGTGTCCATGGGGAGCCCCGCACAGGCCTTGACTTTTGCCAAGAAACACCTGGAGATCTCCCAGGAGGTGAGCCCAGCCTGCCCTGCCTCCCCTGCCACCTGTCCCCCACGGCTGCTCAGAGGCCCCCCAGTGCCCGGCCCACCTGGGACCAAGCTCCTCTGTGTGCCCTGGCTCCTGGCTGGACATTCCTCCATCCCTCCCGGGCTGTTGTGTGCTGGGCAAGCCTTCAGAGGCCGGTGGGTGCTTATCTCTGCAGTCAGGGCGTGGGGGGAGGGGAGCAGGGGACCTGTGTTCCACCCCTAGAATGTCATCATTCCCTGTGGGCCCACCCACGCCCGGGTCCTATATCCCCGATGGGACCTGGCCAGGCCAAGGTGGAAATGACCTGCCACAGGCAGCCCAGGGGAACAAAGTCATGACTGCCCCCAGGCTCTTCCCCCGGGACCCCCCAGCTGGACACCCTTCTGGGGATGGGAGGCAGGGTCTTCAAGGGACCTTGGACCCAGGACCCTCCTACTATGGTCAGGTCGTCCCAGGTGGCCTCTGGCTTCCTGGTGCCTAGCCTGCCCCCTTCTCTCAGTCCCATCCTCCTCGGCCCCAGTGACACGGCCACATCCCCCAGCATGCAGCCAGTGCCCACCCAGACCCATCACAGCCCCATGCCTGCTATCGGCAAGACCCACAGGAGCCCAGGTGGTGGGGAACAGGGACACTTGGGTCAGGAGAGCCCACCCCAGCAGGGCCGGCCCCCATGGCCCCCTGAGCAGAGGTGGGGGCCCCCCAGTGGCCCCAGGGCTCCACTCGAGGTCTGGTCATGGCCCACTCACCGTGTTCGGGCTTGTTCTCGGGCAGTGTACTCCCCCTATGCAGCAGGGCCATCCTCTGCTCTGATCTGGGACCCTGGAGGGGGCCTGAGGGGCCCGAGGGGTGCATGGGAAGCTCCGGGACTGAGAAAGGTGGGGTCTGGGGCAGGCCACCTGCCCTTGAAGGGCGCTCTGGCAGGAGTGCCCCACATGGCACAGGGCTGGCTGCCTGAGGCCCGGGCATTCCTGGGGTATGGAGGAGCTGCTTGGGGCCCACATGGCCCCCCCTTGCCCAGGGCCAAAACCCCCAGACTCCATCCCTGAGGCGCAGTGAGGCATGGTTCCCTGGGAGGCACAGGGCTCAGCGATGGCCCACCGGAGCCTCTGCGCCCACCTGCGCACTAACTGGGCCCCGCTCGGCTGTAGGTCGGGGACCGCAGCGGGGAGCTCACGGCCCGCATGAACGTGGCACAGCTCCAGCTGCTGCTGGGCCGGATGCCCAGTCCTGCGGCCACCGAGAAGCCAGACCTGGCTGGTTACGAGGCCCAAGGTGAGTTCCCAGGCTGGGTGGGCAGGGGTCTGGTAGGAGGCCCCCCGGGGTGTGTGGGGCGTGGGCTTGTGCCTGGGCTTCTGGGTGCAGTTGACCGGAAGGTCAGTGGGAGAATTTTGGACAGAGCTGCCCAGTGAGGGTGGTCTGCCCCCGGCCGCGGGGGCGTCTGCACGGGCACCCCCTTCTTGGCCCTGCTCTGGAGCACCCAGATGGGGGGCAGGGGGTCCAGGGTGCTCAGGGCACAGACAGACGGTCCTATTTCCCCGGGGTCAGGTGAGGAACTGGGAGATTGGAAAGTAAGGGGTAGAAAGGCGTTCAGGGGCAGGGACAGTGTGGACAAAAGTGTGGCCGGAACATGAGGTCTTCAGGCCAGTGCTTTGTTGTCTCTGCGGCAATGAGGGCCTGTACTCAGCCTGAGCGCCCCTGGCTTATCACCCGGTGACACCGTGGGGATGGGGAAGACGAGGAGAAGGCCACTCACCGCCCCTGTCTCGGTGATCCTCCTGCTCCGGGCTGAGGGCTGGGCCCCGGGGGCGGGAAGGGGAGGCTGTGTCAGCCAGAGAGGCTCAGGGTGCTAAGCTGGGGGTGGGCCAAGGCAGCTGTAATGACCTCATTCACGGGCTGCGGGTCACCCCACACAGGTCCACATCGTGAGGCACACAGGGGCATGTGGGGACAGAATGTTCCTTGCAAAGCAAAAAATGGATAAAAAGTGTGGGGCCCAGGGAGGCCACCCTGAACTGGCTTCCCGGGGGCAGTAGGTGGGTGCGGGGCAGGCTCCAAGTGGGGAGCTAGCTGCCCCTCCCTGCCTGCACGGACCCCAACCTATGGTTCTTTGAGTTTTGGCCCCAATCCCTTCATGGCCGTGTTCCCCAGGGGTGCCTGCCCGCCCTGCCCCAGCCTCCAGAGCCCGTCAGGCCTCCTGAGGAGGCGGCTAGGGAAGAGGCTGTGGGCTGTGTGGAGGGGCTGCAGGGTTTCCATGCCTAATGCTGGGAGTTTCTGAGCTTGCCCTGTCCTGGGAAACAGGGGGCACATGTCACTCCCACTCGGGTGAGGACAGGAGTGAAGGCGCAAAGCCTTCTGGGACCCCCAACCACCCTCGTTTTGGAGTGCTGTGGCTGAAGGGGGTGGGGTGGAGGAGGGCTCCTCCTTCGTCCCCCATCCTGCCCCAGGATGCATAGGACGGTATCGACCCTTTGGGTGGGGTTTTCCTGAAGGTGGGCAGCTCTGCTTGGAGCCCCTGGCCCTGCGAGGCCCCCCTGAGGAAGCCAGCAGCAAGTGGGGGCGAGGCTGGGCTGGGCTTCTGGAAAGGCTCCCACAGGGGCGTGGCTAGTCCAGGTTGTGCCGCTCTTGTCCCCTTCTGCGAGCTGAGGAAAGGCGGGGCGCATCACCGGCGAACGGCTGGCCCGTGCTGGGAACAAGGCAGCTTCTGTCCTCCCCAGGCCGGCTCTGCTGCCCTGCCCCGTGCCCAGACCCTTCCCAGCCAGGGCCTCCGGAAGCCCCCTCCCTGCCCGCTGCTGGTGCTGGCAGGGGCCGCTCTCCAGAGCAGCCCGCTCAGGCCATGGAGGCAGGTGTGGGGGCCCCGGGCATCTCTGGGGGCCTTCAGACCCTGCAGTACAGCTTCTGGGGGCGGGCAGGCCCCCGGAGTCTGGGCAGCTCTGAAGGAGAACCCCTGTTCAGGTGAGCCTGGCAGCGGCTGGGCCTTGTGGAGGGGGCACCGCTGGACACTCCTGCAGGGGCCGGATCACTCCCTCACTGACTCCGTGCATGCACACAGAGCGTGGGTGGGGGCCTGGAAACAGACCCTCGCGGGTAGGGATGGTGCACTTGTGTGTACAGCATGTCAGTTCGTGGGGGTGGGGCGCGGAAGGGGGCCAGGGTAGACCAGGGAGGGGGCTTACCCACCCCATATCCTGGAGCCCTGGGAGGATGTGAAGAGGGGCCGCAGCGGGCAGGGCCACGGTGGGTGGGTGGTGGACTCGAGCTTTTCTTTACTGTTGCGAGAAAAACAAGAGTCCTTTATGCTTTGCGGCTGGAGGACCCAGAGCCTGGCGCGGGGCAGGGCTCAGTCTGTGGGTTGATTGTAGGTCCCAGCCTTGCAGCCCCCATCCCAGCAGAGACCCCAGAACAAGTCTGGGTGGGCACAGGCTCCTTCCAGCCGGCCGCAGGGGCCTGGGCCTGGGTCCAGTCTCCTGCCGGGCCGCGTGCCTGCCCTTTCCGGCGAGGGCCTGTCAGATGCAGGTCCCGCTGCACCCCCCGGGGATGCGGCAGCCCGATCAGTTCATAAGAGGGTGGGGCCGGTCCTGAGCCCTGGGGAGCTGGACCCAGCGGTCTTGTGTCCCACAGGGTATGGGCTGTCCATGGTCCTTGCGTTTGGCCACCATAGCAGCCTGGGATGTGCGCAGCAAATGTCTGAGCCAAAGCTGTGGCTGCAGACCCTGGCTCCTCCCAGTCCTGGCTGGTGGACCCCGTGATTTGACCCAGCTGTGCCCTACTGTCCCCGCCTGGGAACTGGGCCCTTGTTGTCCTGGGGCAGGGATGAGGGCACTCCCTGGGGCGGGCTGAAGATGTGGACACTTCCCCGTCCCTCCGCGCACTCCGCAGGTGGCCTGTTCCCCGTTCACGAGTCAGGCACCTACGACACACGGCCAAAGACTTCAAGGCCGCGGGGGTCCTAGCTGTCCTCATGTCTGTCCCTTTCCTGGCTGCTCCAAGCTTGACCTTCTGGAGCTTGCCAAGTGGACCTGACCTCTCACGTCCTGACCCTGGCTCTGCGTCTCCAGGCCCTGTGACCACGGCTGGCAGTCTCCTTTCTTGAGCCCCGTATCCAGAGTCTTGGGAGGGCAGCCGGGTGTGACGGGTCCCACGTAACAAACACCCGGAAACACGGGCTGCTCATTAGGGAGCGAGCCCGCCCAAGGTGACCAGAGGTGACAATGTGTGGCAGACAGTAGTGGACAGATAATGCGCTGCAGGAGTTTGGGAAGAAGGAGCAGCGTGAGGCTGGGTGTGAGTGTGCATGGCCTTGTGAGGGCCGCCACCTCCGTCAGCTCGGGAGCGGAACCGAACACCGCAGACCAGGAGGCTTAAAGACCTGGATGTTTACTTCTGATGGTTCCGCTGCTGCTGGGAATGGAGGTGCAAGAGCAGGGAACCAGGACGGTGGGGTCTGGGGGTAGAGGGGGCTCTGTGTTCTCTCACAGGGGCACCCACCCCACCACCTGCAGGGCCTCAGCTCAACCCTGATCACCTCTCAGGGTCCTGCTTCCTAATGTCATCACGATGTAGGTGTGGCTTGGGTCTTCAATATGGAATGTGGAGGACACAAACATGTGGTCCGTAGCAGTGACATCTGATCAAAGACTTAGAAGGGGAGGAGGGAGTGAGCCTGAACTTAAATGGAGAATAGCAGTGCAAAGGCCCTGGGGCCTGGGTAAGCCTGGCTGGGCAGAGCAATGATGGGGAGGGGGACCCTGCAGGGTGAACAGAGAGAGCAGATCAAACACGCCCTGCAGGCATCTCTCTGGCCCCCCAGCGCAGACAGGGTCAAAGAGCGGGGAGGCAGACCCCAGCAAGGCGAGAAGGGCTCAGATGCTGGATCTGTTTTGAAGGTGTAGCTGCTGGGATTTTGGAAGACACTGAGGGCAGGGAGAAGCTGGGGGGACACAGCCACGCAGTTAGAAAGCGGGATTGCCCGTGTAGGTGGGACGAGCTGCACGTGGGAGGGGCAGGTCGGGGCTGGGCGCAGCACGAGACTGGTGGGGCAGAAATGACGACGGTGCTGGTCAGACGCAGGCGGCAGTGGGGTGGTGCTCAGGGAAGTTTCCAGACCTCACCCTCTGGGCTGGGTGGGATGGGACGCGTGCCGGTGCTGGTGCGGCCTGCAGGCCCCAGCGAGGGCGGCTCTCCTGATGGAGGGTGCATTTAGCCAGGCTCAGAGGGCCACGAGGGGACCCACCCCGAGCCGGACACAAGCCGTGTCTCAGAGCGGCATTTCAGCCTCCACCGTGGCCTGCGCCTGAGTGTCCAGCCAGGCGGGGCCCAGCACACAAGGTGGGGACATCGAATCGGGCCCCGGGGTATCAGGGAGCAGAGAAGACAGGGGCCACCAGCCCACCCATGGCGGGAGATGGAACCAGGTTGTCGCCGGCTGTGGTGAGTAACGGGCTATGCACAGAGGCCTGCCCATCCCGACAGGCCACTCAGCTGTCCCCAGAACGGAGGTGCTCCTCCATTACTGCCATGGCTGGTCGCGGTTGGTGTGGGACGGATGCCGGTGTTTCTTCAGTCTAGTCTGGGGTGGGGGTGGACGGGGTGGAGTGGGTGCCCTTATGAGGAAACACACAGAGGGGACGCCCCCTCTGGGCCTGCTCTAGCTCCTTCGGCCACACGACATGGGGTCGACACCTGGGCGCTGCCTGCCGGCCAAGGGCTGCGTGCAGGGGGCAGAGGCAGGCTTGGCCCTGACCGCGGCAGCTGAAGGCATGGGGGAGGGGCAGCGGACAGCCCCACGTCCTGGGCCCAGGGAGCTGCAGGCCACCATCTCCTGGTCAGGCTGCTGCAGCTGTCCCCTCCCTGACCTCCTGGGACAGTAGCCCCCGACCCCCCCCCCCGAGAGTCACCGCTTTTCCACCCAAGGCCTCTGGAGAGTGGGGAGCAGGGTGTGGCTGCTTCAGAACCCCGAGGCCAGGACAGGGAGAAGGGCTGGACACCTATTCCGCTTTTAGGAAGCCCTGGGCGTTTGGTTTGGGCTGGTCCGAATGACCTCCTGAAACGGCCCCTTTTGCTCTGGGGACTGTGTCTTAGGCAGCGCGTGTGGGCCCAGGGTGGGGTCGGGCTGCTGTGCTGTCCGCCACGGGTGTTCGCGTGGAGCTCCGTGCCGTGCCGGGGTAGCTACGGAGGGCAGGCTGTCCTCGCGATGTAGCCTGCAGGTGTCCACAACGCGCCAGCCGCGGTCAGACGCTTCCCCGGGGCTCACTCCGCGCCGGCGACAGGCCTGCAGGCTCAGTCTGCCGGGGGCACTGAGCCCAAGGGCAGGCCGGGGGTCCAAGGTCCGGTGTCGCCAAGACAGGACCCTGGAGCGTCCGCCACACCGCGGGCCGTGCCCACTCTACCCACAGCACTTCCTTGCCTCGCACAGCCCCACCCTTGCACAGGGGCCCCCAGCAGGTGCCCAGCCTGTGTGTGTAGCTGGAGGGGTGTTTGGCTCCGGGAGGACCTGGGCTGCCCGTGTGCGTGTAGGATGAGGAGTGAACAGGTCGGGGTCCGAGGCCCCATCTGCACGGAGTTTGGTGGGGGAGGCCCTGGGCACGGCAGGAGCTCAGAAACCGGACCTGTGGGGAGCACCAAGGCCAGACCCCGCCCAGGCCCTAGAGAGTCTGCCCCATCCCCACTCCCAACCGCTTGTCCAGTCGGGCGGTGCAAGGTCATGCAGACACTGTGTCTGCTTCCACAGGGGACCGTGAGGGGGACTTCCCCTGCCAGTCCCCAGGGTGCAGGCTGACACCCTCACCCTCCCCGGAGAACCCGGTGGCCTGGGCCAGCCCACCTCTCGGCCCCCAGTCAGGGCCAGGCTGACCCGGCCTGCTGTCTTCCAGGTGCCAGGCCCAAGAGGACACAGAGGCTGAGCGCAGAGACCTGGGGCCTGCTGAGGCTCCCCCTGGAGCGGGTGAGTGGGGCTCAGGGTGGGCGGCTGGGGCCCCGGGGCCAGAGGGGCAGCCCCTGGCCGTGAGAGCTGAGCGCGGAGAGCAGGTCCCTGAGGCTGGCCCAGTACTTGCTGAGCCGCCTCCATCCCCCACCCCAGTCTGTGTCGCATCCCCTCGACCGGAGACCAAGGTGCCCTCCGCAGCCTGAGGCGCAAGCCCAACCACTGGCCCCCGGAGAGGCCCCTGCAAGGCCCTGTCCCCTCCCACTTCATCCCAGGGTCCCACCAGCCATGTGCCCCGGGGGACAAGCCCCAGCCCTTACCCACTGTAGACCCCAAGCCCCCACCCAGCCACGGTCCCCAGCGTCCTGGGCGGCTCCCACTCCTGGGTGCTCCCCGCCATTCCAGCTGGAGCAGCTAGGCCTTGGCAAGCCCCCAAGTGATTGGACATGGGGCACGGTGGGGCTCTGGGCCCACTCTGTACCTGCCAGAGGTGGGCGCTGTGTCACCCTGGGGGAGTGAGCTAGCCTCTCTGAGCCTCTGGTTCCTCCAGCGTGGACCGGGTTCAGTGCGGGGGTCTGTTGGGGAACAAGGCGCGTGGCTGCCGTGGTCACTCGTTGCTCAGTGTGGGGTCAGCTGCCTTGTTCACAGCTCTTCCAGCGCCCTGCCCTGCCTCTCTGCACCCCCAGGCCCTCTCTCCCTCCCCTCTCCGACCCCTGAGAGCTTAGGTGCGAGTCTGGGAGACAGAGCTGCTGCTCTACCCTCTTGGGGTCCCGCGATTTGGGATTGCTGACGGCCCCCGCCCATGCCTGGCCTTCCTCCCCCTCCCCAGGAGCAGAATGGAGACAGCCACCAGGTGGGGGAGTGGCGGGGGCCGGGCAGGGACGTGCTCCCTCTCCCCATGAGGAGCAGGAAATACCAGGAGGGGCTGGAGGCTGCTGAGAGGCCCCGAGAGGGCGGCCACTCCCCGCTGGACAGCGCAGACGTCCGGGTGCAGGTCCCCCGCACGGTAGGCGACCTCTTCTTGGGTGCCGTCCTGTGCTGCAGACCTGGGCTGGGCCAGGCGTCCACCCCCCACCCGCCGGGGGCAGGGCACGCGGTGCAGGGACAGCACTCCATCTTTTGTGTCCTGGCCTCGGCTGGGCCCAGGCCATAGAGAAACTGGACTGGAAGCCTCGTGTTTGGGGGTCTGTAGGATGACCTTGGGGGGACCACAGGCCCTCGGGCCCGGCCGGCAGCCCTGTCTGGGTACACAGCGTCCAGAGCCGGAGGCGGACGGATGGTGGGTGAGGGAGTGATGGGCTGGTAGTCAGATGCAGACCGGTGGGCGCAGAGGGACAGGGACCTCCTGCTCCTGGCGGGTATCCGCGAGACGGGGCTGGCCCATTTGGGCTCGCGGAAGCTGGTCAGGGTTTGGGAGGCCCCACCGAGCCAGGTTCAGAGGTCAGCCTAGAACACCACCCCTCACCACCAGGCATGCAGAACACCTGGGTCCAAATGCCTGGAAATTAGTCTAAAAACAGTTTCCTCTGAGGGCTTAATCAGCACCTGCCCCGACACTGAGGAGCGTGGGCGCCGCGCAGGGTATTCTTAGCCCCGGAGGGCTGCTCTGTGCCCGTCTTTCCCTTGAGCCCGGGAGGGCCTCTGCCAACCCCGTGTGACCCCGGCACTGCCCTCCAGCCTGCCAGCCAGGGTCTGTGTCCTTGGAGGGAGAGGGGGAAGGAGGGGGGCGCCACTGAGGCCCCAGCAGAGTGGGGCTGCCACCCACACCGTGCGTTTGGGGCCCCCAGCCCTCAGTGCGGGGGCCTTGCCACCATCACACGGGGCTTTGGGGGCCCCGGGAACTCCTCCTGGGGCAGGACATGGGGATCAGGGCTGCGCCGGCCCCGAGTGTCACAGTCCCTCCAGAAAGTGTCTGCAGGGGAGGGCCCCCAGGCACCAGGGAGCCACAGCAGGCTTTGAACAGGAAGGCCTTTCCCCATGGTAACCTGGCCCTAGCTGCGTCCCTGTTGCTGCCATCCGGGGGAGGGGGCGCCTTCTACCAAACGTGGATAGTAGCCAATGTTCAGGCTTGCCACACAGCAGCCCTAAGGAGGGAAACTGATGCACAGGGCAGCGAGGGAGGTGGCCTGAGGGCACTCAGCTAGGAATGGTGGAGCTGGGGTTCCAAGGCTGTGGTCAGCTCCTGGAACCCCAGCTCTGCTCCTCAGAGACCTGGCAGGGCTCTGGGCTGTGGGGACACCTTTGCAGGAAATGCCAGTGGTGGAGAGCCAAGGCTGGCCCCAGCTGGAGGCCTGGACCCCAGTGGCCGCCTGATTCCCCTGTCCCGAAGACACTGGCCCAGCTCCCCACAGTCAGAACTGTGGGCTGGCCCTCCTTCCAGGGCTCTGAGCTCCCTGTAGGTGCAGGACAGAGAGGGCCCTGGGGGCTCCGCGTCCCCATCCCATCCTCCCCTCCTGCCAGGGCTCCTACCCAATTCCCCTCAGTGCCCCAGGATCGGCCGGCACTGGGCCCTGGGCCAGCGCGAGGACTGTCCTGGAGACCAGCCAGAGGCCAAGGCTCCACAGACCGCCCGGTGCAGGGAAGGGACCCCGTGGCGAGCGGCAGGGGCGGGGAGGGCGCTATGGGTGGTGGTGGCCCCTGGGGCTGCTGCACGGCGAGTGGCCACACAGCATCCTTCTGGCTCCTCTTGCGGCCATGGCAGACCCGGCTCCGGCCTCAGGAGTCAGGGCTGAAAAAAGAGACGACTTCTGGGCTGACCCAGCTTGGAAGGAAGCCGGACCCCTGTCAGCAGCCTCTGTCCATGGGAACGCTGCTTCCCAGACAGGTTCCATCCCCCTCACCCCTCGGCCTGACCGCCCGTGGGCCAGAGCAGGAGCCCTCTGTGCTGGAAATAGTCTGAGTGTTTACAGAGCGTGTGCGTGTGCGTCTGTGCCTCGTGTGTGAGTGTGTGCCCGCGGGAGCGAGTGAGCGCAGGGAGGGGGGCCCTCCGGGGCGGGGACAGTGCGCCCCTGGGGCCTATTTAAGCACTGAGCCTACAGGGGCAGCACAGACGCCACATGGCCGAGGCTGGGGACAGCACATAGTGCGCAGCCCGGTCACGGCCGCTGGAGGGGAGCTGCGGTTCTAGCGTGAGTGTCGGGTCCCCGGCGAGGGAGGCTCAGGGAGCCGTGTGATGCTGGAGGGGGGTTGCAGAGCAGAGCTGTTGTCCTGGGGTTGGTGCTGTTGGGGTGAGCTCAGCACCTCTGCACCCAGCCAAGGTAGGGGTGCGGGGAGCCAGCAAGTCCCAGGCCAGAAGTCCAACAAGACCCAGGGAGCCCAAGTCAGGGGCCCACGGAGAGGGCACAGCGTGTCCTGCAGGGACCCAGGGTGGCAAACCACACGAGCGGGGGCCTCTCTGCTGTCCAGAGCCTCATCCCCACACACCCCCAAACGACGGAGGCCCTAGCCCTTCCCAGGGGGCCCGCACAGCTCTGCTCTGGGGCCCTCTCTGCCCAGCTCCAGCTACAGGGGTGATGGGCCAGGGGAAGCCTCTGGCAAACAGCACCTAGCTCAGCCTGGGGAAGCTGGAGTGCTGAGGACCCAGGTGTCTAGAGAAGAGGGGCCCCGCGGCTACACCTTTTCTGGGAGGGGTTGGCTCCCTTCACCTGACCCACAGTCCACCTGCGGTCCCCAGCAGTAGAGGGGTGCGGCGTGTACCCCCACACCTGGCTGACCCCGGGGCCCCAAGCAGCCTGTAAACAGCCCTTACCTTCAGGGAGGTACCTACACGACCCCCACCCATGCAGAGCTGATGCTTGGCCCTGACCACTCCTCCAAGAGCAGCACCCCCGGGCCCCCACCCCGGCCCAGGCCCCTGTGCACTCTGTGCCAGCTTTCAGTTCGCTCCGGGCTCTGTGGGGTCTTGGGCCAGGACGCAGGACAGCAGAGCCCTGAGTCGGAGGCTCCTCACACACCCTCAACCTTGGGTCTGGGCCCGCCCTGGTGGGACAGGGGAGGGGCCGCTGTCCTCCCACACCGGCCGCAGGCACGGCTCCCCCGTAGGCTGTCAGGACCACCCACGTGGTTGGCCCTCCCTGGATCCCTCATGGCTTTTGGGGACCGTACCACCCTGGGGGCCCAGGCTGGGCCTGTTTGGGAGATCCCCAACCAAGCTCCCCCGCCCTGGTACCCGCCTCTGCGGCGGGGTGGTGGGGGGGTCGTCAGGAGATCTGGGCCCCAGCCAGAGCTCAGTAGGTGACACCATTGCTATTGTGGTCTCTCCGTGAGCGAGGCTCTGAGCAGGCCCCAGGAGGCCCCCTCAACCAGCCAAGAGGTGGACAGGCCAGGGCTGGGCAGGGGCCACCGGCGTCATAGGGGGGTGGGGGAGGACCCAGTCTGTAGCCAAGGTGGCTCCTGGAAGCCGCCTCCTCCACCAGTCACCCTCGAGGCCCTGAGAGACCACTGCCTCTAGCCTCCCCTCCTATGGATGTGTAAACTGAGGCCCAGAGGGGGACTGGGTTTGCCAGTTGGGACTCAGGCAGGTCCAGTGGCCCGGACTCCGCTTCCCATCCCCCCTCACTCTGAGGACCACCACCCCCTCCCTGGCCTCATCAGTGGGGCTTGCCCAGACCTTGCAGGTGGCCCCTGAGTCAGCCCTCCCCACCACCCGGGCTGCACACTGAGGCATCTCCCAGAATCCCTCAGTGTGTCCAGGCTCTGCCCCCCAGCCACTCAGAGCAGAGCCTGGACACCTCAGCCAGCGTGCAGGGGGCTGGGGGGCGGCCACACCTTCTCTTTAGCCTGGACATCCTGCACCCAGGGTCCTGGCCGCCACACATCTGTCCTCTGGGCCCGCCCACAGGTCTAACCGCAGAAGGGGTGGGACTGGGGTGGAACACAGGAGCCCTCACCTCCCCCAGCTGTGGCTCCCTGCCTGTGGTGATATGACCTGACACTGCTGGTCCCGGACCCGCCGTCGCTACTGTGTCCCTGGCACAGACAGGCCACTGTGATGCGGGAGCTGGGCAGCAGGGCTTCCTGCCGGCTCAGGGTCTAGTCACTCACTCACTACTGGTTGATTCGTGCGTTTGGCCGCCCCAGCGAGTGCCATGCTGGGTGGTCGGGTCCCAAAGCCACCACCACAGCTGGAGCTCATGACAAGTGTGTGATAGGGTCCCGTGGGGCAGGGGTGGGGGAAATGGGGCACAGGGATGCTGCTGGGAAGCGCTCTAGGAGGGCAAGCAGGGGTTGGTGGTGGGGTGTGGGAGGAGGACGGGCAGGTGGGGCGAGGGTCCTGACCTCATCCCAGGCGGAGCAGCAACCTCAGTGCTGTCTGGGGGCCTGAGGAGCTGGTGACCGGAGCCGGGCTGCCATGGCTGGGCCGGAGCCAATGCTGACTGCATGCCTCCCCCACCCCCCAGAGCATCCCTCGGGCCCCATCCTCCGACGAAGAGTGCTTCTTTGATCTCCTGAGCAAGTTCCAGAGCAGCCGTATGGACGACCAGCGCTGTCCCCTGGAGGAGGGCCAGCCTGGGGCCTCCGAGGCCACAGCTGCCCCTACCCCGGAGGAGAGGGTCGGTGAGTGCCCCCATGGAGCTCCCCTTGTCCTTGCCACGCTCACTCCCCACCCTCCACCACAGTGGCCCCCAGGAGCCCTTGCTCCCGAGGGATGGGATACCCCTGCTGCAAAAGTGCCCCTTGTCACCACCTCATCCCCTGCCTCCCCCAAAGCTGCATCCCGGGAAGCCTGTCGTCATCCCTGCTCCCTGGGGCATACCACGTCAGGGTGCATCGTGGGCCAGGAGCAGGCGTGGGAAGCCAGGCCTTCTTCCTGGCACCTAGGAGCCCCCATGGGTGGGTGTGGGGCCTGTGGCAGGGACAGCCCAGGGCATCTAGGGTCACTACTGGGAGCCCCCTGTCCCCCAAAGTGTGGAGGGTGGTATGGGGCCCTGGCCTGACCCAGCCCGTGGGGTCCCCTCTCCCCACCTCGCCCCCACAGCCCAGCCCTCGCTGACGGCCTCCCCGCAGACTGAGGAACTCCTGGACCTCATCGCCAGCTCCCAGAGCCGCCGGCTGGACGACCAACGGGCCAGCGTGGGCAGCCTGCCCGGGCTGCGCGTCACCCACAGCAACCTGGGCCGCCTGCGCGGTGATGGGGACCCACAGGAGCCCGGGGACGACTTCTTCAACATGCTTGTCAAGTGCCAGGTGGGCCTGCGGCTGGGGGACTGGGGGAACCCTCCTCCCCGTGTCCGCCCGTCTCCCCCCATGCCTGCCCCATGCCCCCTGTGCCCTCCTCCCCGTGCCTGGCCCCATCTTCCCCCAGGCCCACCCTGTGCCCCCCGTGCCCTCCTCCCCGTGCCTGCCCATCTCCTACCATGCTTGCCCATGGCCCCCCATGCCCGCCCCCCTGCGCGGCCCCCCACCCCACGTCCCTCTCCACCTCCAAGCGGCCCAGGGCCCCTTCACCTTCGCGTGGGGTGGAGGCTCCTCACGCCTGCGGTGGCTCTGGCCGGTCCCGCTCAGGCCAGCCGCACTGGTGTCACCGGGTGCCCACGGATGCTCCTGCCCCCCCCGGACACCCTCAGGCTGGCTGTTCCTCATGGGGCAGGAGCTCTGGCTGGGGGGCGCCGCTGGGGCGTGGTGCAGCCCCTGGCCCCCCAGGCAGGGCGAGACAGCAGAAGGGTTCAGGGACCTCATGCAAGGCGGCAGGAAAGGCTGCAGCCTGGGGGACGGTGTGGTTTCCAGTCGTGACGTTCGTTCCCACAGAGCAGAGGAAAGCGCGGCCCTGGGCGAATCCGGAAATCCTCCGAAGTGGCCCCTACAGAGAACCCCCGAACCCCTGGCCCACACGCCCGCACGCGCCAGCAGCCGCACCGGCTCCCGGCCCTTCTGCTCCAGGCCCTGCACAGGAGCCCCAGGGCCTCCTCGGTCCCGCCCCAGACCCCTGGCCTGACGGGGCGCCCTGGGGAGCTTCGCACCTTGGGCTCGGGGAGCTGCAGCCCCCAATCCTGCCCCCGCGGCTCCTGAAGGCATCCCTGTCGGGGGGTCTTGGGTGTAGTACGGGAAGGCCAGTCAGCAGCCCCGCAGCCCGGCCTGCTCCCCCATGCCTGGTGGTGACTCAGTCCTCCCTCCCTGGGTGGCCTGGGCAGAGGATCCTCGTTCTTGGGGCCGGGGCTCCCAGCACTGCCCGTGGGGCCGATTTTACCGGTAAACGCAGAGAGAGCCGCTGGCCAGAACCCCTGCCTGGGCCTTGTCCCCGAGACCAAGGACCGCTGGGCCCGTGCGCGAGGCCGGGCCCTCGGAGGCGGGGGAGGCCTGAGCTGCCAGCCGACGAGTCTGTGTCTGCTCAGTCCTCCAGGATCGATGACCAGCGCTGCCCACCTCCTGACGTGCTGCCCCGCGGCCCCACCATGCCCGACGAGGACTTCTTCAGCCTCATCCAGAGGGTGCAGGCCAAGCGGATGGACGAGCAGCGGGTGGACCTTGCTGGGAGCCCCGAGCAGGAGGGGGGTGGGAGCCCCGAGCCCCGGCAGCAGGGCCAGCCCGGGGCCAGCTAAGACCCTGTAGCCACGGCCAGGCTGGCCCCAGCCCAGCTCTGGGCCTTGGGGCCAGGGGGCTCACTGTCACCTGTGATGCCCACAGCCCCTCGAGAAGCCCATTCCTCCAGAGGCCATGGCTGAGGGCAGGCTCTGCGCCCTCTGGCCCTTCCCACTGTGGCCGATGCTGGGCACATGGCCCCCACAGCATCCCCCTCTTGGAGGGGCAGGCTCGGGCCAGGGCTGCCCTGGGTGGGTGCGCCTGCCTCTGTCCTGGACTGGCTCCCACGTGGGACACGGCTTTCTGCAGGCCTGCCCCGACCCGCCTGGCCTGGCCTTCTTCCCACCCCCTCCCTGCCCCAGGTCTGGCCTGTAGCTTGCTGGTCCCTAACCCTCCCTGGCCTCTCCCCACTCTGCCCAGCTCCGTCCCTCCGGCCCGCCCGGCAAATGTGAAGACTCCGTGGCTGCCTCTAAGCCCCCAAAGGCTGCTCTGAAGCCGCTGCCACGGGGCCTGCCAGCAACATGGACGCTTCTGTCCTCCCGGGGAGGGTCCCAGGGGTGACAGAGCAGACACGCTTGGCCCAGTCCCAGCCCCTGGCCTGTCGGCCCACCTCTTGCCTCCTCTGGGCTGGAGGAGGCGGAAGGTCGGCTCAGAAAGCCTAGAGCCTGACGGGAGCGCGCAGACAGGCCAGGTGTCCCCACACTTTGTCGCCAGGCCCTGGCCCCCAGCCCCAGCTGGCACCCAGTCCAGAGCAGGCAGGGGCCTTGAGGGAGGTGAGGGGAAGGGTGGGGATAAGCTGTGACACCCTAAGCCCTAAGCCCCGAAAGCCCAGGGACGGAGCAGGCCCAGGCTGGGACGCCAGCAGGCAGCGAGGTCTGCTCCCTCACCACACCAGGGCCAGAGGCGGCTGGCAGAAGCCCGGGTGGGGGGTTCGGCTTGGCTCAACCCTGTGCCTCCAAGTGAGCACCCAGCCTTCAGCTGGGAAGATGACATCGCTGCCTTCTCCTGCGGGGAGGGTCCAGCCCGCACACACCATCAGCCCACGGGATTGGGCAGGAGACAGGCCCTCTGGGGGGCTGCAGCCCTGGCCTGCCACCAGCCCTCTGGCAAGCCCCTGGCCCCACACCTCAACCCCATGGTCCCTAGGGTGTGGGGCTACCTTCTCCCCAGGAGGTGCCTCAGCCGGGCTCCTCGGTCTTTCTCTGAGGCTCTCCAAGCATGGGGAGGCAGCCAGACCCCCACCCCACAGTACAGCCTGGGGGCCCCGGGCCCACAGCGACCATGCTCTGAAGGGTGTGGCGTCCGATGCCAGAACACGGGCTCCTCCTGGGCCGCCCCACATACTTGAATGTACGTGCATATTTATTGCTCACGCGTCGTCTGCTGTGCTGTCAGTGGGTCCTTTCCAACCCAAGAGGTACATTTTTTTTTTCGTTTTTCCCAAAAAAATAAAGTCTGCCAAGTGAATAATGTCTGTGTCAGAATTAGTCCTAAGGATGAGAGGATTTGGGTCCTTTAGGAAGCCCCAAGTGATTGAACTCATCTGGGTAAGCAACCCTATATTGTGCAAAGGGCCTGGGGCCACCACTGTGCTACAAGCCTACCCCCACAATGGTGCCAGCCAGCCACCTGGTGGCAGGTTTGTTCCGTTCTCCACCCTGGGAGTGGCTGTCTGTGCTAAGTGGACAGAGTCACACAGCGTCCAGGAGCGCTTGCCTCTCCAGTCCTAAGTTCTCAGCAGTAGCAGAGCCATGGCCCACCTGCCCAGGACCTGCTCGGGGCCACGGAACAAGGTGCAGAGCGCCCATGATGTCACACCCCTGGCACCACGAGCCGATGAGTGCAACGGAGCCGTCTACAAAGACGGGGAGCCAGCTTGGGGAGACACCCCCAGCAGACACCCCAATCCCCACCTGCTCTATGGCGCTGTGTCCCCAGGAGGAAAGCTGAGCGGTCCGGGGACCCAGCGAGGCAGGAGGTGCCTCACTCACCTCTCCTGTAGTGACCTCTCCTGTAGTGACCCGCTGGGCCCGGGGCACCTGTCTGACCACAGGAGGCTGCACAGCCGGGCGGGAGTGGGGGTCGGGAGACCCCTGAGGTGAGGGTGGACCGGGGAGGCCAAAAGCAGGTTGGGGAGGGAGGTCTGCAGGGAGGACCACAGTCAGGACATGCCCACAGAGGGGGCACCCTCAGGGGCCCCGGGGGGCTGTCACAGAGCCCCTGACCCGACAGTCCTTGGTGCTTTGGGAACCCGGGCACCCAGAGAAGGTAGCTCTGCTATGGGGCGCCACGCTGCCACTCAGTGCCTCCAGGAGCTGTGGTTTCCCGGGGACGCAACAGTGTGGACCGTCTCAGGAGCTCGGTAGTGGGGCCCCCCTTGTTGGCTGGTACCTGGCCATGGGGTGCATTCAGCCCCTCCAGGGTCAGTGGGGCCTGGACATCAAGCATCAGAATACAGGAAAATATAAACGTGGCCTATCCCCACGTCCACACCCCGGCCTCAGTTTCCCCATCTGTGGAGAGCGGAATTGGCCCGGGGCCGCCATCCTCTGTCCAGCTTGGCACTGTTAGATCCAGCGGGCTCCCAGGGGACAGCAAGGCAGCCAGGCACAGGCCCGGCCCTGCCTCCCGAGGCCCACGGGGAGGGGCAGGCGCAGGGGCTGGCTCAGCCTCCAGGCTGAGTCTCCGGGAGGGAGGCTCTGAGGGGGATAATAGGTGGTTGTTTGCCCGGGGAAAGACAGGGGGTAATCGAGTCACGCACACACTGCCAACGCCCCAGGGAACAATGGCAGAGCCCGGGGCGCTGACGCAGTGCTCCAATGCTCCATGACCTGCGGGCCGTGGCTGGTGATTAATGGTGAAGGTCACACTTCTGGAAATACCCGCGCTCCTCCCATAAACACAGCACATCCTGAACAAGCCGTCAAACAGGACTGGGAGACAAACCGCACGCCCCTGGGGGCAGGGCACCACGTGGGGCACGCGGCCCACCGAGATTCCCACCCCCATCTTGCCACCACGGCCGCCCAGGCCCCCGTGGTCACGGCGAGCAGCCTGATGTGCGGACCCCCTCTGGCCTGCAGCCAAGGGTCAGGGCCGAGGGCGGCGCGGGCTCCCCAGTGCCCTGCAGGAAGTATCGGGGTCGGCAGGGGCGCGGGAGGAGCGGGGACTGGGAGGATCTCCCCATGTCTGGCCAGATGGGACCCACGGTGGGTGCTGCCCCCCAGGAAGAGTGGCTGATTGACCATGCCTTCCAGGTCCTCACCAGGCCCAGCAAGCCCGGGGTCCCAGCCTACAGAGCACGTCCCCGCTGCCCCATGCCTGTCCCACGTCTGGTCTTCCCGGCCTTCCAACTAACAGGGTCTCCCATCTTCATCCGGTGGGAAGGCACAGTTCAGAGAGAAGAGGGACCCGTCCGGGGACACCGGCCATAGCCAGGGGGCTCAGGCTCCCCACCCCGTCTCCTCCCACACAGACACAGCTGCCTGCAGACAAGTACAGGGCCCGTCCTCTGCGAAGAGGGACCGTGGAGGACCAGGATCACCACCTGGCAGAGGCTCCTGGGAGTCCTTCTGACTCCAGAACCAGGGACAAGAAGAAGGCGCCAGGCCCCACCACCTCCACGGGACGTGTGTTTATTGAGAGAAAACAGGCCAGCCCAGGAGGCCCTGGGCCGAAGCATCTTCCGGAAGGCAGAAGACAGAGTCAGCTGGGCTCCGTCTTGCCAGGATGAGTGGGGTCCTGGTCCTCACCCCCTTCTGGAGCAGGGGTGGATCTGGGGTTCCCGGCAGCCTCTAAAACCAGCTCTAGGGCCCCCTCGCCAGCCACTCGGCACACCTTCTCCCCTCTGGCCGCCAGGATTTCTTCAATGTTCCTGAGAGAGAAGGAGGTGTCGTGACCCTCCCAGGGCCCCCACCCTGTACCTGGGCTCTTCAGCACCACCCAAGGGCAGCCCAGGGCCAGGCTGGAGCCGGGAGCGTGGGTCCCCACGCTGGTGGGGCCACGAGCCCACCACATGCTGACCTCCGGACTCTTCAGAGCCCCCAGAAGCAGCTTTTACCAAGCCACCCTTAAGACGAACAGCCCAGGACCCCCAGCCAGGAGGCGCCTGCCCAGGGGGATGCACACAGCCTCACACACACCCCGAGTCTGGCGAGACCAACCAGCCAGCGCGGGCAGAGGACGCAAGTGAGGCACTAGGCCCCCCACCGGAGCTGACCTTCCACACCTCTCTGTGGGGACGAGGGAGCCCACAACAAAAGGGAATCAGCCCAGCGCACCCCTCACTTCACAGTCCCGACTCTGACAGGCCAGCGGTGAGGGCCACGGGAGGCTGAGCCCATCCCTGCCCAAGTCATTCCTGGTTTCCCCGAAACTCAAACCCAAAGCCCCTCCTGTGCCGAGGAGGCTGGGGGCGCAGGCTCCCCGGGGCTCCCGACAGGAGGGGGGCCAGGAGGACGCGCGGTGGGGCCCCGACCCTGCAGGCCAGCCCACGTGCACGGGCCTGTCCTCCCACCCTGCCCGCGGTGCCTCACCTCTTCCCATCCAGGTCTGAGAACCAGCCCAGGTTGTCGGCGATGACGTGGTGCTTCTGGCAGCCGGGACAGGTCACAATGACCACGCCCCGGTGATAGGCCAGCTTGGAGATGCGCTTGGAGGACCTGCTCCCACACACCTGGGGACACCCGCAGCCCAGGTGACGCCATGTGCCTGGCCCCGCCCCTCAGGAAGACCCCGCCCCCTCTGAGGAGCGACTTCACCCCGGGGCCCGGCCTTCTCCGCCTCCTGAGACAGTGCACCGATGCGGTGTGCTGGGCCCCGCCCCCGGGGACGGCTCCACCTCTCTCCTGGAAAGGCCCCGCCCCCGGGGACGGCTCCACCTCGCTCCTGGAAAGACCGCGCCGCCGGGGACAGCTCCACCCCGTCTCGGAAAGGCCCCGCCCCCGGGGATGGCTCCACCTTTCTCCCAGAAAGACCCCGCCCCCGGGAAAGGCTCCACCCCTCTCCCGGAAATGCCCCGCCCCCCGGGACAGCTCCACCCCACTCCCGGAAAGGCCCCGCCCTCGGGGACGGCTCCACCCCTCCATACGGTCCCCCGCTCCCGGGGAGCCAGCTTCGCACCCGTCGGACGCTCACCTTGCAAGTGTAGACAAGCTGGTAGTGCGCGGCCCCGGGCCCCGAGCTCAAACGCCGCCAGCCCCAGACCCCGAACCCGGCCTGCCTTCTCTCCGCAGCCTCCGGGCCGCCCCCGCGTCCCCACAAACCCCTCAGGCCGGGCCCCTGGGGCCACCTGCGGCTCAGTAGCGGCGGCACGCGGCTCAGCGCAGCCCGCAGCATTCCGCGCTCCGACGTCGGCTGCCCCGCCCCCCCTCCACGCGGCTGAAGCCGCGCTGCCGCCATCTTGGAAGCGGGCACGCGGCGTCAACGGCCCTTTTCGGCTTCCGTCCGCCGACTGGCAGGCCGCGCTCTGCTGCCCCCTGGAGGCGGGAGGTGCGCGCGCGGCTCGGGGTGTACGCCGGAGCGAGGCGGGCGGAGGACACGGTACGGGACCCCGGCCGTTTATTCACAGAACTGCATCTGACAGTGCTGCCCGCCCAGAGCACGCCCCCCGGCCCGGCCCGGCGTGGTCCCCGCGCGCGGGGCTGGCTAGGAGCCCTCGGTGTCGGTGTTGTCGCTGCCCGTGGTGTTCTCCCAGTCCGCCTCCGCCGGCCGCGCGCCGGGCTGCATCTTCCGGAGCGCGCGCTTCCTGCGGGGCGAGCGCGTGTTCGCGGGGCCGACCGCGCCCCCGCCCCCCCCCAGCCTGGCCAGCCCCCCCGGGGCTGCCCCCCGCCCGCGTGGCGCACCTGCGGTAGTTCTCGAAGCTCTCCTTGAGGCGCCGCCGCTCCTTCTCGGGGGGCTCCCCGCCGCTCGGGCCCGCGTCCTGGGAGAGGAGCGGGGCTTAGGCCGCCGGAGCGTTGGGGGTTCCCCGCCCCGCGACCGCGCAGAGCCGCGCCGCGGGCCGGAGTCCTGGTGTCGCCGCGCCCCGGGGCCTCGAACACAGGCTTCCGACCGCTGCCACGCCCGGCCCGCTGCCCCCTGCCCGCTCCCGCTGCCCCCTGCCCGCTGCCGCAGCCACAAGGGGGGACTCGGCTCCAGGCTTGTGCAGCCCAGAGCCCGTGGGCGGAGACCCCTGCCATCACCCCCAGGCATCCAGCTTGAACAGTCGGCCACACAGCTCGGTCACAGAGGCCCGTGCCAGTGGCGCCCCTGGGCAGCAGGGACCCCGGGGCAGCCTTACATTGGGGGTCAGGGAAAGCTGCTCCTCCTGCAGAGCCGCAAAGGGCTGCTGTGGGCTGTCCCCGTCGGCCGGGCCACCTGGAATGGAGGAATAGGCCTGTGGGTCCTTCCCAGCTGTTGGGACCACACCTGGCCGCCTCCTCTCCCCTGAAGCTGCCAGGCCAATCCTGCACCATCTCCTGGGCC